AAAAAAAAAAAATTAAAAAAAAAAAAAAGGCTGAGGGACTTACTGACACTTCCACAGTTATAGCCATCCTGACATGGCCACTATCAGTGCAGCCGCCGTCAAGACCGAGATGACCAAGCTCGAGGACGAGCTGGTTAACATTGTTGGGAAGTTCCCAACTTACATGCGACCTCCTTACTTCAGCTCCAACAACGTTTCCCTGAGCGTTCTTGGTCAGCTCGGCTACCATGTCATCAACGCCGACATCGACACCAACGACTGGAAGCACAACACCAACACAACATTTCCCGAAGCCGCCAAGGAGTTTGGTCAAGGTCTTGCTGCTGGAGGGTCCATTGTGCTCATGCATGACGTTCACAAGAACACTGTTGAGAACATTGTGCCCCGGATCATCGATGCTGTTCTTGAGAGTGGAAAAAAGGGTAAGTCTCAAGAATTTGAAAGTGGATAAGCTTTACTAATATGACATAGCTGTTACTGTGGGTGAATGCCTTGGAGACCCGGAAGTGAACTGGTACCGAAGCTCCCGTTCCTAGATCGTTCCGGGAATTTATCTCTCACATCCTGTATGTTCCATTCGGAATAGACTTCCATGTTTCTTAGAACTCTATAAACATTAGGTATCTCACGCTGGGTACCAGAAGACCTCATCGGCTACTACTTTGCTATTTACATTGTATTATATCTCATAGCTCATCTGTCTGCAGTAAGTCGGTTGATCATAGGGAAACATCCGATGATCCCGAGCTTATTGACCCTCAATAGCTCCACCATGCCCGCGGTCTTCCGGCACAGTAATCTACTCACGAGCAACCTGATGTGAGTGTTCCACAACGATTGATAAGCAAAAGCTTCCACGGATGTGTCTTCCTTCTAGTCAGATTGAGTTCCAGATCGGGAAATATGGGAGATCGACCGGAAGTACGGACTTACGGCAGCCCAATGCACGAGGTGCGGCGGGTCATGTCATCTCAAAGTCCGAAAGTCCGCTGTCAAGTAATCGTGGGACCTATCATATTAGTCTACTTGGTTGCCGTGCAATGTTCTTAGAACACCTAAAGAACATTCATCCATTAGATTGAGCATGCATTGGCAGTCAAAAACAGGAATTTCCGAGCCATCCTAGTGTCATCTGTCCAATCCCGAACCCTGAAGCTATTCGGAGGTCGGACTTTGCCAACAGCCCGTCAGCCAATTAAGCTCACGCCACCAAAGTCCTTACTGAGCCCAGGCGTAATATCACCTGCAACCTTTTCCAGGGTCCAAAAAGCGGGGTATATCCTGATTGGTTATTCATTGAAGCTGAAGGGGGGCTAAATCTGTCCGAAGACCAGAAAGGCCCCAGGACTTTTGTGTTTTCGCATTTCGGTTTGTTTTGCAACGACATCCAAGCAGCAAAGGTGGTGTTAAGATGGAAATATGTAATGACTGAAACTTTAATAAAAGAAGAATATTGTTAATCAGCATCCCGAGGCGACACCTTATCCCCCAATGTCTTTTTATCCTCGTCGCCATGTTGTGACCGCGTAGGAGACTGCTGTTGATTGACACTCTCTTTGGGCGGCGTCGCAAGTCTCGCACAAGTACAATGCCTCAATAACTCCTCGCATCTTGAAAGCCTTTCCAGTAACTCTTGGTTTGGGCGTCTGCGCTTCCTTGGTGTAGCTGGTTGACTTGGAGTGCAAACTGTATTAAGCTGCTGCAGCGTCAGTATCAGAATATTTACGGAAGGGGACCACTTACTCTAACACAATTTGAGCATGGAGTCTTCTTATCGCATTTCTTCTTTCTTTGCTGGCAGCAAACACATGATAGTATCCTTTTGCTGGATCGTTGCTTGGGTGGTTCGTGATCTAGCGAAGACGCGTTGGTAGAGGTTGGACTCAAGGCGAGCGAGGCATCTTCGTGGTGAGATAGAGGACTTGACATCTTTTCTGCCGTGTGTGAAAGCCAGACCTTAAGACGTAAAGGTTACACTCAGACGATAGACGATAACGCTATTGTCTCCCAAGCTCAAATGCCGGAATGTTGGTGATGGTATTATGAGTATATCAAGACGTTAAGGATACCAGGATGACATGCCGGAGGTAACATTATGCATGATCTGAGAGAATGCTTATAACGTTATTCCGGCTACCGCCACATTCGGGAAGCCGGACCCGTGACACGTCCCGAGACGGAATTCTCCACAGTCCACAGCATTCCGAGCCGAAGCGGCTGCCACCTAGGACAACTTCACTCAATAGGACATTATATATATATGAGTCTCAGAAGTAGATAGGTAGTAACTTTTGAATTCAACACTATCAAACAGCAAGCTTCCGCAGTAAATGTAAAAAAGCAAATTCGCCCAGTAAATCGTCGTAATCGTTAAATGGTCGATCCAAGACTCAGACCCAAGACCCTTCTCTTTTTCAAATTTCTGGCTTCTGTCCATAGACAACATGTCTAAGAAACTGTTAGTAATACCATTCTGCAAACGTCTGGAGTACTTACATAGGCCACCAAGCGTGGATATGTCGATCCTTCATATCAGACCTGACCTTGGTCAAGAAAACCTCAACCTCTTCAGGACTCCAACCCAGACCTCTCGTGAAAAGAGCCATAGAGAGACCGGAAAGTTCGCCAGCAATATTATGGTTGCACCAGAAGCCTAGAATTGTTAGCGCCTTACTTCCGAATTTTTATCGTTCGACATACCAAGCTCCTTGTAATAGGGATCCGCGGGCCATCGGTTAGTAGGCCATTTGTACACCACCTCCGTAACATTAACGAATCCAGCGTCAATCATCTGCTGCTTGTACGATTTCGCGCTGATAGCAGACCTTCCAAAATTCTTTGCCGCTTCTGTCATAAGATCAGACCACTGGTTGATGTACGAGTCCTTGGCGAGCGTGCCGTCGTCGCAGCCGGCAGGGAAAGTGATGTCTTGACATTCAACCCAACCGCCTGGGTTGAGGGAGTCATATGCTTGTTGAAAGTACTTGGGCCAGTCGCCGATAGAGCCTGTTAGCATGCGGCCGAAGACAAAGTCAAATTTGTAGGAATATGTCCATTCGTCTTCGAGGTCATCGACTTGAAATTCGAGATTCGTTGGCAGGCTAGAGAGTCAGTGAGATGAGTGGGATGAGATGAAGGGTGAAGGAGGCGTACAAGTTTGGCTGGATTGGGCTGAGATCGATTCCGAGAACCTGAGAGGTTAGCTTCAAAGGTCTCCCTCATGATACGGATATCGTACCGTGGTTTCAGGGTGGTTATCGGCAAAGTCGATTGCCCATACACCTGTTCCTGTTCCTGCATCAAGAGCTCGTCCTACCGGTCTACCGTTCTCTCCTAGAGGGCTCAGGTAGAGCTTGCCGCCAAGGGTAAGTGTGAAAAGATGATGTTGCAGGTCTATTCAGTTAGTATCATCTTATGTGACAGATGTATTACAACTCACCAAGACGGTCTTGCTCAGACTGAAGTGAGATGCAGTATTAGCGTGTGAATAAATGAGTGAGACTAGTATCTCATACCGAGTCATTAGGAAGGACATAATTGACTAAAATACCATTATTAAGGTAATCATAAAATAGTGCACGACTCAAACTTACTCGACTCTCTGAAAGAATGATAAGTTCTTCCATTCTCGGTTCGATACTGCATAATACTGGAATTAATAGAAGCGGTGCTACTTGCAGAATCATCCTGTCAGATCCATCGTTAGCGCCAAACTTAGCACTTGGAGAGCCCCAACAAAGGAACAGGCATATGGATCCCAGCCCCCGATTCCCCGTTGCATTTTTGCAGGGGCTTCAATGGAATGGAAAAGTTCAATGCATCGTTACTCACGCCGATCGCTGAATCGTCATCGGGGAAATCGCCTTCACTCTGTAACGTAACCATGTCAATTATCAGGATTCCTATAAATGGGCGCATCCACTTACTTCAGCCTGGAGATCGCTTTCCTCTGTGGTGGGTGCGTGACGTTCGGTGGCTGTTGCTGCCGCGACAGCGGCAGTTTTGAGATCGGCAGACTCATCGACGACTGGCCTGTCGGCCTCTGCAGTAGCGGTCATGTTGTCGCTGTTCACTCTTGTCCAGATATCTGCGACAAAGTCTCAGCTTGGCGTTGAGTAAAAAGTCGTCGCGTTGAATTGATTGAAGATGGGATGAAGCAAAACAAAAGCAGGTCCCAGATAATCCCACTTTTTGACCCCTCTTTACCTCGAGCGGGCGCAGAAAAGATGAATGAAGCGCCAACAGGCGAACGATCGGTCCCGCGCCGGAATAAGTGGTTCAACGAAAAGGCAGAGATTACGACTACCTACAGCAGAGAAGATGGTGAACGGTTGATCTTTCATGAAATGCCTCGGCCAAGTGTTTCAACTCAAGGTTGATCGAGTGGCTGCATGTCAGAACACTCCGGAATAAAGCTCCTCCTTTTCTTTCGTGGACATGCCAATAATGGCATGGACCAGGCAAACAAAGAAGCAATCGGATGAAAACCCTGGATGGAAAGGCAGAGAGGCTAGAGCTAGACAGTTAGCGGGCGCATTTGTGCCGTCCCCAGCGATGCTAGTTTCGGAGAGGGGCGCTGTTTTGGCGTTAGCTGACCGCTAGCGAGCATGGTCTAGCTGTAATCTGACGTACAGCAAGCCCACCTCGCCTGAAGACTCGCCTATTGGGTCTCAGAGGAATTGTCCTTCAAGACTGAACATGTCAAAATAGATTCGTTCAATTTCAGGTTATATAGTGTCCTAGTTATTTCTTCATTTATGCCAGCTCTTCCGATACCTTGACGCTAGCATCCTCCTAGCCATGTCTAACTTCCTCGTCTGCTCTAGACTCTCGAATCTCGTCTAGAGCATCCAATGATTAGCATAGCTTATAAAGAGGATTATAAATGATCCTACCCGTACTCGCCAGTAAAGTGAGGTCTATCCGTAATATGGGTTCGTTCCGTCCCCTCGGCTTCGGTCCGTGCCCAGATCTCCAATCCACTCCTTTGGGACTCTCCCGCAGACAAACATCGCGAACCAACAGCTTGATGCCAGGTACAGCCTCACTCGCCTAATTAATCGCACTGTTACCTCCACTCTCATGGCTGTAGCTGCGTTGATCAATTATTTGCGCGATCTGCGCCCGTCAATTGTTATCGCTACAATTTTGGTCCTCTTTTTGACCTTTTGGTCAGCGGTTTCGACATGGCGACAGTACTGGCGACTGCGACAGTTTAAAGGTCCTACACTGGCAGGCTTTTCGAAATGGTGGTTGATCAAAAGAGTTGGTGGAGGGAGAGCGTATTTGGACTTTTGGGAGGTCACCCAGAAATACGGTATGTCGCACATGGTACTGTTGGGTGTCGCACAAACTAACAGTCCCTCTTGTAGGCTCAATCGCTCGTGTCGGACCAAACGACCTCCTAACCGACGACCCAGAACTGATGAAGCACATTCTCAACGTCCGAACAGAATATCGTCGATCGGATTGGTACGATGGCATGCGATTCGATCCCGGCAACAACAACATCCTCTCCCACCGCGACGAAGACGAGCACTTCAAGCTGCGCTCCAAAATGTCCGCCGGCTACGGCGGTCGCGAAGTCGAGAACCTAGAACCCAAGATCGACAAGAACATATTGTCATTCATGACCCTTCTTACAAAATACGCCGATGCGAGAAAGCCTGTAGACCTTGGTCGCCGGGCGCAGTTCTTTACGTTAGATGTCATTTCGGATCTTGCGTTTGGTGAACCGTTTGGCTTTTTGGAGACAGATTCGGACGTTTATAAGTATATTCAGATCACCGAGGAGACGTTGCCGGCTGTTATGGTTACGACAGTTATTCCCTGGTTGGTCAAGATTTTGAGTTCGCCTTTGTTTAAAAGTGTTCTGCCCTCAGAGAAGGATAGGCTTGGCTTTGGCAAGTTGATGGGGTGAGTACTAATTGGTCCTTGGGAGGTACGGCGCTAACGATGAGTAGAATTGCGAAGCAAGTTACTGCTGAACGGTTTGGGCCTGATAAGAAGGTTCGCAAGGATATGCTTGGGTCTTTTGTGGCTCATGGATTGACCCAGAAGGAGGCCGAGTCTGAGATTCTGCTTCAGATGTAAGTGTGTGTGAGCAATCACCGAGTCATATCTAACGTCTAGTACAGCGTCGCGGGATCAGATACAACAGCAACGGCTATCCGCTCCACAATGCTACACATCATAACACATCCCCAAGTCTACTCCAAACTGCGCGCCGAAATCACCAAGACATCATACTCAACCTCCATCATCCCCGACTCTGTAGGCCGTGATATGCCCTACCTCCAAGCTGTTATCAAAGAAGGCCTCCGTATCTTCCCTCCTGTCGCTGGTCTAATGTCCAAGCAAGTCCCGCCTCAAGGTGACACCTGGAAAGGGCAATTCATTCCCGGCGGTACCAAAATCGGGTACTGCGCCTGGGGAATCTTCAGAAGGGAGGATATCTGGGGATCTGACGCCGGCGAGTTTAGACCTGAGAGATGGCTTCATAGTGACCCTGAGAAGGTCAAGGAGATGGAGGGTGCTTTGGAGTTGATCTTTAGTTATGGACGATGGCAGTGTCTTGGTAGGCCTGTTGCACTCATGGAGCTGAACAAGGTCTATGTTGAGGTGAGCTCAAGACTAAGGAGTGCGAAAGGAGGATTTGCTAACTTTTTACAGTTGCTCCGGAGGTTCGACTTTTCGATTTGCGATCCTACAAAACCTTGGAAGGTGTTCAACTGTGGCATCTTCTCGCAATCCGAGCTCATGGTGAGGTTGACACCGAGAGAATGATTGGATGAACATCACGTCATTCTACGTATTTAAGGTAGTTATAATGAACAACTGGATGATTTACGAACCATAGGATAGGCATGAGATGTCGTGATCTATAAATTGTCTTTGTGCTTGATGGTGACTTAATTATGTCTCTGGTCGTACAGCATACATCTTCACAGGAAGAAGCTCAGCCGGAAATCCCCGCTGTAGATCAGCCTTAACAATCTTCAGCCCAGCCCTCGTAAACAGTTCCTGGAACTTCTCATCCTGTCTACAACTTGTTAGCACTCGCCTCTTCACTTCCAAATCATAGCAAGACTTACCTTGTGACGCTTCCGTCAAGCTCATCAAACTGATCCTCTCCCCATGTACTCAAGTTCTCCTTAAGTACGATAACACCGTGCTCATTTTCCAAAACAGATTTGCACCTCTCCAGAAATTGCACGACTTCCTCATCTTTGAGATGTCCGATACACCACTGGATCCAAATCAGGTCGTAGCATTCTCCCTCGCTCGGAAACCATTTTTCTAACCCAACGTTGTGAATTTGTCCTACGCCGGGTTTCGTTTTGAGAACATCCGTAAACTTGACGACTGGTTCAACGACGTCGACTTTGTCTGCTACTTTCAGAAGTAAACCTTCTGTGATTCTCCCGATTCTGTCCATGCTGTCAGAGAATGAGTCACTATTGTAGAGCCAAATTTGGTCTCACCCTGCACCACCCTCAAGAACTCGTGGTATCTTTTCTTTTCCCGACTTGCCGCCGACATTCAATCTCGCCAGAAAAGTTCGAGATCCTTGAAGGTCGACGCGAGATACGGAAGGCATTGTGGTTAAAACGCCACCCAGCATGCCATTGTCGTTGGAATCAACGCTTTCCCAGTACTCCATGCATTTTTCCGCTTTGATTAAGCTGTCTGGTGCGGGATCTTGTGAAGTCGACATGGTGATGGTGTTTAGTTGATGAGATTCTGTGGAAGAATTTCAGTTGATAAAATTTTAAGTATAGTCATTGTGCCAGTAATTGAGCTTGGAGGTGGTATTAGCCGGAGTATTTCCGATGAGTATAAACACAGTTTAACATCACCATTCCAGAAGTTACAGATACGATTTGAGCTCAGAGCTCATTAATAACCGTCACATTGTTTATTTCCCAAAAAAGAAAAAGAAAAGGACTTAAACCCTCTTCTGTAGATGTTGCTATTGAATCCGGCCGTAAGGAAAATAGCCGTCCTTGTTTGAACCCCCCGCCATTTGCTGAACCTGAGACATCGGCACGTTCCAGCTTGCCTGTGTAGTTTGCGTTTGCGCAGGCGTCAACCAGATGGTCGAAATATCCTCATGAATCAAAATCGGGATGTTCGATCTCCCCTTCTCAAACTTTCCAATCGAAACATCGTTATAGTCGTCAAACACAACAGGTCGATCGCCCTCCAAAAATAGCTCTATCCCAAGCTCAGTAATTTCAAACTGGAATCTCTGCGCCTTATCGCGAGAAGCCTTGGCGTAAAATGCTCCCTTATTGGCAGTAAAAACGTAGCAGTTATCGTTCTGCATAGCAGGAACTTGCAGGATGAATTGGTTGTCGCCAACAGCTTCGACGACGAAGCGGGTCAGGGCAGAATGATCGCGAAGAGTGAGACGTGAATCGCGAAGCATTATGCCGGTGCGACGAGCATCTGTCAGGTAGATGGCTTTCTTGTCATATGTTTCAGAGTTGATGGTTACTTTGATGTTGGCATTGCGCATGCTGTTCAACATAGTCATAAAACCCAGTGAAGACATGGTGAGGATGAGACTGATTCCAATGTGGTAGAAATCTGGTACAATATGAGCAAGGTTAAGAAGATATGATCAGAATAGAGAGAATGCTGGACTCTACTTGGAATATCGACTCGCTTTATAGATTTTGCTACTATCCTATCCACTCAGAAACCAGGTACGCACTAGCATAGCAAATGCAGAAAACCCGAAATTAACGTAAAGTTCCAGCTCTCTAGACGTCATTGTTATGTTCAGAATGCATCCGAGCACACGGGCTGACAGGTCTCCGAAAACGATTTCTGTTGTTACAAGTTCTAATGACTGAGATCTGCAACAAGATCTACAGCTGACAGTCTTAGAAGAGAAGATCCAAAGCTGAAAGAACTAAACGGGCAAAAGATCTGTCACTGACGGGACCCGTGTCAAATTTGTCAAGGAGATCAACAGCTTACAAAAACGCGCAGCGCAGTACCAAGAGAATGAAATGTCACAACGAATCAAAACTCCATAGAATCGCCAATGACGTTATATTTACGCATGTTCTTGCCTCAAGCTGCTGTGGCGATATCAAGACATGCAGTAGCGGAAGTAAATATTGAGGTCCAAGCGCATACGATACGTCACCCCTCGAGAGTACGAATCTCAATCTAGCCCTGGCGGTTTGATACGTCGAGAGAGAAACGTCCCAGATATTATGTAGACAGACTAAGACCGGAAGATCCTGATGGAACAGTGATTGAGTGGGTATTAAGTACTGCTATTCACAGAGTCTACGTCTCTAATCTATATCTCTAAACAATCTAGCCAACACCAAAACAGATCTATCACATCCACAGCTCCATATCCCTCCATCGTTTCTATTGGCCAAATTACTGGCTCTTGGGCTTCCAAAGCATCCAAGCAAAAGTGACACACAACTTCAAGAACGCCGCAATCCAAAGCGCGCCAGCAAATCCAACCCAAGACTTGCTCAAGAAACCACCACAAACAGCTCCAACAAACAACAACAAAGCTCCAGTAGCCCTCCTGTTTCGATCCGCATTGTCCGTGATGGGCGCCGTGAAGAGCTTGGCGTCACTCATCATGTCACAGTACAAACTCGTCAATACAACGGTGGGAATAGAGTTGAACTTGAGCGCACGACTTGCCACAATCTGACCGGCACTCTGGAACGCGAGAATCGCAATGGCTGCATAGTCGGATGCAGGGAAGGAATCGCGCACGCGCTCGATGATGTATCCGTTTTCGCGGACCGTTTCGCTGCCTTGGGGATGGTTCCATACTGCGCCTACTGTAGCGAGCAGCGCGACGAGGCCGGTGAGGAGAGCCTGGACGAGGAAGGATGAGGTGAGAACCCATCGCTTTTGAGGGCCGAAGTGACGGTGGAAGCTGGAGAAGAAGAGGGCGCCGACGCCGAAGCAAACGATGGCGACAAGACAGCGGGACCAGGCTTTGCTGGGGAGGTTCTCTGGTTGATGGCTTACGCCTAGGCCGACAAAGATTGTGTTTCCTAAAGGATGTTAGTGGTAAGTTTGTTGAGGGTATCGGAGCTGACTGACCTGTTTGCATACTGACGAAACAACCGTACATGTTGAAAGCAGCACTGTCAACCAGACCTGCGACGAAGAAGCATAGTAGCAATAATAGGTCGCTCCATTTTGTGCTGATGTCTGTTGTGAAGCGTGAAGCTTTCGGAGCTCCCTTGGCCCCAGCTTCGGGGGTGTCGCTACCAGAGTCGGGCATGTTGACCGAAGTTGAGATATCGGATATGTCGCCGAAGTCGTTATTCCCAGAGATTGTGTATGACCAATCAAGTTGCTTATCGAGACCTGGACGTCAATGAGGTCGAGATTAACTTTCCAGTAAAAAATAGAGGCCAAAGGGTTGTAAAAAAGAAGGGAGTCAGAGGGTGATAAATAAGTCTAAATCTCCTGAATGGCGCCAATGACGTGCTTGGACCAAGGTGGATCGGCATTAATTTTCGGAAGGGACCCGAGTTTTAGGTCCTCAGTAAGAGGGAAAAGGTGAGGAAAAAGAGCTAATAAAAAGGAGACGTTGGGACAAGACGGCGATTTCGGCTTGTGCCAAGAGGAATGCACAGACGATGCGTACGTACGCAAAAACAGATCTGACAGAAGACGCTAGACTATTTTGGGATTACATCAACAACATCAAGTAATTGTCTCTGAAATATTTACTTGTAATTTATACTTGACAAGTCATATGCTATTGATACTAGAACTGTATGTACTCTATACTGTCTTTGTTTTGTAAATAAGTCAAGGTGTTGAGTACGACAGACACAATGCCGAGCATCACCCTGCCAAGCCGGCACCTGAATTTCCATGCCGAGATGATCATCTTGTCTGGGCATCAGAACACAGCCCTTATTGTGGCTCTTGTTCTGACTTGTCAGACAGCGGTCAACCACAGAGAGGACGGTTTTGACACTAGGTCATTAATGCTTGGCTTGATTAAGCTTGTTTACATGCTAATCTCACCATGTTTATGTGAACGCGATTCCCCTTTTGACCTTGATTCCATCATACAAGATCGTCTTCTATGATATCTGAGTCATGTTGGGTCGCTCTTATCGGAGGGCATAAGCATCGGAGAGCTACAATCACTAGGAACGGAAATAATCGGAGAATTGGAGAGTGAGTGTGTTCTTATTTACAGTCTATGATGTCAAGTTCGTTACTTGCAAACTCCATCGTTCATCGATGTCACAAAAATATACTTTTTTCCCATCTAAATACTATCGTCTAGATAGTCAACCCCAATACATATCTCCGCTCAATTAGGAAATGAGTCCATTGATACACTTTGTACCAGGGGCAACAGGAGAGACATAAGCCCAACCCTGGTTGCAAATGCCCCAGGTAGTCTCGGAAAAGCAGTACATCATTCCTGACTGAATATCAGCGGGACAAGGCTGGTAATTAGGGCCGGCCCAAGAAGGCTTTCCACTGGCGACAGGAGCCGCAGGTTGAGAAGGAGCGGGAACGCCAGTTGGTTGAGCGGGTGCGTTGACGGTTGTGGTGATCATGCTCGAGGGAGCAGGAGACATGACTGATGATGGGACCGAAGGGACAGTAGGGGCAGAAGGTTGAACGGTAGCCGATGGCTGAACGGGAGCTGAAGGCTGAACTGATGCAGATGCTTGAACCGGCGCAGAGGGCTGGACAGGAGCTGAAGGCTGAACTGGTGCAGACGGTTGAACTGGGGCAGCAGGAGAGCTAGGCTGAGCACTTGGTACAACAGAAGTAGCCCCAGAAGCAACAGGTGCAGAAGGGTTCTCAGGTGCGGGAGCAGCGCCATCATCCTTAAAGTTGGGCTCGACACCCTTTTCACATGTTCCCTCACTACCAGGAGTTCCCTGCTCAATGACCTTTCCATAATCTCCAGGCTCAGGGAAGTTGATTACACTTCCACTAGCACCAGTCGTGCACTCGCCAGGGATGTTTGCTCGGAAAACAGGAGGGAGGGTGTCGACAAAGGAACTATCATCCTTGCCACCGACTACCTCGATGGGCGCGCAGACCATGTACATCTCTCGGTTGCCAATCTTGTTAAACCAGGTCCAAGCGAAGATAGCAGGACCATTCTGCATATCCTTGGGGATAGGAATGTTGAACTGCTTGGTACACTCCTTTCCGGTATCATTGCCGCACTCAGGTCCATTCTCACGACCATGCGGATCTTTACCGGTGGTTTGGATATTGCCCGCCGCTTCAGCAGGGCAACCGCCGATGATGCTGTAAATAGTGTGCCACTTGCTAGGATCCTTAGGGGCTTCCTTTCCATAGGCGACGCTGAACTGACAAGATCCACCGCCGTGGACAGCGCTGCCCCAAAACTTGACAAGCTGGGTCTTTCCGGCTGTAACTTTGGTGACTTCTTCAGCGTGCTGGGTGCGGCCTTGGCAGGGGAAGGGAAGGTCGGCGCTAAGAGGCCAGGTTTGGTAGAGAGGTTCAGTATCGAGGTTGAAGGGATGGGGTTCGATCATGATTACATGGGCGGAGGCATACGAAGCGACCAGCGCTGCGATGCTGAGGACGGAAGAGAAAGAATGCATTTTGGCGATTCTCCCTTTTTGTGATGAAAGGTGGTGATTGATTGTGAGGGGATTGTGTTGTTGTTGTTGTGGTTAGGTATGGTGTGTTGTGGGGTGAGAAAACTAAATGAAGCAGGAACCCGACTGCCTCTATATACAAAATGATTTCGATATGTTCATGGGGGTGACAGCTCTGAATAAAAATTTCACCATAAGTGTGGCTTAACAATGACATTTTTCACCTCTTTGACAATGAATGCTTGAATTGTTCGTCACTGTCAAGGCATCCGAACAAAGGAACAAGTTTCAACACCGAAACATCTAAAGGTCAACATTAGTTTGCTTTGAACGACCCGGTAACTTTGAGTAAACAGAACAACATAATTCATTGAACAATCTGGTATTCTTCTATCTTAAACCTCCATCCTTGAACATTTACGGAGCCTAGATATTGCTAATCATCAAGTCGCTTCACTCCTTGTTCACTATGCTCTTTCCAGTTGTCCCAAGTCTCACTTGATGCTCAAGGTTTCGTCAAGTTAATGCCTGATTTGTATGACGTATAATGGAGAGGACTCGCTACTCCTACAGAAACCTATTGGGAATGTCTGAAACTCAAATATTCGAGACTCAAAGGGATTTGGAGTATGCATTACACTTTAACAAAAAGACACATCGGTAAATCCAAATCTTGAAGTCTATCTTTGCGTGGGTTAAACTTAGAAACTAATTAACAACCTATCGATGTTTGAAAAAAAATCTTAAATTCCTGGAGTATTTAATATCCTTGCCTTTCTTCAACCGCACCTCATTCTCCTCTCCTATTTCTACCTTTCCTTAACCTAAGCCTTGGACGATAATTCTTCTGTTACCCAACTGCCTTTACACGCGCACCAATATGTCTTCCAAAACCCTCCTCGACATGCCCGACGAGCTCCTTCCCGCCATCCTCGATCACCTGAAAAAAGATTCATACGGTACGGGATGCTGGCAATTCAAAATTACAGACGTCAAGACACTTCGAGCCAGCTGCAAAAGGCTCAACCATATCGTATCGCCCTAGCTCTACCAAACCCTGTATCTATCCTGCCACCAGCTAGACCTGGACGTCTTTCGCCTAGTTGCCAAGAACCCTCTTCTTATCGGTGGTGTACGCGAACTCGTCATCGACGATACGACATTTCCCACTTGCATCAATGACTGGAACACTTACAAGCGCGCCGTCACTCTTTGGGCATATACCCAAAAGGACCCGGATTTCGATGAGGATGAGGATGACCTCGAGGAGTGGGAAATCCAACGTCGTTTCGATGTGTCCAGTTCTATGGTAATAACTAAATCGATGTGGGAGCATTTTAACAGCGGTATCAAGGGGCACCACGAAAACCGCCTGGCTCATGCGGATATTGCCGCTCTCAAGGAGGCTCTACCCAAGATGAAGTCCCTTTGCTCGCTTATTGTGACTAATTGCACACCTTTTGAGGATAGGCAGAGTGACAGCCCCTTTGCGAGGATGTGGAGGTCTCCCCCATCTGGAGGCGGTCGCAGACCTTCGTGGGGAGAACGACCCTGGGCTCCGAGATGTGACTGGGAACCACAACTTGGCGATGAGCCTGACCCTAAGACCTATTCTTTGGATTGGCTAGATGACCGAATTTTCACGACTGTGCATCCAGGTGAGCCTGATGGGTACGACGACCCGTACGAGGTAAGTCAGCAGCCATAGCTCGTGTCCTCATCATGACAATAATTGTATTAACAAAATTTAGAACGACGACGTCGTGTACACGCGTGATTACTACAACACTTACAAATCTACTATCAGAGCTGCATGTAATGTTGGTCGCGATCCTCGGATCCTTTCACGACAGGCCCGGGTGCTCCATGTCGCCCTTCACGTTCTTGAAGACCCCGATGTCGGCCCTCAACTCCAAGAGTTCAGAGTGGACTCATCTGACTCCACAATTTCCAGATGCAGCCCGGGACTTCCTATCACACTTTTTGGAAATCAATCACCGTTCCCCGATCGTCTCTCGCGAGCCTTTTCTACAACAAATATGACGGAGCTGTACCTCATACTTAGTAACTTTGACGATGGTCAGAAAGGCAGAAACATCATGGATCACGGGCGAGTAACCCAGCTCCTTTCATCTACGCCACAACTGGAGCAACTATATTTCGAGCCTCACGGGATGACTACATCAGGTGCGCTCCCACAGATAACATTCCCTCGCCTTCACACAGTCGAATTCTCCTGTGGCGAAGTGAACCCCGACAAGCTCATCGGCTTCCTTGAGCGTCAAGGGTCAGTTCTTAAAACTCTACACATCAGCAATTGCAACATCCGTACCGATCCGGGACAGCTCTGGGGAGACGTAGCAGACCAGATAAACCACTTGCAGCGCGAAAACGTTACGAATCTTCAGGAAGGCCCTTTTTGCCAAAATTGGGTTGGCGAAAGCCAAGCAAGGTGTTGGGGTTTTCCGCAAATGGATCCTGATTATAGAGAATCTGAGGACTGCGTGGACTGGTACCTTGAAGACGGCAGGCTCTTTGAGAAAGACAGTTTCGAAGACTGAACAGTTAAACATAGCGTTTTGCGTGAAAACTTTTGACATGTAAAATTAAGATATATAAAGTTCGAACATGTTGACCAGGATACCCCCAAGGCATCAAGATCAAGGTTCAGTAGCCGTATTGAGGGTTGACCGGCCCATGTGTACATAAAGTGAGAGTGAATATCCAAAGAGAAAGGGTGGTGGCTTAACCATTGTAACCCCAGCGAGGAGCGTTGACAATGATACCACAGATACAGCCAGAGATAATGCCAGAGACAGGAAGTGTAATGATCCAGCCCATGTAAATCCAAGCGACCATGCGCCAGTTGATGGAGCGCCATGTACCAGAGCAGAGACCGACACCGACGGTGGCACCGGTGATACACTGGGTGGTGGACACGGGGAGCTCTGAAGGGTTGTTAGTTATGGTCCTTTAGTAATTGATGAGTAGGTGAGAACTTACTAAGACGGGTGGCGAGAATAACAGTGATAACGGCACCGAGTTCCATACTGAAACCTCGAGAGGGAGAGTGAAGAGTCAGACGGTTACCCAGGTTGCGCATAATGTTGTATCCGTAAGTCCAGATACCAAGAGCGATAGCACCACCACCGAAGCAACTATCAAGCGTTAGCAATGATCCAACAGAAGCTTATCAAAGTACTTACAGAATCCAGACAGGGACCTCTGACTTGCCTCCGTCAATGACACCAGTTCTCCAAATCTGGTAAATAGTAGCGTAAGGACCGATGGCATTAGCAACATCATTGGCACCATGGGTGAACGAAGCAGTACAAGCAGTCATGACTTGCATAAATGTGTACAAGTACTCAGCACGGTTGTCATAGTGAGGAACGTTGGCGTGGATCTCATCCAGATCACCAGTGAGGATACTCTTCTTCTTCTGCATGGCGAGGATGTCCTGGTCAACACCGGACAGGAAAGCCTTCTTGAGGTACCAGAAAAGAACGGCGCCGTTGAGCAGACCACCCTCAGGCTTTTCTCCGATGAGGCTGCGACGGGGCTTGGTCTCGACGGGCTCAGAGACGTCGTGAGCTTGTTCAGAAGTAGCCTTGTTCTCACTGTTGGCTTCCTTGCCCTCGGAGTTGGTATCCTGAGCGCGGACGAACTCATCGCTTCCCTGGCGACCAGCACGGCGGAGCTCCTCGAGCTCATCCTTGGTAAGATGGCCCTCGTAAAAGTCCTTAATACCGCCCTCGGCACCCTCAGGCTGAGCAGGAGGCTCAGGACGCTTGAGCAGAAGAGGGCCCATAGCAATATGCCACCATCGAAGCTGCCAGTCGTCACAGATGACGATGCGGTACAACCAAGGGCAAAGTAAGATAGCGACGATCAGAGCCCATGCGGCACCGACACCGACGATCATACCGACAGTCTCGGCTTCATTAAAGTCAATCTTGATACTGCCACCCTTCCAGACCATAAGCATAGTCAGCAGCGAAGCAGTAATACCGAAGTAGATGGGTGTAAGAAAAAGACCCTTCCAAACAGGCTTACTTCGCAGCATGACTCCATACTTGGTAATAAGGAAGACAATGGCGGCGAAAGCACCAGCAAGACCAGGAGCGATGATCCAAGCGAGAAAGACAGAGACGACGCCGCTGCTGATTCCCTTATCGAGCTCAGCCCAGTGCACACCGTCTGTGCCAACAAGGGCAACGCCCATGCCAATAACACCACCCATGATAGAGTGAGTAGTCGAGACAGGAAGACCGATACGAGTGGCGAAGGTGAGATAGAGCGAGGAGGCCACGATGGCACACATCATGCCGAGCATAAGAAGAGCAGGGTCAGACTCGAACTGTTCAATGTCGACGACCTTGGTACGGATGGTATCAGCGACTCGGGCACCGACACCGACAGAGCCAGCGAATTCGAGGACTGATCCTAGTGTCATGGCTTGGAGGTAAGTGATGGATCGGGACGAGACCGAAGTGGCCCAAGAGTTGGCGACATCGTTGGCACCTAGATGTGTTAGTATAGAAGGTGATAGGAAGGAGTTTGGGGAATTTACCGATGTTCCAGGCATCAAGGAAAGAAAAGATTGTGCCGATGGCAAAGATGTAATCATACTGGTGAAGCACCATGATGAAAGACTAGCCGAACTTCGGACTTGTTTTACTTCCTAAAAAAGAAAGAGGGAAGAGAGAGAAGCTGTCGATACACAGAAGCCCAAGCAGCATTTCAGAGAGCAAGACCCTGACTCCTTATATCACCTCGTACACATGCATGTGGGACGGGAAAGGCTTGGCAAACAAGCTTATAATTATGCTTCACGAGCTAACGACGCATGTCCTCGGTGACCGGATTCGACGGGGATTGCTAGTACAGGCGGCCAATGGGCTGGAAGACACTTGCATGGCAAGGGATGGTGTAAACGATGGCGAGACTTGGCAGTTCATCTAGACGTGCTGTTGGTGAGAGTGGTATGTCTTGGCGATAACTGGGGGTTGTGGTCGTGCTTGTGCTCTTGATGTTCGTTGGACCGGGGAGGGCGATGGGAAAGGCTTGGTATTGGCAGAGCAGGTACGAGTTTTTGGGGTTTCGGATGTGAGATAAGACTTGAGAAGGTGATATGGTTGTGAGGCGAGATGCTACTCTGAAGAGCTGTCAAAGAGATAAGATCGGCGTAGCAACGTTAACGACAGTGCTTTCTTGAGACATTCGCAATGTTAAACGGTTCAATTGCACCATTAACTACGCTAGGACTACGAAAATCATTCGCAGATGGATCCTGAGTTAAAGGTCGAACCATATCCGTAGCTTAATTTACATCCGAGCTCATGTCTTGCCCGACTTGTTCCCTCCTCTTCAATAGTCCTTCCTAATCGAGCAAGACACCAACATCGTAATTTCCAAAGCTGAAAGCCAGTTCCAGAAGAGTGGGAATAAGCTGTTGACCAGTCTCGTCCCCACGTGCATCAAAGGATGTCGTTGAAGGGGATGTTGGGGCGTAGCCAATCAGAGACTAGATCTTCACACGTGGAGCTGGTGGTTTGACTACGAGCGATGCCAAGACCGATCTGAGCAGGGGACTTTAATAGGAAAGGACACTTGATGAGTCGAGAGACAAGGCATATTTTGGGCTTTTTAGAGACAAAGTGTTTCTTTTTCTAAACTTGGGTTGATGTAAAGTCTGGGGAATTACGGGACGAGCAGAACCTCACAGCTTGACAGCGACGATCAGACAGGACAATCTTCTATCACAACTCAATCTCAACTTAATCTCAACTACAGTGACCCAACTTCTCTTCAAAGTTCCAAAGTCCTGATCGTCTCATCCCCAAATCTTCTAACCCAACCGCCAAGCCCCGCGCCACAGCCATAACGCCGCTCCCGCATCCTACAAGCTTCAACAAGACCACACGCGAGCTCTCCCTGCTAGCACGTTCCTACCTTGCCAAGAGCCCAAGCTTTGTAGCTTCTTTCAACCTGATTCCTCTGTTCAGCTCGCACTTCCAAGTGGGCAAGGGTCGTCGCTCGATCTCTGTTCTAGAAACACCTCCGTCTTGGCCTTTGCTGGACATGGGTGGCGTTTGAGGTGAGATTGCAAAGTGACATGAACGGAAAGGTGTGATGGGAAGAGTTTTTACGCCTGGTTTGTATGAACTGCACGTGCTCGAGTCGTTGTGATTTGCCCGGGTAACTTTGGTGATTTGATGGCATCCACTGGCTTGCTTCTGTGGCAACATATACGCGGCGTGGTAGGATTGTTCTGGATTATTCTTTGCTTTGATGTTACACGTGCCTTGACGTAGTGTTCGCCTATCGTGCATTTTGTGTCTGGATCTCCTTTTCGTCCCGTGTTAGTGGATCATGGCAACGTAGAATCCGGCTTTACTGACTTCTTGACAATCTGTCTGAACCTGGATGTTTGGTATTAATGCGTGTCCTATAACCCTAGTGTTTGGGAGTTCGCTGGCTAAAGGCTTATTGACAGCTTGTTTGCTCATTATATTGTTACAGGACCTGTCAACTATCAAGATGGACGGACCCTTCATAGCTCGAAAAGGAAATGAACCTGCCAATATTTGAGTTCTTGGACTGCAGAGTAATAACTATAGGGTAGTCCAGATGACTTGAATTAAATGAAGCTCTACAAATGATCTGATGATATTTATGAACGTATGCCCAAAAGCTTGAAAGGCCAATCCCAGTTTGTATGTCAATAAAATGGCGTTAAGGGTAGTTACAGCGTCTTTACATTTAGTACCAGTATTATGACTACCATTATGGGGGCCATACGATGAGGTCGTTACATTCATGTGTAATTCGATCCACGGTTTGAGTAGCGCAATAAACAAGTCTGTCAGAAAACAACATTTTGACAAGAAATCACTGAAATCTTCAGGATATTTTGTTTGTCATATATGATGTAGCTCATATGATCCGTAAATGCGAATAGCGCTGCTCACAACGAATCGCACTCTATTGAGATGAGATATTCTGACAGATGGTGTGAGTAGTTTCCTTTGAGTTGTTCATGATAAACTTCAACTAGAAGCCTGTCCCCCGCGGGATTTGGGGTTCTCATGAAAAGTTTGACCAATCCTCACCCTCCAATTCTCTTGATAACCCCCAAAGACCCTCTTCCCCCACGGCGGGGTTCTCCGGCCTCGGCCCCTCTCCAATTCTGCTACCAATGATTGGTCAATTTCGATCAACGGTCTTCTTTCCGATGTCATCATATTCCCCATCATGCGCTCATCTCTCCATGAGGTACATATACAGCTCAGCCAAGCTCCAGGTTCTCTTCAATTCACCACAACCTGTCTAACTTGTTCACTGTCGCCAAAATGAAGCTGCTCTACCCAACATCCCTCAAACTCGACATCCAGAGCCTCGAAGGCTTCACCGTCGACCTCCACTCCTACGATGTGACCAAGCCCATCCCAGAGGAACACACCGACGCCGAGATCCTCGTCACTTGGACAAACACAGCCGACAACCTCAAGGACGCCGCAAAGCGCCTCACAAAGCTTCAATGGATTCAGTCCCTCGCTGCTGGTCCCAATGACGTCTTGAATGCTGGCTTCGACGCCTCAAAAATTAAGATTACTACCGGTTCTGGTCTGCACGATCATACCGTCGCAGAGCATGCGCTGGGTCTCCTGCTCAATGCGGCGCGACGTTTCTACGAGATGCGCGACTACCAGCTCCAGGGCAAATGGCCAGGCCACCTCGGCGGTCCTCAGCCTGATAGACCCAAGGATTCATTCAGAACTCTTCGTGATGCGCGCGTTCTGATCTGGGGTTTCGGTAACATCGCAAAGAGCCTCACCCCTCAACTCATCGGTCTCGGCTCCGAAGTGCGGGGCATCGCTCGTCAAGCCGGCGTCCGCAACGGCATCCAAGTCTACACCGAGTCCGATCTCGACACTCTCCTCCCCGAGACCGACGCTCTGGTCATGATCCTTCCCGGCTCTGACTCCACGCGCCACGTGCTCAACGCCGAGCGTCTTAAGCAGCTGCCCAAGCACGCGTGGGTCGTTAATGTTGGACGCGGTACATCTGTGGATGAGGATGCGCTTGTTGCTGCGCTTGAGAAGGGAGAGATTGGCGGTGCGGCGCTAGATGTTTTTGAGACGGAGCCTTTGCCCGAGGGAAGCAGTATCTGGAAGGCGCCTAATGTTATCGTGTCTCCGCATGCTGCGGGTGGACGACCTCAAGGAGCGGAGGCACTTATTGCCGATAATTTGAGACGATTTAGGGCGAAGCAGGACTTGAAGAACATTATTTAAATAGCTATTAAAATAAAACAAAATAAACACAATTGACTGAGCATTTCTTGGCTCATGGCCTGCGACGTTGAGACTGTGGTGTCGCAAAACCGAGGTAGAAGACCCCGCTATTGAGGTTGGGAGTTTGAGGGCATTCCCACTACGCAGTCCATGTGCAATTATCTCGTTTGCTCAGTAATGTTCTCAGCAAATGATCTATAGGACATAATTGCGCAATGCGAATAGATTATAACATCGGCGTTTATCTTTAATTTTCGGAGTCTCAATCATGAGCGCCGTTCAAATGCGCCGATAATCGGTCCAAGCAGCGCTAACTGCCCCATCTAATCTTATCAGATCATCAGCCGCTCCATTCATCTCAACTCCATCATCATCCCATTCGCCACGACCTACTACAACCAACACATTTTCACGCAAGTATGACTCTAGTCCAACCAACCCTCGAGAAGGCCAACGCCCACAACTCATGTCAATTCACTCTCCCAACAAGAAGAGGCGACTATCTCACCCAGGTCTCGTGGCCTCTATCCTGGACCGAGCGAGAACCACCAAAAGATAACACTTCTGTTGTGTCAACCTTGTAAGACCAAACCGCTCGCTATCTACTCAAATTGACTTACTGATAGAATGCAGATACATCGTCGATGGAAATGCCTACTTCTTTACAGCAACCGACATAGCTCGCCGTCTCGAGCTCACACATAAGACCAACGTCATCCTCGTCGCAATCGGCTACCCCAACAAAACATGCGTATTCGACAAGCGAAGAAACGGAGATCTTACACCTGAGGCTGAAGATAGTGTGTATGATATCCCACCTGGTCCCGATGGGAAACCTTCTCCTGGTCCATTTGGCGAGGCATCGGATTTTCTGGATATCATTCAACATCAGATCAGACCGTTGATCGAGAAAACACTCTTCCCAAACATTGAGGGACCAAACGCTTTATTTGGGCATTCTTACGGCGGTTTATTTACGCTCAATGCTTTGTTCACAAAGCCAGAATTCTTTGATACATACATAGCAGCAAGTCCATCGATCTGGTTCGACAACAAAAGCATATTCCAGAACCAAGAACCAGGTTTCCACGCTCGCGAACCTCCCACGGGCCGAGCCCCCCGTTTGTTGGTCACATTTGGCAGTGCAGAGCAGAAGCTGATAAAGCTACCCGGCGAGTCTGACGAAAAGTTCGACAAGAAACAAAAGGGAGCTTTGGAGAGGAAGATGAAGGATAATGCTATGGAATTGGTTAGCAGAATGCAGAAATCGAACAATTTGAGGAATGTCTGGATGTGGGAGTTTGAGGGGGAGGATCATGGCGGTGCGGCAGTTTGCGCGTTACAGAGAGGGCTGTTTAGGTTTTTGTTGGATCAGCGGGAGTAGAACGGTACTCGCAATGGTTACATATGGCAAATTAGTTGAAATGTGAAGTCTGATATAAAGATTCGGAATTCCAAGTATCTATAATGGTACAATATGAGTCAATGTTCTATACAACTTTTCGCTGTCAATCAACACCATCGCCATGCTCGTAAGAAACAAAACCAAAAGAATCTCTAGGACCTAGCAGGAGCTAGACCATTGACTGATTCTACACCAACACATCGCCTGGATCAGCGTCACCTGCATCGACTTGAGCACCACCATCTTGACCACCATCAACTTGACCACCATCAGCTTGACCACCATCAGCTTGATCAGCATTAGCCTGGGCTGCTCGCCGCCCCTTTTTTCTCCTTGGACCAGTTCTCCAGTTCTCCCAGTTCTCTTCTTAACTCTCCCCGTAACGATATGCTTTTCACGCTTCGTCTGCTCCAAACCCCTCCAATTAAACTCGGACGGATCAAATGGCGGATCATAATCCATGTCAAAATGCGTCGTGATATCATACTTGCACAACGGGAGATATGGCCCAAGCTGTTCCATCCTTCTGGACCTAAGATTATAATTGTGTTCGCCGTTGCGCCAGGCTACGGTCTTCGTCTGTCTTAGAGCAGGATGGTGGTTCCTTGCTCTCCAGTTCCACTGGTTGATGATGTAACTTTGGAAACAACGCAGATCCCACGCAGCCATGCTTTTCCAAGCCCAGTCAGGTCGAAGATCGTTTCCCGGAGCCGTGATATGCGGGACGGTCCACGCGTGGCTGAAATCTACGATTTGGCCTTCGAAGTATTGCTGATCTTTGAGGTCGCGGACTACAATACCGCATTTATGCAACTGATGCAAATTTCTCAGCATTTGTGGAATGTGCTTTATTTGTCGTTGTTTCATCTCCCTTTCTCTGGTGGGATCGCCATCAGTATCTCGATGGTTCGGGATGTAATCTTTCACAATTGCGTAAACAGGCTGGTCAGGGTTGTCCTCCATCTCCAAGACTTTAGCTGCGCTGCGTTTTTCGTTTATCCAGTATAGACGGTGTTGATCATCGGCGTACCTTGTTACGACTGCCGTTTCCCATTGTTCTTGGAACTCTCGTGTGAGGACCACCTTCAAGTAGCCGTGAGCTTTGACAGCCAGTTGTTCTTTTCCGAGTTCTTTCAAACGGCCGTAGACTCGACATTCTGCGTTGAACGATGTTGCTTGTCCACGTAGATGGTTCATGACGGCTGGGGGCTGAGGGTTGGGGCCTCCAACGGCCACACCATTCATGGTGTAAGCCTCTTCCATGGGATACATATCGAAGCGAGGCTCGCGAGTCCATTCTGGTTTGAACTAAAGGGCGTTAATAACTGACACATGGATGTGTGATGATACTTACAAACTTGACGGCATACTGTATACCGTCGATGGAAGCTAGTACAACAGCTGAGTGGCATCCTTCACCGAGGAGCTTTTCTAATACGAAGTTGTGGTTATCGATATTCTGCACGAAAGGGTCGAGTTTCGGGCCTTCGATATTTGGTAGCGGTATAAGTTGTGGACCTGTTGCAGCCATTTTGAAGTTGAGATCTGGTGAATGAATGAATAGGCTAATAATGCTTTGTAGATGTGATATGATATGTCAAATTTGATTATCAAGAAGGCGATCGTGATCATCTTTGTACTTTTCCTTCTCCAGGACATCCTGATAGAATTGGGAGTATATTGCTGTGTGTCTGTTCAGTAACTTCAATAATCTTCAAAGGGATGAATAAAGTATTGGTATTGTTCGAAAAGGACAAACAGGCAAAATGTCCTGAGCACATTGTATCAAAGAACCTTCAACAAACGGCTGCCTATTGTTCAGTATTGACAGTCAATAGTTCATCTAGATTCGGCCTTTGCCGAGAATGTCTTTCTGGTTATTAAAAAAAGGTCATCTGGCTATGTATAGCACATCCTTGGCTTGAATAGACGCTGGGTTTTGCTTTGTTTAGGTAGGCGTCAATGTTATGAAGTCGTCAGTCGTTTTCGCTCTCCTGCATTGTCCTCACGAATGTGGGCTATTGGCATTGCGCCTATTCCACAAACGCACCACCGTCAATGAACAACAAACAGACTACCTGTAGGCTGGAGAGTAAGAACGGGAGGGTGAGGGAAACGGTACACAAGTGCTTTATCTAGAAATACCGCGACAGACAGCGAGGACGCAGCCATTGAGTTGGCGGCACCTGTTACGTGCTAACGGCACATGTCAACTTCACCTTGACATCCATCCCGGTACAGAAGTCTCTGAGAGTTTGGGACAGTTCTTGGCTAATGGTTTGCGTTGAAGCTGAAGTTTTGGATGTGTGGGGCATAGAAGCAGTAGAGTCCTTTGTACAAATATGCTGTGCAGTGACAAAGAATGTGCGGGACTGCCAGTATTATCACAAAGGTCCAGAAATTTGTTCAAGAGAACCCATTGTTCGAGTTTGATCCTCTTTTCATCCAGACGGGGCCTATGCTCCAGTTGCAACCTGAAAGCCCTTGTATCCTTCCACAGCTCATAGTCAAATTACCGGAAATATTGTGGAAAGGTAACAATAAGCTGGTAACATACAGGTGTCAGACTCCTTATTTAGAAAAGGTGGAGGAAGAATGCAAACTGTCTTTTTGGTGATGATAACACAATTCGTCACCCTTGGCTAGGTAGTAAGCTCATTCTTCCTCCCTACGAATGTCTACACCGTCTTCTCATTTACTGAATGACTCCGACATATCCTGTGAATACTTTAAACGAGCATCAGATCTGAGTATATGATCAGTGTTTTATTGGCCCTAGTGGCTCACTAAACCCCTTCTTGCTACATGCTAGGTGAAAGTCGTGGCCTTACTCGCGGCTAAGTTCACGGGATCTGGACAGTGAGCAATCATCCTCTCACAAGTCCTCGATTCAATTGTCTATTATCTTTTAATGCCATTTCCCTTCTCTATCATCCCGGTAGAAACCAGGAATCGCCAACCTCAACCCCATTTCCAAACTCCATCCCTCCAAATCCCAGATCATCAAGCTCAACCCCCGACTCCAACCCCTCAAAAGGCCCTTCCATACTCTCAAATGCATCGCCCGTCGGTAAAAAGTTCAGCTCCGACACAGCCGTCTCTTCAACAACAATCGGCTCATAAATATCCCTGCCCAGACTCCGAAGCTCTTGTCTATGCGCAGCCACAGCTTCTTGTGCTCTCTGGCTCAACTCTCCCACAACAGAGCGCAATGCTCTAAAAGCCTCATCGTCGACGACCTTTAGCAGCTTATCGAACAGGTCGAGCGCTTTTATGGAGATGTGCTGATCGACGTGGATGGATTCGTGGCCTGGATGTAGGATCATGTTGGCGAGGAGGACTATTAGTGCTGAGAAGTGGGAGTAGCTGCATGCCCTACGAGGGTCAGTGACGTCTCCAAATGGAGTCTTGGGGATAACTTACCAGACTAAACATTCTGTCGGGGTTGCTTCCTGGAATAACTTCATGCATCCTCTGCTCACGTCGACACATTGGTTCCACCCCTCCGGCAAAGGTGCTTGTTCTTTGTTCCTGCCAAGTTGATCACTCCCAGATATCGCCTCTTTCCCAAATGAACTAATTCTCTTCTGCCAATCTTGGTTATAACTGTATATCCCGTGAATCATAACCTCAGTCAATAAGAAAGCGTGGTGCATCTTGGTCATCTGCACAAGCTGGCTTGGTCCAACGGTCGCAACGACATACTCTATGTGGAAGGCCTTTGGGATGCGCTCGTACCATTGATCCAGCATGATTTGAAGACGCGCTACCCGTCTTTGGAGTTCTTGAGACGTAATCCTGCTAGCGCGATTGGAGTGCAACAGGTCGTACACTTTACCCTCAATGTAGGCGAGTTCAACACGTCGTCGGTGGTAGTTGAAGTGTACTTGGCCATTCTGCGTCCATATCAATCCAGCGCTATCAGCTGGTGCCATCGTCGGCAAAGCGATATCGATATCGTCATCATTCTGACACGAAGGTGTGTTTCCTCTCAACCCAATATCCTACACCCGTTAGTCGACTTCGCAACAGCTCATCGAGAGACATACCTTATCAAGAACATAAGCAATCCAGAACACCCTCGACCGATGCTCCGCCTCTGCAGCAGGAAAACGCATCATAGCCTCCTGCGAATGCAATCTCAACCGATGCGCCAACCTCAAAGCCGTCCCGATAAGCACGCCCGCAGGCTTCGGATCCCTACTGTTCTGGAACAGCATCACAATCCCCAACAGCACTTGAACTCCCAATAAGTCCTCTTCCCTTGTGACAAGCTCTGAAACCACGCTCTGCACATTCCGTAGGCACTGGTCCGCCTTCTCGATGTGTACCGCTTGGGAATCTGTGAGTGAAAGCTGTGGTGTGCGATACCCAATTGCGAGGACAGTTTGAATGGCGGCCCATGTTGCTCTATCCTGAGATGCAGGGTTATTGTACCAGTTTGTAACTAGTTTGAGAAATGATGGTTGTTGGAAGAGAGGGATTACTGTGTTGAAGGTGGAGAAGTAGTGGTTTATTATAGGGAGGATTTCTTCGAGGGGTGGGAGATCAAAGGTGTTTGGAGGGGAACCTTCGTAGACAGATGGACGGACTGGGTCGAATTTCCAGGAGTAGACGCCTAGTTTCGCTAGATCTTGATCAACTCCGCCCTGGTTGGTGACAGACTCTGCTGAATCGCCAGGACTGGACTGGCTTTCTGGTGAGTATGTTGGTTTGGCAGCTTGGGCGTCTTTTGCGGTTCGGAGAACATGCTCAAGATGTTCCTCTATGCGCTTCAATCGCGCTTCAAGACTTTCTTGTCTGTTGCTTTTGAGTATTAGTTTAATGAAGCGGCAAAGGATTGGAGACTCACTCTTGTTGTTGCTTGGCTATTCTGCCCCTCGCTGAACTGGTCTTTTGCCTGATGACGCTGGTGCGACAGCTTGTATTATAAAGGATACAATTTGAACAGTCGGGTTTAAGCATATCGCATTTAATCTTTTTCGTAAAGCACAAGTCGCAGGCTGTTTTCTATTGTTAACTGGGGTCATGCTACTCTCGTTCTTATTGACTCACCTTTGCGACGGCTTGAAGATGCGGAGTCTGTCTCTTCTGGAGTCGTCATGTTTGCAGTCATGCCTATCGCCTTGGGATCAGTAAAGATGGATGTCAGGATGATGCAGCATCTGAATACAACTCTGACTGCGCGATCATAGGATTGAAGATGAGATTTGGGATGCGACAGTCAAGAGCTGACAAATACTCGTTGAGACCGGGTGTAGTGTCTTTTCAGGTCCAGGCCCACTGTAAGCCGCTGATCGTAAGCACTAAATTAAGGGTCTTCAACGGGCAACCTACACGATTTCTAGGTAGCCCTAGAGATTAGTAGTACTTGATTCCAGATGCATTCAAGTGTAAGTCACATAGGAATGAGGTTTGATAACCTTCAGATTAGTAGTAGAAGATGGGTTAGACTGTTGTTAAGATACTACCTATGAGGTACACAACAGTTTGCTCTGATAGAATCGCGTAACAGCACCGGTTTCTTACCCGCCTTCAGCATGGATCCTTTTAGGTTGGGTCTGCAATCGTGCGGCGAAACGCATAAAGACCCTCGTGATATGATCAAAATAGGTAGGCTTACGCCCATGCTCCACTTGAAGCAGCTATACTCGTCTTCTTAAAGTCACTGCTCTACATATTTGATGGGAAGCACGAAGAACGAAGCATCTGGGAATATGAACAGAGGGGGGTCCTACCGGGGATAGGCGTTCACTACAATTGTAACCCCCTGCACGGTCTCTCACTTACACTTGTATCCATGCAATGTCAAGTCCATCTTTGGACAATCGTGATACGGTATCTCACTATTGAGTTAACGCGCCCCCACAAGACACTCTGCACTGCAGTTTTAACCCCCTCTCAGGCTTCTTCTATCTCTCGTGGGCTGGGCTTCACTGCAATTCTACACCCCGATTCCCAGTCCCTCTGCTTCTTGTATTGAAGCCTGTCGATCAATTACAAAGTTAAAACTTTGTCAACGCGCTGCACTGCAGTTTTAACCATCTCTTGAGTTTCTCTTTATGCAAACTTCACTGCAATTCTAACCCTCGCCCACGTCTGAGTGAATCGTGGGGCTGGAAACCTCGAGTCTACAGTGCAAGCGCGACTTGTTCAACGGGTTTACAACAATGAAAGAGAGCAATGAAAAGGAACCATTCGATAGCAATTCCCTCCACAGCAGTCAGTGTCTTCGCAGACAGGTCCTCCCAGAACAAGCCTTCATTATCACGATCGGATCAACAGAAAAAATACAATGCAATTCATAACATTCTCTTCATTACTTCATAATCTCAACTACTGGTATCTCTGATCATAAACCACCCGCTTAATAAGTGGTAAGGCTAGGCGTGCTGGGGTCTCTGGGGAACGAGAACTTGGTCTCAACAAAAATCTTCTGCATCGCATCTTCGCGCTTCTCAAACTTGTAGTAGACCTTGTCCAAATCCTCAAGTCGGACTCGGTGCGACAGCATCTGACCAGGATCAAGCTCTCCCTTCTGGATCATCTCGAGAAGCTCCTTCCAGTACTTGTGAACAGGCGCTTGGCCGTTACCGATAAGTCGGATACCACGCTCCATGAGGGATCCAACGTTGAAGTGGTTTGTGTATCCGACGTACACACCAGTAACACCACAGCGTCCGTAGTTGCGAACGCCCTCGATCATCTCGTTGATGATCTCGCTAGTATCGGTCTCGGCGCCGACGGCCATCTCGAGCCAGTGCATCCAGCCCTTGGCGTATTCACCAGCAGCGCACTCGATAGCGCAGTCGGGACCGCGGTTGCCAGTGAGTTCCTTGAGGCGGCTTACCACGGTGGGCTTGTTGGTCACACCGTGGGAGAGCTTCTTGTAGTCAACTAGCTCGAGCTTGCCCATATGAGGCTCGGGCCAGTTGTCGCGGATAAAGGACAGACGGGGTTCTGTGTCGACGAAGATGATCTTGCTTGCACCTTCTTTAACAGCGAAAATACCAGCCATTTGACCAATGGGGCCAGCGCCGAAGATGGCGACTGAGTCGTCGGGGTACACGGCTGTGTCCTTGACGGCATTGTAGGATGTGGCGAGGACATCAGAGAGGTAGAGAGCTGGGGAAGTCAGTACAAGTCGAATAAGTATACGGTACAGGTCAGACTTACCCTTCTCATCAGGAACACCATCGGGAATCTCCAACAAGTTCACATCACCAAGTGGCACGCGCACATACTCGGCCTGGCCACCAGCGAAACCACCAGTGAAATGCGAGTAGCCAAACATACCAGCCGTACGACCACCGTACATAGCGCGCTCTGTAGTGTTGGAGTTGGTCTTCTCACATTGCGACGAAAGCTTCTGCTTGCAGAAGAAGCAATCACCACAAGCAATCTGGAACGAAGCGACGTATCGCTTGCCAACCTCAACACCGGTGACTCCAGCGCCGACTTGGTCGACAACACCACAGAACTCGTGACCCAAGATGTCGCCTTCGCTGAGCTGGACCACTGTGCCGTGGAGGAGATGCAAGTCTGAGCCGCAGACTGTGCTGCCAGTTACTTTGAGGATGACATCGCGGTCTTCGATGATCTTGGGCTTAGGAGCGTCGACTGCCTTAATCAGTATACAACAACATAGTCATTTAAAGGAGTGAAACATACCCATCTGGACCTTGTTCTTGCTAATCCAGGCCAAAGCCTTCATAGTCTCGCTCTTGTCGCCCGTCTCACGGTACGAGGTAACGTCCTGCGCCGTGACGGCATTATCGCCGTGGCCAATGATCTTTTCGGCCTGATAAGCAGCTTGAGTAGCCATTTTTAATAAAATATTATGGTAAAAATAGTTTATTGGTATATTAATGACAGGAAAACACCCTGATGGGCGTCCTCCTCGGGGTATTTAACCACGTGGAACGTCTGTCTTCATGACTTCATTTCGCAAACTTCCACCCGTCATCGGCAGCTCGTCAGCATGACAGAAAAGGCTTTCTGTGGAGTCAAGATGATAGAAAAGGTATGTAACTGTACGGTGCTTTACTGTAGAGGTTGTGACAGGCGTTGATGCACTCATGACGATCCTTGTTCCTCGACGTCATAGATCGAAGACCAAAACACGGGGGTTTTATGTGATTGAGACCAGACGTTGAGAATTGGGTGGATAATCGGATTTATCTTCTGAACTAAGGTCTATTGCCGGTAAAACATTTCCTGTTCTGTAACCTGTCATCTCGATCTGAGAGTTCATAGCTTCATCATAGTCTCGCCCGGTCGAATGGTTCCCGCCGCCAAGTTTTTTACCTCCACATGAGCTTAAGAGCGGGGAGCTTTTTCTACAGCAAATTGGGAGAAACGGGATTAGGATGCCATGCAGACGATATTATTAAGTCAATTTATTAAACGTTAGTCTAGTCATTTGCTTATCATTTCCCGTCACCTGGATTCAATGCTCAAACGACGCTGATCCCCTCTTGGAGCTCCGTCTTAGTGGGCATCTTGTTTACACGCATCAATTCGGCACTCTGGGCCATGGCAGGATCTCTGCCCATGCTGGCCATGGCCACAACCGTTTCGCCCTTGCAGTAGTACGCCACGAATTGGTTCTCCTCCGCGCTGCCGTCTAGGACTAGGTCGTCCCACCCAGAAGCCATCGTGTTGCCACAGTATCGCAGCTGTGCTCCCAGAGCTGACCAGAAGATGGGAATAAAGTGCTCAGTCTTTCCACCAGGGCTGACGATGTGACGGGCGGCAATACGACCCGCCTTTTGAGCAACGTTCCAGTGCTCAATGCGGACAGGCTTACCTTCACCTCCAGGTCCATGGTAAGGGAAGGTTGCAATATCGCCAATAGCGTACACATCCTGGAGACCGCTGACAGAGTAGTCGTCATTGACTTTAATAGATCCGTCTTTTTCGAGTGTGATGTTGCTGTTGTTCTGGAGATACTGGGTCGCAGGGGAAACACCCACTCCAAGAACGACCAAATCGGCCTCCAGCTTAGTACCGTCCTTGAGGCACACAGCACCAACCTTGGAAGAGTCGGATGAGGAGGGCTCGGCCTTGTCGACACTCGCGCCCATGTAAAACTTGACTCCCTTGCCTTCAAGTGCCTTTTGAAGACCAGCACCGACCTTCTCACCGAGGACCCTCTCAAGAGGAACATTCTCCATACCGACGACAGTCACATCATTGTCACTGGCAGTAGCAACCGCACACTCCATTCCGATAAACGAAGATCCAACGACGACAATCTTCTTGCCCTTGTCACCAATCTGCTCAACAATCTTTCTTGTGTCGTGGACACTGCGAAGAGTGAAGATGTTCTCGAGGTTCTTGAATCCGTCGAGGGGCAATCGCTTGGGGGTACCGCCAGTTGCGAGAACCAGCTTGGTGTAAGAGATCTTCTCACCCTCCTCAGTTGTAACGAAACGGCCGTTGAAGTCGACATTGTTGACCGAACCATTGACGAACTTGATGGAGCCGCCTTCATAGAAGTCCTTGTTTCGCCAGGTCAACTTATCGAGGTCGGTCATGAGAGCCTTGCTCAGCTTGGTTCGGTCAATGGGGTAGTAGCCTTCGTTCGAGACAACGGTGATGCCACCCTTCCATCCATCCTCGCGGAGGCTCTCGACAACACCCAGTGTGCCTGAACCACCACCGACAATGACGACTTGGTCTTCCTGTAGGGCTCCGAATCCCTTGCATGAAACGTTGGGCTGTCGCTTGGAGGACTTGATGGCGCTCTCTTCGCCAGTGACGTACACGGCACCGTCTCGTTCGGTGACTTGGAATACGGGGAGATGGTCGAGGGCGGGGGCATCCTCAATATCGCCGGTCTTCGCATTAAAACAGGCTAGAAGATTGATCAGCAAAGTTCTAGATTGATCTAGATCTTAATCCTTGTATCGGAGCCATGCGCTCACGATACTAGGCAGAGATGCGCAGGGAACAGTACATACCTCCGTGCCAGGGACATGTGATGCGACCATCGTTGGTCAAAACACCCTTTGCGAGAGGTGCGCCGTAATGAGTACACTTGGATCCCAAAGCCTGTGTTGTGCCACCAGTGTTTACAAGTAGAACCTTGCCATTCTCAATACCTTCGACCTCAACCTCCTGCTTGGCGCCTGGAGAAAGAGAAAGGGACGAGAGGCCCTTGAGCTTGTATTCTTGAGACATTGCTTTGTATGTGGAAAAGGACTTTGCTAGAGGAAGAGGAGTCTGTATCCGAGCTGTACGAAAGCTTTGGAGTATTCTAGGGGAAAGGAGAGGACGCATAAGGTCGTCTTAAAGTAGCTGGGAGAGGAAGCTTGGGGAGAAGAGAGGTGGGATGATTGGGGAGAAACAGTGGGAGAGCCGAAAGTGAAAGAACGGATCATGGGCACAACTGCAACACTCCCAATGCAAGCATCACCACCTAAAGACGCTCCGAATCATCCATGCGGTTGCGATCCATAATGTGGGGGATGACAATGAGACGAATCTGACTGGTCGAAGCTCTCGATGTGGTAAGTTTGTATGACGACATGCCGATGTTGAGAGCCGACCGTTTCATACAAAGAAGCTGCGTTACCACAGTTTTCCTCAGTAGAAAAGTAAGCAAACGGTAAACACCGCTTGGATTTAATTGTTAAGCAACATGATGCCACTATTAAGTGCCGAAATAAGCGATATCAGGCGGTGAATAGAAAAGATGATGAATCAACGACAATTCCCGTTAGTTGATGGAGTTTAGAGTTTCTCTAACTCGTAAAAACACTACCCTAGACCTTGCTCGCGATGCTACTTTGGTTCTCAAGTCACGCTTTAGATCACGTGTCTAGCGTCTCAACGCTAAGGCTGTCGTCATGTCATCTTCCCCAACCCCAAAGCGGGATTAAATGGGTCAAAGCGGCAGCCAGAGGAAAAGTGTGACAACCTTGTTCCACGATCCAATCAAACGCTACAAAGGAAATGAAGACAATTGTTGGCGTTCAACACGTCTTCCCTGCAAAATGTCTGCACGCTAACCTCGAGAGAGTCACTGTGCCCCTGATGGGTGCCTGAGATTGCTCGCTAAATGCCCTGGTTCGTGTCACGCCTTATTTTGCGGGTGTTTGCAGCCAGTGATTGTTGGATCACATGGCCTACGTACAGCAGTTCATCTAGTTCGAGTGGCTGGGAATGGCCTACTCCAAGGCCTCATCTGCCCTGTTTATGCTCTGACGTACACTCACTAGACATTCACTGCCTCACTACAAAGTATAGTTATTCTTCGACGGAATAAACCTTTGTTTATTGTTATCGAGAAAACATCATTTTCGGCTTTCACACTAAGTCAGGAACAGAACTCCACACCTACCGTACCAATTTAGACTCGCGCGGGACCCTCATACCAATCAATCCATCCCGTCATTATCAGCAGCCAGTTATAGTTCCCTAGAGCCATAACAAAGACCCTCTTTGTTCAGGTCCAGGTCCAGGTCGAGAGTAAACACCAGCCGTTCCCATCAAGAAACGGCGACGAGAACGTCGTTTCTCTTCTCTGTGGACTTTCTCCTTGACGACCAAATCATGCTCTAAACCTTACCTCTCTCGCTTCTTGTGTCCCTGTCTCTCCTTGCAATCGACCTAATTATCATGTTGCCGACCGATCTCACTCTCTCTTCCGCCGATCTCGTTACCTTTCGCATCCTATCATCTGTATCTGTACAATAAACACAAACCCCCTTCTTTACTTTAAAGGCCTCTCCATCTCCGATTTTTCTTTCGCCCCAGCCACATCATGGAGAGGCCGGATCTCGATCAGGAGCCGGTGCTCTCTGAGATGACCTGCTGCTGTGGACGAATTGACTGCGCGCTTCTGAAGAAAAACTGCTCCATTCTAGAGACAGTTGAGAAGGATGTCCATACTGCTGCCCAACTTGGTCAGGTAAGTTGAAGGAGAGAAACAAATTTCGGAGCATTCCTCCCACAGATCTTTTTAATATGCAGGTCACTGTCGTTTTTTCCTCCCACCGCCTAAACACCTCCCGCGTGTCCTGCATGCCAGTCCCCGCTAGACACGTCAATATGCCCCATACAGTTGCTGACTTGTCTCCCTAGGCCCTGCTCGCTCGCCATGAAGCATATATGGCCGACGCAGAGAGGGATCGTCTTAGTCTTTCGTCCAGGATAGAGCAACTGGAGATGGCGAAGCAGGAACTCGAGGCCGAGAATGCCCTGAAAATCGAAGAAAACAGGAACCTGCTCGACCAGCTCGAGTTGATGAACAATAGCGTCTCCGAATCCGATACCAAGATCAAATCTCTCGAAGCGAGCTTGCTATCGTCGCAGCAGGCTGTACGAAGACTCGAGTCTGCCGTCCTACGAGCTGAAGATGCGGAACGACATATTCATCTACTCGAACTGGAACAAGATGACCTATACCACGAATTGAGGTCGACCAAGGAGGATGCTCGATCGCATGCTCAGCGTTGCAAGGAGGCGCAGCGTGGTATTATGGACATGCAGGACCAGTTGGAGAGGATGGAAGAAGAGGCCCGTGAGGAGCGTGAACGACATGCCGAGGTTATGGGACGAATGGAGCGTCAGCGTAAAGTTGAGCAGCAGTTGAACACAGCTGCAGGTCGTCTCAAGGGTGCAGCTGCCTCTAAGACACTCCAGGAACCGAAGCCAGGTAATCCCGTCGTGAACCACTTTGTCAGGGATCTTCTGCAAGACAACGCCAACCTGCAATTGGGTATGGCTGAGCTGCGGGAGATGCTTCTCAACTCCAACGACGAGATACAATCCCTGCGAGAACAGCTTCTCGATCACCAACCTGTCGAAACAAGGAATTCGACACTGAAGGACGAACTCGAGGCTTATGAGCCACCGCCTACGCCTCGGTATTCTCAAGAGCTTCACATTCACCACCACTATCACGTCACACCTAAGACCGACAAGGCAAAGGTCAGAAGAAAACGAGCAAGTCTCAACTCGAGTATCTTCTCGCCCTCATCAAGTTCCGGCACGTCAACACCTAGATCCTCCGCTCGCTGGAGTCTGGGTCCTGCCTTGCCTATCGCTTCCGTCAACACCAAAGAGACCAACTCTATCATATCGGTGCCCAAGCAAAGATGGTCCATGCTTTCAGAGCAACCCTCCGAATTTGCATCGTCAGTCCCAAGTTCACCTCAGTCCAATCAGCGAAATTCTGTATTCGACTCTGCTTTTGGCGACAGCGATTACCCAACATCACCGGCTACTAGCTTCGATGCTATGTCGCCCGCATGGCGGACTCACCGTAAAGGACCGTCCGACATTTCAGCTTTCAGTCTCCAAACACCTTCTCTCCAGCTTGACCCTGGTACACCGCCACGTCAATTCAACGATGATGTGATACATGAAGAGGACGAGGATGAGGGTGCAGAAGGCATTTCTCGAATCGATACCCCAGACCTTCTTGGAAACACACCGTCGATTGATGAGAGCTCCGTTGTCGAAAGCTCAGAAGACAACAGAGACGAGTACATGCCACGCCCAAGAATCCACCGGGCTCTATCACACGAGTCCATCATGTCTCTCAGCGGCGGTCTCGACATCCACACTCTTAAGGCCCGACCAAGCCAACTCACCCTCCGACCCCTCGGTGGCGCTGAAGCTGTCGTTACGGGTGTAACAGCCCGGCCCACACTCGCCAGAGATGAGTCCAAGCGAAGCTCCGCCGCCCTGCGAGACTCTTTCGCTGTTCTACCCACCGGCCGAAACGTTTCAAACCCACAAACCAGGCCTGGATCGAACAGATCCGCATCGCCCGCTCCTTCGGACCACTCTACAGGAGGAATAGGAAAGTGGGTTGGCTGGAGACCGTGGGCCTCAACAACAAGCGAAAACGCAACCCTCAAGCCTGCTGAGAAGGCCAAAGATAAGAGTCTTAGTCGCTCGCCTGGTATCAACCAGCCTGGTGCCATTCCTGGATTTCACCAGTACTGGGCGGCGCACAAGCGAAAGGGCGCACCGGCCCAGGTTACTACTGTGGCCGTTGACCACGACGCTCTGGTGGAAGGCTTGGAAGAGTAAATACCTACACTCGGTACATGGATACGATATACATCTCATTTGTGGCGTTCGATAAGGGAGGATTAAACCTGATGGAGATACCCCTGGCTAGACAAGCCCAGTCCCTTTGTTCTTTCTCTTTTATACATACATGCATTCGCTAGGTGTTTTATTGGGTACGGTTATCGGTTAATTTTGGGTATAAATACTATATCAGACATAAGGTTGTTCAGTACACTTTTTTATCCCACAATATTATTATTGAGCATATTCCAATACGTTGTGTCAACACCTTGCAGAGCCCAATCCTCTGGATCAGCCGTGAAGCACGGCCAATTGAAGTCCACCACATCAGGCGAGCCATCGAAGGGACATGTGGGTAACTCGGAGTTGTCCTGCGCGAACGAGGGGGAGTTGAAAGAAAGTGGGAACTGTGACATGGCCGGATCCCCACTGCTTGGTGTGGTGCTGTTGGACGGCATTAAGCTGGTCGTAGACGCTGGAGGTGTTGGTCCTGGGTTGATGTTCACCGTTCCTAGGAAGGGTACGTGAAGATGCATGTTTTCTCCGCTTGAGCCTGGCTGTCTTTGAACAATTGGCAATAGCTGTCGAATTGTGTCGGCAGCCTCAATGCAGAGTGTGTCGTTGTACAATGACCCCATTTCTTGCATCCTTCCTATCGTTCGTTCTGCCAAGTCTCTGTCTTGTTCCTTTTCTGTCTCCCAACCCGACCAGCGCCAACCGAGGTAGCCTAGAAGGAGAGTCATTGCTGCTACGAGCGCTGAGTAATCAACGTGTCGACCTGATACAGCTGTTGTACAGAAACTGCGGTATTCGAGGAATCTGATGAGGATGTCGCGACTTGCTTGCATGCATGTAGAACGGTTGTATTCGTAACGTCTTTGACCACGATCGCGGAGGAGGTATGGAAGGTGAAGCATGAGAAGAAGTGTGTAGTGTCGCACCTGGAGCTTTATGATACTCATCCCATCCCCCGAAACGTCGGATGATCCGCAGCAGATAGTCATATCTGGAAGTTTCCACCACATGTCATCCATCTGAGCGTGTGTCTTCTCAAGATCCAGATCAATAGACTGCGTGAGGACATATGCCTCACTCCCTTGTAACTCGTTTCGGTCGGCGATCTTGCCAGCTATCACGGCATACATTTTGCCGAGTTTGTCGGCTGGCGCGTCGGAGATGAGTGCCTCGTCTTCGGCGAACCAGTTATCTTTGGAACCAATGGAGAGACCGAGGATGAGAGAGAGGTAGCGATCGTTGCAGTTGATACGGAACCAGATTACTGGTGGTGAAGGGCGATGTTTCTCGTTCAATGCAGGATCGGCCGAACGAATTGGCTTTGCGTTCTTGCGGTCGATGCCCATCAATTGAGCCATGTTGAGTGCCCGACGGCATGTTAACCATGCTTTTCTCAGATGGCCTGCATCACTCTGGTAGAAGCTGTGCAGGATGAGAGACTCCAGACCTTCTAAGCATCCGACGAAGTCGTCATCAGAGGTAACAAGCCTTCCCGTAACAGCAACCCACTCTTCCATCGTTTCGCGCGGCGATTTACTTAGACCCAGTGCACTTCCATCGAAGAACCTCGGCATTTGCTGTAGACATACGGCCACTTGAAGGAGACGTCTTGCCAGGACAGCAGGGTGACTAGTAATTGGCGGAATCTGGGCCAGCGCAGATAGGGGTTCAGGCTTCCCGTCAATCTGATCCTGCTGGGAGTAGAACGAATTGAGAACGAAGCGTGCACCAGGACTTTGTTGTGATATAGCATACAAAATCTGCTGCGACGGAAAAAGAGCATGAAGTTGAGCCGAAACATTGGCAGCTTTCGCAGAACGAGTAGGATACCTCGCTTTCTGTCTTGTTATTATCGCCGGGCCGGCATTCTCGTTGTGACTGAGCGCCATCTGCGCAGCATTGTCTGCCACCGAAGGCTCAAACACATCGACAGTATGCTGCGTGAACTGCGTCAAGGTCGAAGTCGGCCCTTCAGAATCTGAAGGCGACGGTATTGAGCCCTGTTTTCTTGGTTCGGATCCATTCTCTACCAACTTCTCCATCAATTGCTCCAATCGTCCGAGACGTTGGGCGAGACGCTTGTCCTGCGGTGCCGCAGATGGCGCAGGGACATATTCCTGCGAAACGCAGTTCGTCTCGCGCTGTGTACAACCGACGCATATAGGATCGTCTTCATTTGTGAATTGACACTTTATCTTGCGACGACGGCCTTCTCGGTGTTAGTGATGGTAGAGACAAGATGACGGAGAGTACACACATTCCCAGCAGCTGCGCGTGCCTTTGCGCACCTTCCGACGTTTGGATGATTGTTCGGTCATTACCACGGAGTGCTTTCGGCCGAAGAAGAAATACAAGAGATGGTGAGGGTTGTGGAAAGGAGTTGTGAAGGGTGTGAGAGGAGAGGGTGTTATTGAAGAGACGGACAAAATGCGGACGGATAACGGACGAATGGCTGGAGCTAAGTGGGTGGTGAGTACGGAAGGATTCGTCCGTCTTACATCGGAGGCCGAACGGACGAACGCATTAATAATGCAATCAAGCATCAATGAACGATCATTCAACTCTTCTTATACCTACAAGGGACGCATGAGCGAGAACTACCTAATTGCTTGGAACATGCGCGGTTCTTTATTGAGTACCTACCTATGATAGAGTAAAGCCATGTTAATGTACAACTGTAAAGCCCGTTGTTGCTGTCTAGGAATAACCCAAGCTCAGGACGGAGGAGGAAGCTCTTAACATCCATATGCTCAAAGCGTCCCCTACAATACTTTCACAAGTTCAAAGCCATCTACGATAAGAAAGTACAAAAATTGAGCACCTTTAAATGGTGTTTCTGGGCTCGAAAAGTAAAAAGTATGGTTCCGCCCGGGCTCGAACCGGGGACCTTCTCGGTGTGAGCGAGATGCGATAACCAACTACGCCACGCAACCTCTTCTGATTGGATGCTTTTTAGGTCAGCAACTGCATATCATATCGTGATCAGAAAAGAGGTCGGTGAAGAATTGGAGTCATGATTGGAGTACCCATGTTTATCATGACATGTTTTTATGGAAGCTGGTTACAGGTAAATGTAGAACAGAGCCCAACATGACTACCGATGATTGACGCTACTGCCGATTGACGAATGGCTAGAGCACATAAAAGAGTTACAATGAGAACCTTCCCAAATCTCTCCCAAAGATCGTTCCAATACTCCCTTCAGCATCATCTAGATAGCCAGGAGTCCAGGACTAGTAGGTCGAGAAGAATGCTTCCTATCATGGATAGGACAATGACTCTTCATCGCATTCCCGCAGGTGCTATCACAAACACGTGGATTCTCAGGATCCCTCTCCAACTTCGGGTCAAGAGGTTCAACCTCTGGGACTGTCTTCTCTCTCGGCGGCCCTTGAGGTCCAGGGCCATCTCGGTTTGCATCACTCTTAGCACGCAGCTCTGCGCGCTTCTGTTCCTCCTCAGCACCCTCCCGTCTTTCAGCCTCGACACGTTCTGCCTCAAGCTCTCTGGCCTCTCGGAGAGTCTCAACAGTTTTCTTGGTGTTGCGACGGGATTGCCAAATAGTAATGGGGAAGCAGAGGATGGTTGCGTAGCCTGCTGGGCTTGTGAAGGCGCCGAGACCTTTACCTTTTGTAGGGATCTTCTCGGCTGTTTCGTCTTTGCGAGTGAGGTCTGTGATAGAGAAAGGCATTTTGGCTTTTGGGCAGTAGTATATGGCAACTATTCATTAGTAAAATCCAATAACATTGTTGAAAAGCGCAGACTCACAAGTAAGACAGAATGTTTATCTTCAAAGCTCGAACAGCAACTCGAGAATAAGGACAACTATAAGGTTATTTATCTCCCAACTGGAATTTCCGAAATGAGGCTCTGCTATGCATCGTGACGCATGCTGACATGATGTCACTGTAGCTAGTCTGAATGATTGGATAGGTGAGATGCAGTCCCTTGTCGAAGTTTTGCAACAACAAAAACGGCCCCCAAATTTCAAGCCTCATATACGCTTCGACTTCAATGATTCGTCCCAATGGAGATCAATTCTTTTCTTATTCATATGATTATGCAGTTCAGCAAGTTTTTCTCCTTTATTTCTTGTTTTCTTTCTTGGCTAGAGTCTGAGTTGCAGGTGGTGCGTGTAATACTGCGTTTTAACATGGAAAGCTAGGGAGGATATGGTAACAAGAGACTCTGTGGAAGTTCCCCTCTTTCTGAGGGTATGTGAGTAAGACGACAGAAGTGTCCATCCGTCTCTGGAATGTTGCCCTCGGTATGACTCGAGTATCAAGCTTGTTATCATGCTATCGCGGTGATATAGCAATCCGGACAGAGGCAACGCGCTTACAATGACACCAACCTGGATGCATTACCTGGGCGTAGCGGTTAATGGTTTTAGTAACAAACCGCCCACGAGTTCTACTAAGTCTTTGCTCTCCAAGCTTGTGCATGCCTGAGCTCTATGATAATCCAAAGTAGGTTTGTTAGAGCCATATGAGCATTGAGACACTAAGTCATTGTTACCTCTACAGTAGGTGGCCTCGTTTTGGTACTTCGGCTCAACTATCCTTGTCGACAGTTGACCCAGTACACAGCTGCTGGCCATCTTACCTCTAAGGCATATAGTACCTGAGACCTTGAACAAGCTTGCCCTTGACGCGAGGTATAGCAATACGAAATGGAACACAATATGACAGCACTTGGCCAGAGTGCAGTCTGTTGAAAGTGATAGCATCACGACCAACACTTCATGAATACCCGCCCCTAGATTACAGTCGTAATCTCGGACGGCAAGGATATCTGATGTCAGACTACCAATTCCAAAGTGAACTTACTCGCACTATCAACCATGAACGGTTCGGGACATACTAGCCTTTCCCTTCCAATCGTCGTCGGATACAGCGGCATAATGTCACTATTCCATCTTCCCTAGACTCAGCGCGGCTCGCGGTCTTAGAGCAAGAACAAGGATGCCAAGGATATCTCAGCCGTATATCGGTACCCAATCATGAGACACACTGTTTTAAATGATGGTGTTACCCCTCTAGAGTTACAAGCCTTGAATGACTAGACTATCTAGGTGTGATATCCCAAACAAGGATAAAGCAGTCCAACATTCCTCTGGCCCGTAATGAACAGGGTCTCTCCGCATTAAAGAGGAAACTACGGAAAGTGAAACGTGGGAAAAATGCGGAGAGAGCCAGTCAATTCAGTTGACGCGTTGGAGCACGCTCAGCATGGCTGGGGGGGCTTCGGTGCGCGGTTATCTCTGGTGGGGTGCTTTATCAACCGCCCTTCCACTTTACGTACTGGTATCAATCCAAGACCCAGATTGATACTACCAGCTGGGCATAGACCAACTTAACTTATCAGCCCATCGATGTTCAGCTCATCTCACGGCTCCTTTCAATCTGGGGAAATGACTCCATGCTTATCGGGTGGAGTTTCCATATCCCTCAAGCAATCTGCCTCCAATCTGTCTCTTATCAGATAACTCGGCAGTATTATAATACCTATCTCATACCTATTGACACCCGACTCCAACACTTGACATGCATTTGAGACTCAAAGGATTAGCCGCGCTCTGTCTCCCCCAAAAATGTAGCCGCTCTTCCCCCTCACTGTCGCTGATCAGCAGCACAATGACCGAATGTCAAGCCACGTACCCCAGATAGACTAGACCGTTTCAGGACGAAGATAAAATCGTGGAGAAGAAGTTCGGGTGCAGGTGCAGTTCATCAGCAATCAGCGGCCCTTGCCCCCCCTAAGTTAGCGAACACAAGCTAGAGCTAGCTCGGTTGGCTGGTTCTAGCCCTTGTTGTGACTCCGAGCGAGGCCATTCCATTTTCCTGATTCCTCTTTTATTTCTTGACAAGATAATAATGTCCAATCTCCCCCTTCCTCGATAATTAATTCCACCCTCACTTTCTTCCCTGCCTCTTATACTATACATAATTACTTCTTGGATATATACATACTCATTGATTAATTCATCATGGAGTCGTCCTCCCGAAGCGGCGACGCAGATCAGGCCCTCGCCCGGCTGGGCTACAAGGCCGAACTCCCTCGAAACCTCAGCATGCTCAGCGTCCTCGGCTTGTCCTTCGCTATCATGGCCGTCCCCTTCGGTCTCTCGACGACAATGTACATTACCCTCACAAATGGTCAAGCTGTCACCGTCCTCTGGGGCTGGGTTCTCGTCTCCCTCATCTCCCTGTGCATCGCTGCCTCGCTCGCTGAGATTTGCGCCGTCTTCCCCACCGCTGGAGGTGTTTACTACTGGAGTGCCATGCTCAGCACGCCTCGTTACGCGCCTATCGTCAGCTTCGTCGATGGCTGGCTTACACTCGTGGGAAATTGGACTGTGACTCTATCCATCAACTTCTCGGGCGCGCAGCTCATTCTTAGCGCCATTACCATCTTTAATGAGGACTTTGTCGCGAATACATGGCAGACTGTCTTGTGCTTTTGGGCTGTCATGATTGTTTGCGCGCTGGTCAATGCTTTTGGGTCGAGGTATCTGGATCTTATTAACAAGGTCTGCATTTACTGGACGGGCGCCAGTGTTATCATCATTATTGTTACCATACTCGTTATGGCTCCCGAGCGCCGATCGGCCGAGTTTGTCTTTACCCATTACGATGCATCGGCAAGTGGTTGGCCTGAAGCATGGTCGTTCTTTGTCGGACTACTGCAAGGTACGTGTGCAAGTCTCAATTGCGCATGAGCACAGCTAACAATTAATTACAGGCGCATACGTTCTCACCGGTTACGGCATGGTCGCTTCCATGTGTGAAGAAGTCCAGAACCCTGAGCGTGAGGTCCCCAAGGCCATCGTCCTCTCCGTCGCTGCCGCTGGTGTTACTGGAATCATCTACCTCATCCCTATTCTCTTCGTCCTTCCCGACGTCCAGATGCTCCTCTCTGTCGCCAACTCTCAGCCCATCGGTACCCTGTTCAAGGTTGTTACAGGCTCTGCCGCTGGTGGCTTCGGTCTCCTGTTCCTGATCCTTGGTATTCTCATGTTTGCTGGTATTGGCGCCCTGACCGCTGCATCTCGCTGCACCTACGCTTTCGCCAGAGATGGAGCTATCCCTGGATACAAGCTTTGGAGCAAAGTCAACCACCGTCTCGACATGCCCGTCAACGCTCTCATCCTCTCCACCGTGGTCGACTGTATTCTTGGATGCATCTACTTCGGTTCCTCCGCTGCCTTCAACTCTTTCACTGGTGTCGCCACCATCTGTCTGGCTTCCTCCTACGGTGTCCCCGTCGGCGTCAACCTTATCCGTGGCCGCAAGATTGTCAAGCACTCTCCCTTCCCTCTCGGCAAATTCGGTCCCCTCATCAACGGTATTTGCGTCGTGTGGATCCTTTTCTCCATCGTCATCTTCTGCATGCCTGTTTCCATTCCCGTCGACGCAGTCACCATGAACTACGCCTCTGTCGTATTTGCCGGATTCGCCTTCATTGCTATCGTTTGGTATCTCGCCTATGCTCGCAAGAACTTTACTGGACCTCCCGTGCATGATGGAGATGCTTATGAGCCGGGTGTGCAGGTTCTCAAGGGTCAAGAAGGTAGTGCACCTGTGCACGAGGGTGCAAGCGATCTTCCAGAAAAGGATTCTAATTAGTTGGCAGGTATTACCGAGGAGAAAGCTGTATCATAGGCATTTAAGCATATGTATCAATGAATTCCAGTTTCAACGTTTCACAATTGATTGTGTTTGACAACGTGAAGTAGCAAGCTCGCAGCATTTCGATAGCGCAACCTGTAGCAGATGTTCATCTCACTCGACAATCCAAGGTCAGTCCAGGTGGTTGAGAAGCATTAGGTTCGTAACGAAAGGAAGATTTACACTCAATAGTACAATGTTCACGGATGATACCATCGGACTGCATCTCATTCTTGGCATGGAGTAGCGCGGTTTGAACGACCATCACACCCGCCAAGAGATTAGTAGCTATTGATCTTGCGAATGCTATCGCGAACTGTCTTGTGGTGCAAGAGGTCGAGCAAGTTACGGATGGCGCGACGACTTCTGGGATGGCTTCTACAACAGTCTGACATCAAATCACAACATGATCGAGGATTCCATGGCTGAAAAGAGACATCAATAGCTCAGCATCTCTGGGTTTGGTCAATGTACGGTGGTCAATCAAGATACATCAATGGCATTCAATTCATGTTGCTCTCCAGACTTCTTTAGGTTAGGGTAACACCCATAAACAGGTGAAGGCCGCCTCAATTAAAATGAGCTGATCCGGGCGGTAATTGTCGCGAGGTTCAACTGTTGTACTCTCTGACATGTGATACCTTCTGATACCGTCATCACGAACGCAGGCTGCTGCGCCCCAGCTATGATACAGCCGGGCCAGTGATTACAGTAATGAACAAAAAGAAGTTTTACATCGACACCGCCCAGGTTCACACCGGGCAGGTTGAGAACAGAAGAATTGTTAAGGCTTAAGGCGTCAAAATAAAGTAGCCTAAGTGCTTCTCTACGCTTGCATAAGATGGCCTGATTATTTCGTCTCTTATCTTAGTGGCCAATTCTTCTGACACCCTGACGCCGAGGACCTTTTCGGTATTAACAAGATGCCATCGCAACTCGACCTCATAGTGGTGTTGTCAGTGAAGAGAAGCATCATGGCGCATTATCATGGGCGTCGTAGAGACGAAGACGCGGGCATAGACATGATGTTGAATAAAGTTGAACAGATTCATCAAGTCCAATTGACTTCATGCGGAACTCTATTCACAATCCTCTCTTGGTAAATCCTCAAACATGAAACTCATCGCTAACTACTATCCGTAAATAAAATGGTAAGAAATAATACTCCCTCACAAGCCATTAGTCTCCTCGCTATCCAACACGCTATTATTATGCCTGTGATCATGTGGGTTATTCCTCGACGCAAGAAGCGACTCCAACAGTGAGCCTATCTCGGGGTATATCTGCTCAATGCTCGCCAGCCCTTCAGGCCCCAACTGTACCATCACGCTGAACATGTTGGTGAAACGGGCAGCTTCTGTCCCGCGCGTGACGGCAGTTTGAAGGTCTCGTATATCGGACTCAACGTCGCTGGAGTTCTTCTCCGCTGCGTCGAGATCGTCAGTCGCTCGGTCCAACTCTTCTCGCTTCGCGCTGATGGCCATCTCTTGGGTTTTTATCTCCTCGCTTTTAGCGGCGCGGCGTGTATTATAGCTGCGTATCGCTTGAGCTATCTCAGGCGGCAGGGACATATTGTTCTCCTGCAGGGCATGTAGCTGCGGCGCTAGAGCATCTTCGGCGGCGGTTTCCTCGATGAGGCGGCGCAGCTTTGCTTGTGATTCGGCGATTTCGTCGTGGATGGCCTGGACGCGATCTTGGGCTGTGCGGAGCTTGCTCATTACTTCCTGATGTGTTGTTCTATGGGGGAAGATTTCTTGCTGGGCGATGGCGAGCGAAGCACGTATCGTTCGGACGTGGGCGTCGATTGCAGCGACAAAGACGTTCGTCGCCGGTTGTAACGCTTCTTGAAGTTTATTAGGTTCCAGAGAACGGGTAGCGTTGGCCTGTACGGTGCCTGTCAGTAAACGATTGCATCATTAGATGGGTGACAGAAGAATTGTCCTCGAAGGGTCAGGCCACCATCATAAAGTAGTCCAAGTCCTAGTCTTAGGTGGCATAAAGTCACAAAATTATTTCGTCTCTTATGCTTTTAGGCCCAATTCTTCTAATACCCTGAGGAATATGTCAATTGAGATGGATGGACTGACCGTTGCATTGGGGCCAAAAGATGAAGCCATTTGGAACGTAGCCATGGGAGAACTAAACATCATCAAGCTCTGTGCGGCGGATAGTCGCGATCCTTCTGGCGAGCTGTGCCGGATGCGTTTCTCTATTGGCGTGGGTATTGTGGTAGCTGGGCGTTTCAAATGTCGAACACTGCGAGGAACAGGAGGAGATGGAGGGTATTCTGAAGCGACGGTTATAGACGCCGCCATGTGCTCCTCGCTCTCCTCCGAAGACGTATGTCGATGCGATCGCGATGGATCAATTGGCGAATCTGGAGCGCTGTAATTCGCCGTTCTCCTTCGTCGCCCAGAGCGCCTCTCACCGGTACCCCCATCGTCACCAGTGGTATCATCCTGAGCATCTGGTGACTGAGGCATGGTTCTCACAAATCGTTTCTTGGCAGCATGTACATCCTGCGCCATCAATTTCCCGGCATACGAAGGTTTGCGATCGCGCGCAAGAGACTTGCGAAGCTCTGATTGAAGATCCTGCAGTGTGTCGCCTGGGTTTCTAGCAACATGATCCGCAACAAGGGCGAGGTCCTCGAGCAAATTGATAGCCCACATTTTGGGAGGTGCTTCGGGGACAATGTCCCAGGGCCAGACGCCCATGGCCTTGTATATCCGTCTAGCTGCGCGGGCGCCGCGTGTTTGGAGGTATGTACCGTGAGGTTCAGGAATGCGGATTGTGTCTATGTTATTGTCGAGAGTGCTGTCAAGAGCGCTGTCGGCCTCGAGGATCGGCGACTGCGCGTTTGGCCGTGTCGAAGGCATCGCGCGGCCCAAGGCAGGGAGGGAAGAGGAACGAGGGACTGGCGCGTGTGACTATGACATTCAATTGATGCTGCTTAATAATGATAATGTGTACAGATGGTGCAAAATATTTTATTGAAGGTCCCAACCGCGGGCAAGCAGCCGGGTCTGGCGCCGTGGTAGTATCGGGTGTTTGCGATGATCCCCCCAGCCACATCATGGAGCGCTGGTCTGGTGAGCTCAGTCTCATGTAAAGTCACGTGATATAATAACTTTGTTGGTTCCCCTGCAGGGTGTCAGAAAAATTAGCCGTCATAAGAGAAAGAGACGAAATAGTTTAGTCACTTTCTGCCTTCTTAGGCCACCGCTTAGGCTACTTTATTCTGGCAACCTGAGCCTTAGAGGACATTTCATCTGTTACCCGCCCAAGTCCCCGCAGTCATGAACTCATGATGCCATTTTCTGACTCATGCAGCATGTCAAATTAATTCATTTTGGTTTTAAAGCAACAATTTAATTTTTATAACTCATATGAATGCTGTAAATCACTCTGTCGCTCGTTTTGGTGTTCTGTAGCTGGCGTAAATGGCTAAGATGGTCGCATTCTTACGCGAGTACTAGCACCATGTCCCCAAAAGCAAAATATCGTTCGATTTGATTATGATTTCGGCAGGCCTCAAAACGAGCGACTGGGAAGGCATTCTCGGTATATGCCATATTACCATACGACTATTGGCTGTTGCTGATTGAAGAAAATGTAATCCTGCACCATCACAGCGTGCATCTGTGGCTTCATTTACGAGCCATGAGCTTATCTGGTTAGCACCAAATCGGCCGAGTTTGATCAGAAATATGAAGAGAGCCCTTTACAATGGACTTGTGCGTTATCATGTTATCCTGTACCGAGTCCTATAGAGTGACTGCAACGATTTTAGTCGACAATACGGTTATTGAAACCAGATCTTTCAAAAGCATGATAAAATCCATGATCATCTCCACATTAAGTGTTCTTGAAGATAATCAGCTCTTAACAACTGAATCCTACTTCAGGGTTGTTTGGAACCGACAGCTTTATTTGTTCAAACTATTTTCATCATCTCATTACATACTATGCCCAAACGGAGCCTAATATTCATCATTTATCGAACCCTGTTGTAGTACTGTCCAATAGCCTTATCGAGGACAGCCTTGACCTTGGCAGGATCCAACTTCTCCTCGCGGTTGAAAGTATACAGTCCGTTGACTTCCTGCTCAATATCGGCCCTGTCACAAATCCTTAGCAAACATCCAATCACAGGAAGAAAGAAAACTTACAATTGGGTGTACACGAAAGCACAGCAGTGTCCGGGCAAGACAATGCCATTAACAAGACGCTCGATTCTCTTGACAAGGTCATCAGGGTTTGTAGCGGTGGTATATCCCCAGTCAAGGTTATCGCCCTCCTCCTTCTTGGCAGGAGCAATATTAACACCACCAAATTCGGTGTTCATGACAGGTGCGCCGGGCTTGTGAGAGGAACCTTCATCGACACCTGGGATTGGCTTGAGGAAGACGCCGCGGCCGCCGGCCTTAGGGGCGATGATGCCTTCGAGGGTGGCGCAGGTCTTTTCAATCTCAGGGCCGTCGGAGTAGTCGTGGAAGGTGGTAAGATCCGTGAGGACGTGCTGCCAGCCACAGTTGTCGTTGATACTTCGGGTATCATCGAGGTTCCTAGTACCGGTTAGTATTGGTTTGATTTAGAGGAAGAGAACTTACTTTGTGAGATAGTACAGCTGGCGGATGTGGTTTCGCTGCTCAGCGTTATCCTCAAGGTTGGGATAAGCCCAGCTCTCGTTCACAGGAGTCCATGTCACGACTGAAGGCCTGTTGATAACCAACTTGACAGCCTCCGTCCACTCTTGGTTGAATCGGTCAATATACTCAGCACTGAAAGCATAAGCATTCGCAATTTCTCCCCAAACGAGGAATCCAAGCTTGTCAGCCCAGTAGTAGAACAGAGGGTCTTCAACTTTCTGGTGCTTACGGCAGCCGTTAAGACCCATCTTCTTAGCAAGCTCGATATCAAGCTTGAGAGCTTCGGAGCTGGGAGGTGTCATGAAGGTCTCAGGCCAGTAGCCTTGGTCGAGACAGAGAGCCTGGAAGTAGGGCTTGTCGTTGAGACGCCAAGTGCTGTCGCCGGTTGTCCAGTTGATGTTGCGCATGCCGGTTGTGGTCTTGACTTCGTCAATGACGGCGTCGGTTTCGTCATACAGACGGATGGTGAGGTCGTAGAGTTGAGGGTGTTCGGGAGACCAAAGAGCCACACCATCGCGCCAGGCGAAGCCACTCTCTAGAGGAGCCTTTTCGAGGACAGATTGAGGAAGCTGGGAGCGCTGCTCTTCAGATAGACGAACGTTGAGTTCGACACCAACGGAGTTGGACTCGTGAGGAAGAGCCTTCTTGTCAGACTTGGCAACAGGGACACCAGCGAAACTAGCCTCGAGCTCAACGCTGTAGTCTCTACCAACACGACGTCCCTTGGTGGCGATGGTACTGCGGAGCTGACCAGAGTGGATGTCGTTGGACTTGATAACGGTGCCAGAAGAGCTATCAGCAATACGAGCCGAGGGAACAACCTCAAGCCAGACAGACTGCCAGATACCACCAGAAGGTGTGTAAAAGATAGTCTCAGGCTTAGCAGCCCAGTACTGCTTTCCTCGAAGCTGTGTCAAATCATAAGCTGAATCATAAACTCGGATGGTGACACGGTGAGTAGTAGCATCCTTAGCCGCATTGACAGCATCAGTGATATCGACCTCGAACGGAACATGTCCACCACGATGCCCACCAACATACTCCCCATTGACCCAAACAGACGCCTCATAATCCACCGCTCCGAATCTGAGGACCAGCCTATGATTCTTCTCCTTCTCAGCCTTGGATCTCAAGTCCGAGACAGCACGCTCATACCAAAGAACCTCATGCACACCACGGTCATTGATCCCCGACGCAGGAGATTGAAAGACGTAGGGCACGTTGATTTTGGTTTTTGAGTTGGAGGTTTGGGTGGAAGAAGTGAAGACGTTGTTCTGGATGAGAGAGTGGGCCTCGCCCATGATTTTCTGGACGACGCTGTCGCTCTGGCCTGCCGCATCTTTGCGGGAGGCCGATGTGGTGAAGTTGACCTTTTCAGGGAGACCGCTACGCTGCCAATTCTCTAAGAGGCCAGCGTCGGCATCGTCGAAGAGGAAATCCCACTGTCCATTGAGGGATTCCCAACGAAGTGGGTTGCGCTCGAAGTCAGGACGGGGGTACGTCATTTCGATGGTCTCAACAATGCAACGGTTTGGTAGTAGAGCTTTTACCTTGAAATCGGTATGAAAATGATGAGAAGAGGATGGTGTTTTCTAAAAGTTTTGACCGCACGTCGATCACCTGGAACGTGTTTTCTTATTTGGTTTCAATGAGGGGACCTCTCGTAATCAGCGGTGGGTCTCAGCTCAGCCGTAGAGGTACATATGAAGCTATCTGATTGCGCAACACGTTCAAAAAGTTGGAGATGACAATGGATCTCCACATGAGACATCCATTCCATTGTTGGAAACTTGGTAGGTGCTGTGGACTCTTTTAAGTGGTCCAGATCTTCTTTGGCATTCTTTTTTTCAGGGTCTGGCGGATAAGCATGTTTTATGTCGATCTGTGTGGCGTGGACATTTGGTTTTGATAAAGAGAGAAATGGGTAGGTAAGGTATGGTATGGTATGTATGTACAGATGAAAATTCCCAGTATTAATTTACTAAAAGAAATAAAATAACGAGATACAGGCCGTTTCCTGCAATGTTGCTCTTCTCTTCTACAAACAAAATATGGTATCAACGCTGAAATTCTATTTTATTTCCTCCCTTCTTCCCCTTAAGCTTTGTGGAAGGTGGTGGTTGTCGTTGTCTCCTTCATAGCCTCACCAGACGAATCGCTTACTCTACGGATCGTCTTCCAAGCAGCAAGACTCTTCTCGGTAAAAGTACCAGTGCTCTCAATAAGCGAAGTGCGACCGAAATTCAATGTTCCCAGACTAGGGGAGGGGCTTGGCATCGGGTTGGTCGCTACGATCTTGGTTTGGACACCCATCTTGGCTTGGCCGTCAAAAATGTTGGAAAAGGTCGATGTGCCGCTGCTACTGCCGAGACGGGGTGGACCTTGACTGATACCCAGGAAGCTGTTGTTGCTGTTGTTGTCGTTGGGTTGGACTGCGCGGCGGCGACGCCAGAGCCAGAACATTACGGCGCCGACGATGATCAGAACCACGAGAATGGCGATACCGATACCAATACCGGCTTTGGCGCCAGTGGACATTCCCCCAGAGCTGGCCTTGTCGTCGTCAGAATCGCCGTTTCCTGAACCACCTCCACTTCCGCTACCGCTTCCACTGCCTGCATCGCTGTCGTCGTCTTCAGGTGTCATGTAATCCTTGGGGTTACCCTCAGTATCCTCGATACCACCAGTACTAGCCCTTTTCTCCTTCTCGTCATGGTCTCCAACACAAGTATACTTGCCCTTGACGATCTTCTTGACATTTGCGTCAAACCAACTGCAATCCATGGACTTGTCACCCACGACCTTGAAGTCTCCAGTCACTTTCTCCAGGTTGAAGAACTCGACGTTCGTGAAAGGTCCCTTGATCGAAATGGTGCCGGCGGATTTGAGAGCGTTTGCTGTAATGTTGGTGAGTTCGTCGTTGCCGCTGATGTCCAGTTCATCCACGTAAGTAACTCTGGGCAGAGCAAAAGTCGTGAGCGATGGGTTGTCTTCCACGGTAATGGAACCGTCCATCTCTTTCAAGAGCGGAATAGTAAGGTCTTCAAAAACGTTTGACGAGAAAGCCAATGCACCCTTGACCTTGTTCAGAGACGAAAACTCAACCTTCTTGAGACCCTTGAAATCCGAAGTCGCAGTGGTAGTGCTATTTCCGATGGATGAAAGGTAAGGCAGAAACACAGCACCATCCTGACCGTTGGAGGAGATAGACATAGTCGCAGCGTTTTCTAGGGCTGCGAGGCGGATCTCGGTAAGGGCGCCGTTCTGATTGAACTCGAGGTTTCCCTTGACCTCCTTGAGTTTGGGAAATGACACTCTCGTGAGAGCATTGTTGCCCTTGACACTGAACCCCTTGTTCGCGTAGGTAAGGGCTGTGACATCCAACTCCTCCATGTTCTTGTTTGAGTCAATCATAAAGTCCCCATTGACGGTATGCACTCCTCCAAGCACCAACTCCTCAACTTTTGTCTCGGTAACTCTCATCTCAGAGCCCACCTCAATATCCTTCTTATGCTGAATATTCAGCTTTGCGAATGCCTTGGTGATGACATAGCCCTTGCCAACTGACTCCAACGCATCAAACAGCAACTCAAGCTCCTCAACTGTCTTGTCTTTTCCAGTTCCGGTATTCCATATCGTGAATTCGCCCTCGATAGATTTTAAACTCGATGCTGTGACGGTTGTCTTCTTAGAATGGTGGTGGGGATAAATGACCAAGCTGCCGGTCAGAGAGCTAATGGTACCCAAATCCACTGCGGCTTTGATGGGGGGCCATGATTCTGGGCTCTTGTCGAAGAGAAGCGATAATGAACCGTCGACATCTTTACATGTTGAAATTCCGTCTTCGCCATCGGGGGAGTCGATAATCGTGTAATTGCCAGAGATATCGCAACCTAAATTGTCGCGTCAATTGAGGTCCAGTTGGGTCCTACGCAATTTGGTGGATAGGGGGCATGTCTCCACTATCACCACTGAACAGGGGACCTGTACTCACCAGCAGCTGCAAACCGCAGAAACGACAGCGCCAAAAAGGCAAAGCTACTTTTCGGAGCCATATTCGACTCTTTGCCCTTCCATTTACAACAGCGGCCGTAAGAACCAGAAGTTATCGAGAAATGGAGATGGAAGCTGGGGTCACCCTTTTAGTTTTATTCATCTTGCCTGGACAGTGACAGACCCCTGTCTCTCCTTAAAATTGCAACCGACGCCGCGCCAAGAGAAATTGGTTTTCCTACCGCTAGCTCACGCCACCTACGCGCTAAAAGGGGGAACTTTTCAGGTGAGGATGCACTACGCAGGCGGACTCTGTAGCGAAATGTCCTTTTGGGTATCAAGGCCGTTGTGCAAAGTTGAGCTGTCAGTTACAATTTGGCCGGTGCTGCGGGTGGCTTCTATTAGGCCCGACGGAAACTAATTATTTGGATGGCTTGGCGGAGTCCAGAGTACATGGAAAGTGTCGGGATGGAGTGGACGTTTCCGTTTCCTTGTGGGTTGTTTATCACGGCAGATGAGTGTTTCTTCCATAGCATAACGTGGTATTACGGCCAGCCCGTATCACACAACCCTGGCTCAAACATCCTGGTCGTTAATCAGCCATGTTATAAACACGGCAATGATCTAGTCGGTCCCATTCTGGAGTCCGACCACGCGGGAGGTAAGAATCCAATCTCAATCGCTGATTTAAGGCTTCCGTCTGTGATGTGTCTGTGATCACCCAGTCAAGCGAGATCAGTCGTCGCAGTGTCTTGAACTCAAATCTGCCTCCACCAACAGAATATTCGCATAACTGAAGCTCAAGTTTTATTGTGCTAAGACATGGGCAATCTCCATATCAGCGATCGGTGGTCTAGAAGACGCCATAACAAATGGCATAACTAACGTTATGCATAGATAATAGCACAGGCTAAACAAGCATAACCAAACAATTATTGTATGCCCATCATATCTGTCTAGAAACCCGGCCATAAACCCACCGGTCCTCTATTTGACACTCTCGACGCTTTATCCTTGACTAAAGAGACATTAGCAGGTGGGTGTTATCACAACTTCACAACATGACTTACATTTCTCCCATGTCAAAGGGTCCTTTAAATCGCCCTTCGCCTCCTTCCACACAACAGCGCACCAACTCGTAACCAAAAAATCGTAAAGCTTTTCATCCATATTCGCTTTGATCGCAAGACGAGGTGGCTCAACGATTTTCTTGTCCTTGTCGCGTTGGAGTTTTGTCTCGACGGCAAGGACCTGTCCAGAAGCATCTTTCCACTCAATTGTGTTGCCACGTCCTTGGTTCAAAAGATCTTTGAACGGACGTTCCGTCTTGAGTATTTCTTTATTATCTTTGTCCTCAGCTTTGTCGTCTTCTACCTTGTATCCGCCTCCGATTTTGGTAGCATCCGACATGATCGCACTCTTATAAGTCCGCTTGCTACTCGTGTAGCCCTTGATGCGCACAGTCGGCAGCGCTTTGAGCTGGATGTCGCGTTCGAAATCATAGATGTGATCCACAGTATGTCTCAATTTAGGCTCATCGCTTGAGTCGTCGACCTTGTAGCGGAACTTTTCAATGCCGTAAACGGTCCGAGTCGCGTCGCATACTGGGTTGCTCAGGCGGTAGAGAGTGCGGGTTGGTGCGTAGGCTGAGTAGATCTTGCAGTCGTCAATGACAAGAATTGGGAAGTCCTCTGGTGCTTGGAGATCATCATCTTGGGAAACTCTGGGTGCTGATTGAGGTTCGTATGATGGTGGGAGATCTAGGAGTGTTGACGATGAACCTGGAGCTGAAGACTCGGCTTGCTTGTCAAGGTCGGCCAATTTCTTTTTCTCGTCAGACATGGTGGGATGATTTCGTATAATGATTGACTTTTCTCTTTGGAGAAATGCATTCGAAGTGGAAATGTACGCCGCTTATAATCATGATTCCTCTCATGTCATGTCTGTAGGCTGAGTTAACCTACGTGGGGCTGCCGCCGCAGATTAACGTCACTTGGTTGCCATTCAAGAGGCACAGCCTCGAAGGATTTCCCAGAACAAGTTTGATGGTGGACACGTGGGTTCCTAATTGGGCATCTTTTTTGCCGCTTCAGGGTATCTTTGCAGCTGAAAGTTGGGAATCTCTGCAGATCCTGTACACGTTGACTATGATCTGCCCATAGTGGATATTGTAAGGCTGATTGATTCCTTTGATGGAACTGCTGTAGGTTTTCTGGTCGAGATTCTGCCGAGAGTTGTGTTGTCGTTCTTGGCGGTGGGAATCGTGAACTCACTATGTCGTCACGGAATTCGACCCGTTCAAGCGTGTGAGCCATCGTGATGTGTTTGATAAATACAAAAGACATATATCATTGGTAAAATCCGATGGTAAATTGATAACATCAGACATCATGATACTCAGTGATATTGTCGGTTTCGTTGCATCTATATCTGCCCCATCTGGTCGATGATTGAGCTGTTGGTCATACTTGGGCAACGACAATCCACCGTCAACTCGGTCTCAGAACATGGCAATCATCATGTTGTTGTTCTTCATGACTCACGTGAAGTCGCTTTAGCCATTTCGATCCGGAAGGCGCGATAACAAGCGCTGAGTCACGTTCGGAGTATCATCCCGAAGTCAGATAGGCGTCTCGGCTCCGACACCGATCCCGTGCCATCAACCCCAAGACATGATCACCACAATCCCCCTCACTTCTTGGAGATACAATTCACATTACACAACGCCAAAATGATGAATGAACGAGCAATCGGCCCCATAAGCCCGCAAGGCACCGCCTCACCACCCTCCTCAGGGTCTCTAGATGGCCGCTACACATCACTCATCCGTCTAGAACACTCTCATGCAGAACCAAGCTGGAAGCATCTCGGAGGTGATCGCAATGGCCATCTCTGGACATACATGTTCGGTGGACCCTACACAAACCATCAACAATGGAAGGATGCAGTTGAAGGATTCAGCAAAACCGAAGAGCCGTTTTTCTACACTGTTCTTTCTGGCCCGCGAGATGATCCTGCCTCTGAGCCTGTTGGCCAAATGTCTTATCTGAACATCGTTCCAGACCACAGAAGGGTTGAAATTGGCAACATCATCTTTGGGTCGCAACTGAAGCAGACAAGAGCTGCGACGGAGGCATTCTATCTGATTATCAAGAATGCCTTTGAGGAGTTGGGGTATCTGCGGGTTGAGTGGAAAGCGAATGCTTTGAATAAGCCTAGTCTTGCTGCTGCGGAGCGGTTAGGGTTTGTGTTTGAGGGTATTTTCAGGTATGTTTTGGAATGGTGACCTTGAGTTTGAACACTTGCTGACTTGATTAGAAAACACATGATTATCAAAGGGAGACGACGAGATACTGCTTGGTTCAGCATTACCGATGAGGAGTGGCCTGCTGCCAAGAAGGCGTTTCAAGTTTGGTTGAGCGAGGATAACTTTGATAAGGATGGGAAGCAGATCAAGTCTTTGAAAGATATCAGACAAGAGTTTGCAGACGGTAATTGATGGAGATTGGCTTTGGCAGAGGTTATCACAGGAACACCCTGGTGGTTGGGACCACAGCCCGTTTATGTATCGATCCACTTCACAATCATAATTATTGACTACGGTTTCTCAATTGAAATTGTTTCATGAATCTTGAAAACCACACCATACATAGATCATGACGAGGCTGTTATTCTTCATCGTGCAAACCAGACATCTCAACCAATACCAAGTAATGAATGGCAGTTTCGCTCACGAAAAGATGGTTCTCTCGGAGGTATAAATAACCCAATTGAAACAGCAAAGTCTAGACCTTTTTCGACCAACAAACTAGAAAGCTTCGAGACAAGTGTGAAAGCCATCTTCTGCCGACGACTTGTGTCTTGGCTTCCCCACTCAAGACAGTTATTCCAAATACCTGATTACTGATTACTGTTCAGAGCCTCGGCAACAAGTCCATCACGCGTAACAAATTACGATCATCACACGGGAAAGTCCGATCACATTGCACATTTAGAGGCAAAGTGAGAATTCCTTTTTTAGACATGCAGTTTTCTTGTTACTCAAAGATCTAGAACTCTTGTGTTACCAACAGCAGGTGACATCACAGCCTATCAATACACAATTGCTTCAGAGTCCTACAGCCAAAGAAGGAAGGAATTGCCGTAATTGTCAGATGGTGGCTGCTAAAGTTCGTGTCGATTCAAGGCTGGCTGCAGCGGCTTAAAGGCATGAAATGGCAGCTGCTTGGTTAGTTCCGCTAGACTTTCTTTAGTCAGATGTTATCAATCATTTATTGAGTACTAATGACGACCAAGAATTAACTGTCCCCTTCAATTGTCTTTCCATCATATCATATCATCTCATCATTTTAAGAAAAAGCAAAGAAAAGACAGGTCCAAGCTGAGACAGAACGGACGGCATTATCCGATCTCCCTCTCAACCTAAACCTCATGCAGTAAGACTCGCGTTGATTGGATTTCCGGCTAAAAGACCACAGTCCAGACCAGCAAACACGCGTCAAAGTTTTTCCCCCTCTGTCCGTACTCTGAACACCACTATCCTGGACTTTCTTCGTGTTCACAGAAGCTCCCTGTCGATCTCCACAACGTCAAACTCCACCCTAACATGGACGATAACAGCACGCATACCGGTCAATATCGCTCTGCCTGCGCTGAGTGTCATCGCAGGAAGCAAAAGGTATGTCATACGTCATTGGGAGCTGGTTCGGTCCAGCTTACCTTGACCTGTACTTACTCTCGGCAGTGCAATCGTGAATGGCCCTGCAATCACTGTCAGAAGCGCAAGGTCGCGGATAAATGCCGCTTCATACAGCCTAACGCGGCGAGCTCGCCGTCGGAAAGTCTTGGGCAGGGCAGTGAGAAGAAGAGGTCGCGTAGTCGCGATGATGAGGGCGACCCCGAGGTGTCCGAGCCCGAGGATGACGATGACGATGTTGAATTGGCGGCCATGGGATACGCCGCTGGGCCCCTTCTGGAGTCGCTAACTATTGATTCGAAGGTTAGTCACGAATGGAGAGCCTGTTTGACACGGGCTGGGCGTCGAAATTTCATCGCTGACAAGTGGCCAGAAACACAAGAAACCGCTGGGTCAGATCACTTGGGTTCATCCCAGTACCTGTCCTCAACTCAAGCATGCCATGGATGTTCTCCCCTCGAGAGCTCAGATGGGTAAGTGAAATCAACCAACACGAGTTTAGGTGGGCAGATCAACCTAACTGTCTCAGATGCACTTGTCCAAAACTTCTTTAACAACGTCAACTACCATTACTACATCATCTATCCACCCACCTTCCTCCAAGAGTATCAAACCTGGTGGGAACGCAGATCTCGCAACCAAACTCTCTCACTGCAGTGGACGATTCTGCTGGTCATGGTCTGCGCCTGTGCTACTCAGCATCTGGACGTTGACATAAAACCTATGGTTGAGATCGAGCTATCTGAGCCATCAGACAAACTAACTGTTGAATATCACAAAGCAGCCACAGAACTCGGAAGAGTTATTCCATTGGGGCATTGCCATCTTCTCAACATTCAGTGGATGCTTCATTCAATTTATTGGTACAAGGCTGAAGCCAAGTTTGTGGAGGCTTGGCATGTTATTGGTGCTGCCGTTCGAGAGGCTCACGAGTTGGGTCTTCACCGGACTGCCATTGCTGAAGGACTATCCGAGTTCGACCGTGAGATGAGACGGAGGGTATGGTGTATTCTGGACTGCTGGGACTGGTGAGTTGGGCAATTATAACGGCTCGAACAACGTATTAACCACCAATAGGCAATTTGCTTCTGGTCTAGGCCGGCCAACAATCATCGACCACACAGACATCAACGTCGAGCCACCAAGTCTAGCTCTAGAAGATTTCTCCCCTTCGCCACTCCTCCATATGAAACTCCAATCAGAACTAGTAACAGACCTCGCTCAGCGCTGGGGTGCCCCCAAGAACATTAGCTCATTGAAAGATATCCAAGAGTACAAATCGAGTCTCGAAGAATGGATCCGTTGTTTCCCTGCGGTATACGACGTCGACAACCCTGATACATCAAAGGATTACAAGCACAACTGGATCGTTTTCCACAGGTTTTATATCCATACCATGGCTTATCTTATGATTCTTAACCCGATGAGATCATACATGGCGCAAGACTTTACAAAGGATTCGCCGGCAGATTTGTTGGCTGTGAGGGAAGATGCGGTTCATTACTCACTTAGGAACCTGGACACGACGAACCGATGGGCGAACCACGTTTCACACCGAGATGGACGATTTCATTTTATTATCTTTTCGCTATTCGATACGGCGGCCGTGCTTTCGACGGCTATTATCAAGGATCATGATGAGACGATTCCGAGGAAAGATGAGATTATCGAGGCGGTGGACAAATCGATTCAGTTGCTGAAGCGTCTCAAGGCACTCTCGAAAACGGCAAAGACATCACATGATATCCTTGTCAAGATGGTCAACAAGATGCCACGAAAGAAGCCAGTACCACGGGAGAACGTCCTCCGCAAGAAAAAGCGTGTCGCTGCTGTGTCACGAGCAGCACCAGTTAACCCACCTGTGCAAGAACCAATTCAAGCACCTTTCCCAGCACCTACACCAGTTTTCAAGACGGAGCCAAGCTATCACCAAGAATCAGGTCAAGAATCGCAAGAAAGCTCACCAAGCTACTACGCCAGCTCTGAAGGCCCTGCAGGATCAACGCCACAGAGCAACTACTCAAACCACGACGTCCGCGACGCTTCAGCATACGCTCAGATCCCCATGGACAACTATCAAAAACCTCACCACTATATCGCCCAAGTCCCCTCCCCGAGCGCTGGCATCGACGGTATTATCCAGGGTGGAGCACTTTACTCCATGCCGCAAGTCAATCCCAATGTACCAGCCATGGTTCCCCAGCCGTACGTGGACTATCACCACCAAGACCTCAACGTAGACTACGGCGGTCTAGGCAACATCACAGATGTGGATCTCGGAGACTTTTCACAACTATGGGACTGGAGGAGTCTCAACTTGGATTTCATCCAAAGCTCAACATAATTTTATATCCTTCACTTCTTTCCCATTCTTCCGATAACTACCCAATTTCGTATTTCCTTGCGAAAAACAACATGGAGAAGTAGTATGTATAGAGATGATTTTCACGACTTTGATGGTAACTTGACCAACGTTTGGGGTTTTGCATTTTGTATTTTGACTTATATACTTGGCATTATTGGTGGAAAAGAAGTGTCTGTTTTCTATTCTCGGAGTTCATCGCTTTAGTAATGATAGGAAAACTTGGATAGGCGAGGCGATTCTATTAAGAACAAGCTAGTTGCTTCCAATCCTGCGATATACTACCTAGGTAGCGTAATTGAATAAGGAACGTTGTGGAAACAACAATGACATGTCTTCTAAGTCCGATGTCTTAAGTCGCTAGTATGTGGTCTTCGTGCATCGAACAGGATCACTGAAGTCTCTTCAGAAGGAGGATCGGTAGTGATACCAGAGATAGAGACAAGACAAGTTGAAAGGTACGTGATATGATAAGTCTCAGACCATTCTTCCTATCCTGGAAAGCAAAAGAAGAAGTCATTGAGCTCGAAAGCATGGAAGCCATGGCGAAAGTTAAAGATAGACAGCCAAAAGAACGATGGTGTTTCACAAGATATGATTCAAAGGAGGAGGACAGACACAATCTCTTAACACCTCTTCCTTCTCATATAATCTATCTCAGTGTAATAAGAGGCGCATTATGAGGAGTCACCGTGGCAACATTCAACAAAAGCTACAAGACAGGCATGGACTAAAATGGCATTATTGATGCATGCACAGCTGCCTTTCCAAAAAGGAAACTGAGATATCATGTCAGAATCTCGCAAGGGATTCAACGCCTCAACGCTGGAGTAGCCACATAGAGGCAACTTGTCTCAACTCAGATCTAGCTTTGTACGCCCCGTGCGGCTCGGTCTAGACTCTCAAGCTCTAAACTTGTCAAATCTGGAATGGCTAGCCAGAAAAAAGAAATCGAAGTGGTCAATATCCGATGTGAGACATCAGCCTGGCCAACGGTTGATCTCCCTTGGGAACCTCCCTCACATGAGCTAAGATTCCTAGAACAGTCTAAAATTCCTAGAACCAACAGAAACTTCCATTTTTCCTTATGAGATTTCTGCTCGATGTGGCTTGTCTCGCCCATTTGGCCAAAGGAGTAGTTTGTCCGGGTTTCCTTATTTCCACATGTTGGTTGAACAAAGACACTCCGCGGTAATAACAGTATATGTAGGTCTTGATGTTTTAAATGAGCTTGGTTTACAACAGCCAGCCACATAGTACGAGTCGGCCGCGAAGGTATGAGCATCAAGATTACCCCTTGCTACCGGTTACTTGGACTGACAGGTGTGTGCAAGAAGGGGCTCATCTCTCAGACTCTTTCATAAATGCTGTCTCTTCAGCCCTTTTGACCATGCATCCATTTCTGCACATCTCGTTCAGTCACTCGTTCTTTTACATTGGTTGAACCAACTCACGCTCTTTAAGCATGTCTTTCAAGTCTCTCATTCTCCCAGCGCTCTTCGCTCTTGGCAAGGCAGCTGATGATGTCCAATACGAAACTCGTACTGCTACCATCACCCAATGCTTCACTCGTGATGGTCTAGCTCCCGCACCCGTTGTCACTGGTGCGATGGCTACTGTTCACAAACCAGGTATCACGGGAGGAGCCATCATCGTTGAAGTTGACGCTCCTAACTGCGAGTCCTGCGGTTGTCCTACTTGCGTCCAGACCGTTGCATACACTACTTCCTTCCAGTGTTTCTGCGATACTGGTCTTTGTGATCAAGAGTATGTCATCACGGAAAGATACAAGGGTATGGAAGCCAAGCCGACCATGGACTCGCAATCTATTCCGTTTGGATTCACGTGTGATGTTCAGACCTGTACTACCTGCGGTCCTGAGCCTGTCACTGCGACTATCACGCACCCTGTGACCAATCGTCCTTACGACAACAATGTTGCTCACCCGACTGCCATGCCCCCTGCTGGCAAGCCTAGCAAGGGTGACAATCATGACAACGGCTCCGACTACGACAGCGAGCCCTTGGAAGACGGCGACGGTTCCAAGCCTGACAGCGACTATAAGTCTGATAGCAACGACAAGCCTGAGAACAAACCTGGCTATCCTGATGAGCCTGCTCCTGCCAAGAAGCCCGAAGGAGAACCCATGCCGGCTCCCATGCCCAAGCCTAATGAGAACGACGGATTCCACTCAGCTGTCAAGCCAACCTCCACAGCTGATGTGGACAACCCTTATCCCGGTAAGTTTACTGCATGCGATTTCCTTGATACATGGACGAAGCTAACGTTTCATAGATGCTGGAGGTGAACACCCTGTCGTTGTATCGGGAGCTGCAGGCCGAGCCTTGGGAGTTGTTGGTGCAGGTGTTGCTGCTTTTGCTCTTCTGTTTTCCCTTTGAAGTTCTATCACCGGTTTTTAATTAACTGTCTTTCGCAACTCAATAGTTGGGAATAGGCTCTATTCATGAAACAATCTTATCATTGCACTCTCCAACCATAATTAATTAGACTATTTACCCTGATATTTCGGAAATGAATGACGCAAAGCGCTTCTTGGCAGGTCGAGTGAATTCAAGATCATCACAAATAAGCATCGACGTAATTGAGCGTTAACCGCGGCTACATGGCATTTATGGTCGGGATAGAAGCTCCATTTCAGTGGGAACATCCCCATAATTGTATCAGTCTTATCACCACGAATTACCTAAACAATGGACCCTGAATCGTACCTATAGTACGCTCAGAGTCTGCCCGAGCAGAACAATACGAAAAACACATCGAGTTAGTTAATGACGGATATAACGTGTGAGGTCGAACCCTGTAATTAAAAAAAACAAGAGCTACTGTCAAGCCAATAATGATGGAGATTTCTCGGGGAGTTGAGCCTCAGCTACAGCGTACCCCTGTCCATCAGATGCCAAAAGAAGCCTGGAGCAAAAGTTCCGGTGATGTTGTTTAATCCAGGTCAGGATGATATCATGACTTGGCTATCGTTTTGGACGTTTAAACAATTAAATAAGGCCTGAAGATCCCCTATTTCGAATGATTATCATCGACAATAGAGGCACGTGACGCAAATGTTGTGCTGCAAGAGTACAGGACAACCTAGCTACCTACAGTGAAATTCCCAGTGGTCCAGGTGACCTTTTTCATTCCCCACCCTGCAAACTCACCGCCCGGCCGAGTCCCGACTGGGACAGCAGATGAGAAAGAGGCTAGACCCTCAGACTCAATATTCACAATCAGATTCCGTTCAGGGCTGAACGTTTAATCTAATCCAATCCAAATGTCATGTCGTCCTTGACCTGACCCAGCATCTACCGACAAATCCCCCCCATTGTTGGAGCATTTGCTTCGGCTTCTCAGCCTCCGTCACGAGGGGGCTTTGACTTTTTATTTCATCCGTTTCATTTCCAATCCCTCCTTCTTTTTTGAGTTACCCTTTTTGAAAATGTCCGACGAAGACGCCGAAATCCTCGGCCCCGACGGCCAACTCCCAGCCCGTGTCGACCGCGATAGAAGAGCGCCGCGCTTCAGCTGGACTCCCGCATACGAAGCAACCTTTTTCCGAAGCCTTTGCGAGAGTGTCCAGCTTGGTCTTCGCGAGAACTCCTCCTTCAAGGCCGAGGCCTGGGAGCGCGCCGCCGTCGCCCTGCAGGAGAGCCACGGCGCCTACCCTGCCAAGAGCCATCTGATCAACAAAAGCGACAATGCGAGGAAGCGGTTTCGGCTATGGCGCGGTCTACGAGAGGACCCGGAGTTTGTGTACAATCCTGTCTCGAGGACGGTAACGGCTACTGAGGAGGCATGGGCTGCGCATATAGAGGTAATACATTTCTTTGCACGGTCGCGATGGGATTGAGGGGGGAAGCGGTATCGGACAACGCTCTTGAGAGCTGGTGGCATGCAACTTCGTCAAGCACGTACTGACTCGGAGTAGAGGGAACCCCTTTCCAGGGCTTTGCGTGGTCGACCCTTTGATCACGAAGATTTCATGGAGGTTCTTTATCCAGACGTCATCGGATCCGGTGGCGCACCCAAGCGTATAATGAAGCCCAGACGGCGAACAGACGGTCCCATTAGCGACGACCCTGATATGCCGGGAACGGGTATACTCAACCTTCAAAACGATCCTCCGCCACGACCTCCCGGTCTCGAGAGTCCGAACTCTCGGCCCATGCTGGCCCAAACCCCCACGACCTCCTCTACCGGCTCAGCGACGCAGCAACGACCGACGTCCACGACTATTCCTCCTCGAGGGCCCCCGACCGTAGCAAACGCGAATGCTCTTACCCCGCCTGACGAGACCATCACACAGAGTCGAAAGCGACAGCTGCCCAGCACTAGTACACCTGTTATGTTCGAACCTTCGCCACCTACTGCTACCATACCTCTGCAATCTGCAGCTCCCGAGTCGCCCGGAAAGCGTCGACGTACTTCATCGAACGATGGCTCTCGCGCCCTCACCGCTTCCGTTCTCAACTCTTCCATGCTGCCCATGGCCGTGCGAGAGGGCCCGAGTGCCGCCTCCCCATCGCAGGCGGACAGCCAAGGCATCTCCAACGGTAATGGAGCCGCGATGGAAGAGATCGTTGAAGCTGTGCGGGCGCGAAACGTGCTACGCTGGCAGGAGGAAGCTCTGGACATCTTCTTCCGCGACTTTGCCGATGAAGACTTGGATCTGCAGGTCAAAATCTCCGAGGGCGTGCTCATCAATGAATGCAAGGCCATGGTCTTCTGCAAGATGCCCAGTCGCGTCCGACACCATTGGGTGAAGCGCTTTAAGGAGGCTCCCCATCGACAGTAAGAATGCGGATATGCAGGGTCCAACATGGATGTTGAACAGGCATGCAAGCGAAGTGACGGAACTACACATCCGACTAGCGTGAACAAAAACAAATAACAGTACCACACAAACCAACAAAAACAGGATACCACAGAAAGAGGAGGACAAGGACAAAACATCCAAAAGAGACTATGGTCTGGCGCTTATTGGGTCCATGTTGAAGATACCAAGGGTTCACGGATATGAAGCGGCGAGGCGTTTTACCGGGCAAAACATCCATCTGTTTTATATGCTTTATTGTACTAGGAGTTGCATTTTCTGTTATCCTTTTTAGCGAATCTTTGGGATAGGTGTGTTGTATCTTATGTGCAATGGAGATGGGTTGATGGGAGCGTGCGTGTGATTTTGAGTTGATACCTAATATATATAATTCTCACCTCTCATGTACGAGCTCGAAGAGTGTTGGTGATTGTGGATGTTGGATTGACTTGGTTGTGCTTGACAAAGCTGGAGCTATGTCTTATGATAGGAAGGGGTTGACTGCTAGAAGCGAGTTCCAAGATCGAGATATCAAGGTACTATATGATGAGGTTCTTGAAGAGTAATGACTTCTGATTCAGCTTCTTGGAGAGACATGCAAGCCCGAGCGAAGATCAGAATTGCATTATGGATGAGAAGATTTTCAACTGGACCTAGAACTACATACATCCATGCATACACTTAGCAACGTTCAATGAAGCAGAAGACATTTCAGAGAAGCTTTCGGGTGTGGGTTAAAATTGCAGTGAAGTACAGGGTGCCGGATGCCAGATGCCACACCAGAAGTTGAAATTACAGTGAGGTTTTTGACTAACCGTAATCATAGGACAGTGAGTGTTACAAAGCCAAGAATGGGCTGAAGACGGTGCATATATTATGCTCATGTGCTAATAAGCTGTTTTCGTATATTGTCAGTCTGATGTTACGGCTAATGGTTTAGGAACGATGTGTCTTGACGTTTTCTCTTGTCATAGCCCTGGGGAGGTTTTGAAATTGCAGTGTAGTGACACAACTTTAGGGAAATAACATGGGCAATATCATCAGGGGCGCAGTCAGGGAAGGGGTAAAGAATGCAGTGAAGTTCTTGCCTCCAAAGTAACATTAGGATGATCACTTTTGGGGTTTCCTCGCCGCCTCCCTCATTTGAAGCATCGGGAATTCGTTGTTTACACAAGAGAGGGTCGCCATACTGTTACTGGCTAGACGATGTCCATCCTCGAGACTATCGTCGAGGGTTTCTTCCATATCTATCAGGCAATAACCATCTAGTCCAACTACTGATTCCGAATGTGTCTGCACCTGGGCTTGACAGAGCATTTGATGCCCGGTTTCATGAATTCGCTGATAAGTTATAAGTTCCTATAGTTTATCAGGAAGCAGGTTAAAATTGACAGCTTTTTGTTCAAGGCTTTTCGAGGATAAAGGTTTCGGGATCAACTAGTTGAAGCTTTTCTGAAGAGCGAATCCAGTAGAGTTGACATATACAACGTTGAGGGGCCAAGTGTGAGAGGAGGTTAAATTTGCAGTGGCTCGCCAATGCAGGTCTGACGGGACAGATATGCATATATTGGTCTAAACTGGGAACAAACCAGGTCAATGAAGCACAATAATGAGTCAAGACTGCAGTGGGAATGAGACCGTGAGTGTAAAACTTAACTGGCGGTTATAAGTGAGTTAGAGCTACAGTACTAGATCCAACACGTCAGAATTAATCTCAATTTCGAGAGAGCAGCTGTGAGAGCAGTTTAGAATTACAGTGAAACCGGTCCAGATGCAGAAATATACCGGTACATGCAACACAAGTCATGAGATTAACAGAGTTGGATTGAGAAAGATAAAGGTCATAAGGTCAAAATTACAATACTGATGTATGGCCTATTTGTGAAATCAAGGAATTCCATAAGGTACATACCCATTTCCTGGTAGGTATCTAACCTGAAGTTCAACAAAGTTAGTGGGAAGGGTTAAATTTGCAGTGAAAGTGTGGAAAGATGCCATATAAAAAACACATGCTGATTGGTACCAGCTGATAAAATCGATTGGACGTGAGTAAATCGAGATCAGAGTAAGACTTGAGAACAATCCCGATAGGCCTAACCCTATCATGCCCCGGGGCGGTGTTCGAGGAATAGCAGGGTTATACATCTCAGCTTCAAGCTACAAGGGGAGCACTGTGGTGTGAAAGACTGTATGTTTAAACTTGTCTCATTATCATCTATTATATCCATCATATCATTCTATTCAAACATTAAATCGCTTTTATCCTTTCCCTTTCTTTAAGATTATATCTATCCCAGATTCGACTCCTCCTCCAAAACACCCTTCGATCTCAAAATCGGTCCCAACTCTTTCAACCTTACCGGCTTCGTCAAGAATAGATCTAGCCCACTAACCTCTGCCTCCCTCTGCGCCTCTTCAGAAGCCAGACCTGTCAACGCTAATATCAAGGCCGGTCTCAACCCCTGTGCCGTTTCGAAAGCGCGTATCCTTCGTGTCGCTTCGAATCCATCCATTACAGGCATGGATATATCCATCAGGACACAGCTATACCGGCCAGGGTCGGCTTCGTAGGCTGTTACGGCTTGGAGACCATCTGAGGCGGTTTGGTAGGGCTGGTTAAGCTTTTTCATGTAGGAGGAGAGGATCTTTAGGTTAATGAAATTGTCGTCGACGAGGAGGAATTCGGGGTTACGGAAGTAACCTTGAGTTGTTTGCGTGGGAGTTTGGTCGGCGCTGAGGGGGAAGGGGGAAGATGGATGAGTGATTGAGGTTGTGGTATTGTTAGGAACGTTGAGGGAGTCTTGGTCTACTGTTGTAGACGTGGGTGTGTTGGCGGAGGTTTGGGCTACCGTCCAGCGGTATAAGGCTAGTGAGCATGCCTTTGCAAGTTTTCGGGGTCCGAGCCTAAACGAAAGATTAGATTAGAGTATTCACATCATGTATAATGGCACTTACGGCTGGGATATAAATTCAAATACACCCGGACGGGGTGTAGTCTTGGCCCCTGAAGCATACTGATGCGCTGTGAGAGCATTCGCGCAGAGCACGATATTCGGAACATCTGGCATAGTATCGTTTGCATCATAAGGTCTTTCAAAGCCTCCTTCAGACCAAATGGCAAGATCTGGCATCAAACACGGCGTCTCGAACCCAGTGTTGACGTGCATGCCGAGCCAGTCCTTGCACATGTTCTGCACAAGTTGACATGGCGACTCAATCTTCTTCCCCGATGAGCCACCCTCGTTTTGTCCAAAATCCACAACCTTGACACGTAGTCCACGGAGCTTATCTGTTTGAGTCTCAAATTCCTCCTCGCATTGTCGAACTTCACAGTTGCCCTTGTGGCAGTCATCGCCTAGTTTCATCGGTAGTCTGACTGCCACGGTGGTTCCCTTGCCTCTTCGACTCTTGACAGAAATATGGCCTCCGAACTGTGCTGTTATTTGCTTGACGAAGCTCAGTCCGAGACCTGTACCGGGGGATAAATCATTCTCCTGAGAGAAGGGCTTGTAGAGTCCGTTCTGCAAAAAGTCGTCGCTCATGCCTATTCCTGTGTCTGAAACACTGATAGTAACCCAACAATCACTACCATCGTTTTCCATTGCACTCGTCTGTTCCAAGGATACAATAATCAATCCGGAGTTCGTATACTTGAGCGAGTTGCCGAAGAGATTCATGATAATACGGCGCACGGGTCCAGGCTGAGTGTAAAGTCCCCATGATGATCGCGAGTTGATGACTAGGAATATTTCTACGTCTCCAATCTTCGTCTCGACATTTCCTCTATCCTTTGTTGGCGCTTGGAGATCCTCGATGGCTTGCATGGTATCCATTCGGCGAATGGATGTATGACCTGGGCGTCTAGCTGGTGGTTTTGTGGCCTGAGCTGCTTGGGCCAGTGAAACATGTTGGAAATTGAAGCCAGCATATACACTCTCCAAGACTTCTTCGGCCAGAACATCAAGCTGGACAACCTTTCTAGATGACTTTGCAGAACCTCCAAATGTGGAGGATCTGGCGAGACCAAACCCATTGACCTGGTTCTGCGCACCTTCCTGTGGTAGAGGTTTGTTGACCTTCGAATATTCGAGAAGATGGTCGATAGTATCCGAGAGAGTTCGGCAACATGTCTCGATCGTCCGGACAATATTCTGCTGGGGAATAGTAAGATCTGTATCATTAAGCAGCTCAACGCTGAGAACAGCACCGTGAAGTGGCGATCTCAGCTCATGAGATAATGACCCCAAAGCATCAGTTTTAGCCTTGTCTGCAGCCAAAGCCTCTAACTTGAACGCCTCAGCGGCGGCAAGCATGCCCAGAGCTCTGAGATAACTGAGATCCAGATCGATATTGAAAACGCGTTTGATATTGCAGGTGTAGATAAAACCACCGGCGGACCAGCGTCTCTTGCGTAAATCCCAGACAGGAACGAAAGCCACACTTCGAGATCCTGGGAAGGCTTCGCGGAGAATAGTTGCTTCTCGCTGTTGTATGCGGAATATCTTTTCTTGTCTGCTGGGAATGTAGCCCCAAGAGTGACTATCGTCTTGGCCACCATCTGTCAAAGCGCGGTGGTTAGATTCATCGGATAGTTCATCAGGCTGCAGCTCTCCGTTGGCGTCAAGATTGAAGATATGACCCTTAGGATATCGACGAATCATTCGAGCAAGAAGGGCTTGGGGGAGAGAAACATGACCACGCTGCTGGCCGTTCGATGGATCCATTTCCGAAGATCCAAGTGCTTGGCATGATGGTCGTGGTCGATCCTCGGATGAGCCAGTCGTACAGGCATCTTCGCTGTCGTTGTAACTGAAAGCCGAAGGTCTTCGAATTGCCGTGTCCTCATCCATCCACTCGGTAGAAACACCCGAGGAAAATTCAAGCATGTCTGCGTTGAGGAACAGACATCCATCGGTTTCGATGGAGTCTTTGACAATCCGAGCTGCCTTGCAGAATATTTCTCGTGGAGTCTCAAGAACGCGCTGTGGGTCTTTGTAGACAGAGAAATCATCCAAGGTTGGCTGCACTGTACCGTTAGACTTATCTTGAACGCTCGTCAAGTCGGTATCAGGATCTACTGAGCGGTTGATATTCATATCTCCTAAAGCACTCTCCACATGCTCAATCTTTGGCTCTCGAGATTTGGGAAGGCCGTCGAATCGCGCGTCATGCTCCCGTTGAGCATTCGTTAGAGGTGAAGATTGTGTGTTACCCTCAACAAAAGTAGTCAAGCCCATAGCTTTCTTTTCACTGCGTCGCTGAGTACTCTTAAGGCTGATAGTCTCAAGGTGCTCCGTCACAGCCTTGGAAAGCTCTCTCATCATCCTCGAATGGCGCTTCTCCCAAGGAAGAGCAGGCTTCGTATCAATAACGCAAATAACACCAATATTGACACCCCGATCTGTCCGGATCGGCACAGCAGCATAGAATCGCGCGGCACCACCTGGTCGACAGTATGGCTTAGCCGAGTACTCAGGATGAGTTGTAACATCGTTGACGACTACAACCGGCAATTCAAGCGTAGGTTTGAATCCATCCGGCCCATCCTCAGGAGGATCATCCGAGCACAAGGTGCTTTCGCAAGCGCTATGCGAACGAGGAATTGCTGTTCCGCAGTGCCATAGAGTCTCTTGGTGGCCGTCATATCCTAGGCTGGGAATGAGAGGCGTGGTGGCTGATGCCTCGGCGATGATGTACTGATGAGTTTGGTCAAACAAAGAGATCATCGCTTTGGCGGCGCCGGTTTGACAGGCTGCTAGCCTGGCGAGGGCTGTGAAGATGACGTCTGAGCATGTGACGAGCTCAGAGGTTGGAATTGGGCATCCAGAGTCATTGTAGCGAACATTTGTAAAGAGTGAATCGTCATATCTGAATTTCAATTAGCTCCTGCCTCATCTTGAAGATGTCAAGGCGGCTCACCTAAACGTCTCCCGCTCCCTCGTGGCTTCAGAGACGACGCTTTTCCTAGGCACCTGGACATACTCTGCTGGGATGGCCATTCTCAGCTCAGCAGTCAGCACCAATTGAGGCTGAGGCTAGGTACGGATACTCGCACCAGAGATGTTGTGCGGGAATGAAGGAAGAGAATTGGATCAAGTTATTCCCTCTCTTCTCATTTCTACCGTAAAACGTTTTTTTCTCAACGGCCAAGTTAATTATCGGGTGAAAGAGGAAAAGAGCTGAAGACCAAAGGGTTTGCCACAATACGAAGGGGGGCACGGGCGAACGCCGAAGACCGGGGACTGGTTGGTTTACTCTAGACTCTACGGCACTGTCCTAGCACTAAAGAGCCCTGAATTTCCACTGAAGCTAACCTATTCTAGGGGGACTCTGAGAGCAAAAGCAACGGGCATTGGACCAAGGGTAAAAAAGTGGCAGAGTCTAGAACGGATCGATCGATTTGCATGCGTCGCCACAAATCCAGGATCGACGTATCTCATGTATGCAAGTGGAGAAGGGGGATCATAAAAGCTTCATTGCCGTTCCTTGTCTTCGGGTTCTTGTAGAGTCCCGTCCGTTTTCGCTGAGACACGACAAGACAGTTAAGTTAAGTTAGCCGATGGAGGAACATGACATTCCTATTTCTAGAATACTTCTGGATAACAAGACTCAATTGGTTGGCGTTTATAAGACATCAGTTCATAAATGCGTTGATGTTTTGACACCAAATACGATCGGATTGAACCTTATAATTGATGCATTACAGTACTGGAAATAGCATGTAAGTTGATTGATGAGTCTTGGCTGCCTTATTCTATGCATCGCTTACAGTATCATGTCTGTCTGTATCACCAACAATTTCTTCATCTTCTTGTGAAACCTTCCCTTCAGCAGGAGCCAACTCCTTACTGTCGATCTCGATGCAATCCCGTCTAGCTCGTTCATCGTCCAGTCGTCACTTCATTGCAACGTCTGTCACGTGAAATGACTGCTAGTCTTTGAGCTACCGAAGACTAGTTCGCATCCATCCGCGTGCCTTAGCTTCAACAAGCCATCGTCATTATACCCACTTCCACGTCTTTGCTTTGTCTCTCCTTCTGTCTTTCATTCAACATCCACCTCAAAACGTCACAACTTCAATGGCTTCATTCTCTCAAACTTCGTTGGCAGCTGCCATACTAGGCGCAATCTACGGGAACTACATCGCTCTATCACCACCCAATCCCAGCGACCACTCTACACCTTCAACGGGAGACTCAGTGCGTGGCTTGTTCTTGACAAAGAAACACACAACCAAAGTTGCACTAGCTCCGTGGGGTTTGCTAGCGTTGCAGAGTGCTGGTCTTGCCTTGCGCTATCCAGACATACCAGCCTCTCCCGGTTTGAACACAGACCTGATAACATGGTCCAAGGCAACAACCATACCCTTGGCGTTGATTTTCTGCGCGGGTGTCCCTTTACGGTTAATCCCGTATGCATCCTTGGGTAAAAACTTTACCTTTGCGCTCAAGGAGCCAGACCATCTGAAGACGACGGGCATCTACAGATATGTTCAACATCCAAGCTATACCGGTATTGTCATCCTTATCTTTTCCAACGTGGCTCTTCTTGGACGATTGGATGGAGCTATGAGTTGTTGGATTCCGTCAGGAATTTATGATACGTTTTGTTCCTGGATGATGGGGTTGGTTGCGCCTGTTGCGTCACTTGTTTTATATGTTGTGTGGAAACGAGTGTGTGAAGAGGAGAGGATGTTAAAAGGAGCCTTTGGTAAAGCGTGGGAGGCATGGCATGCCAAGACAGCTCGGTTTATACCTTTTGTTATGTAGACTTTCAAGACGCTGGATCGATAAAGCGGGCTTCCACAAGCTTTGTTCAGGAACTAAATAGATAGATATCTTTGTTTGTTAGTCAATCAATGTCTCCCTGAAGATTAGTCAACGTTACACAAAGACCATACATGGGGGTCACCATTAAAATATAGACTAACTAGTAGTTCTTATGTCGGTTAAAATACATTTAAGTACTTCTATTATTACTAGCCATTCATAGTACTATCTAAAGAGCTTGAATAATAAGGCTGATCGGTACATATGATCCTGTAGCTGCAGCCTCCGAACCTATACTGAGCAGATAATAAGTGCTCAAGAATTGATATCCCATGAATTGTGTCCAGACGCCCCCAGTAGCATAGCAGACGGGATCATCCTCATCGTTGAAGTTTTCGATACAATTCATTGTCGGTGCACTGCATTTCAGAGCACCTCCATCCGTCTGTCCCTGGTCGCAGGTGATAGGCACTTCATTTGTCAGGGGCGGTGTATTGCAACTATAAACCGAAGCGGACTCTGTGCCGCCGTAGAAGCCACACATCTTGACGCCGTCGACAAAAAGGGCTCCCGTACTTGCTTCAATAGAAAATACACCTGCTCCTACACCCGAAGGGTTGTACTCGCCCAACGTTATACTGCCATACTGTGGTGGGGGGAGTCTGGCTGGTGTGTTGCTTGCGCCGCCGCCTTGGCCAATTGCGTTGAAGGTTCCAAGCACTGGAGATGAGGTGGAGGTTGAAGCAACGGTGGATGATGTCGCTGCATCTGATTCTGACGTGACGGAAGATGTGATGTAAACGGGTGCGACCTCAGTTGATGTAGATACCGATTCCGTGACAGAGAGACTCGTCGGCTGGAGAGAGCTAGAGTCAGCCGAGGAAGTCGCAGACAGGGTGAGAGTTTCAGAAGTCTCTAATAAAGTTGGCGAGCCGACGGTGACTACGTCGTTGATGTTACCATACGGGTTTACCAAAAGATTATGTCTTCGCAGAACTCACCAGAAGCATTTGGCTTGCATGGACCGGCTGCTGTGCCCAGGGCAAAGGCCAGTGAGACTATAACGTTGTAGCGCATTGGAAAGGCTGGATAGAGTAACAAATGACAGGGCTGTAGCCAGCCTAAGGGGGTTTCAAAACGAAGTGAGAACAAGAGAAGAAAATCTTGGCGACGATGGGAATGGATGACATTCTCTTTTGAACTCATGCCAGAATAGGAGGGTATACGCCACCTCATTTACCAGAGGAGCTTTATTAAACTAGTGAATATTAAAGGGCATTATTGACAACGCTATCGACAACCGGCTGACGAGACTCCACTCAGCTGTATCGTGAGTAACAAACGAGAACGAACAACTACATATAGTGGTTTAGAAACAAACAAACACATAAAACTTCCATAAAGCTTCTCAGAAATCTTAGGCGGGGACTTCTGCTCAGTTCTGACACCGCCTAGAGGTTGTACCGGGGCAGCCCATCAGCCTTTTCCTTCAACCATCCTCTTGACTATTCCTCTGTGGAATAAAGCTTTGCCATTCGGGATCATTAATAATAGCCTCTCGATGATGCGAGATCTTACTTCCAGTCCGAAAGCTGCGACGATACTCCTCAATGGAATCACCCCTCTCCCGGCGCGCTATAGCTCTGTTCAGGGCGTGAGAAAATAGTTCCGATGTAGGTTTTCTCCCCCCAAGATCGCAGAGTTCCTCCACCAGGGCCGGCGGATCGTTGTTCTTCAGACGGTGTATATAATGAATCAATGCCATAGGTGGCATGGCGCGAGGACTCAGACTGCCTTCAACCGGGATGAAAAAATGGTGGTTGTATTTCATGTGATCTAGATTTTGGTCGAATGATTGGCAAATTTGAATGCAGAAAAGACATCTTTCTGGACAAAACTTTGTCGGATCATCAGGGCTTTCTAAGGCACGCTCTTCCTCGTCAGAGTTTGAGATAGATGTATTGGCTCTGGCTCTGGCTCTCTTAACTCGCTTGTCTTTTCGTTCGGATTGAGCTTCGTGGTTTTCGGAGACAGATGACTTCCTTTTCCTTTCAGATTGAGCGTTATCACTCTCGGGAGTAGACGAAGCAGAGCTGCTAGGGCCAGGCGGGTTGCTAGAAGTTATATTGGTCGAAGAGGAGCCCGGTGCATAGGAGTACTGATTTTCTTTTCCGATTCTCTTGAAGAAGTCTTCCCATCCTTTGCGAGCAACTTCCATCTCAGCTCTATCCTCCCGGGATATACCATAGTTATGCGAAGACATTATGTTTGAGTGGGTTGACAAGAGGTCGCCCTTTGAAATGGTAATAATATTCGTTCAAGAGCAAGAATGAGATAGTAAGCAGTGTCCTTTATTTATATGACCCTATATAAACTTTTTTGCACGCGGTAGAGTATTGTTCGGATTTTGTGAAGAAAGGGAAAGTATAACTCTGTCAGAGAGAATATTGTTTCATTGCCCCTAACTATAATCTTATTTTCTCAAAACTTTCAGAATCTCTGTTGCAAGCTCTGCGTTCTTAGTGAACAAATCCAACTCATGCTCCGGATATCCTGACTGGATAGCAATCACGGCGTTTAAGCCGGGTACTATATAAATAGCCTGGCCGTACATGCCAATGGCCGCGAAAGCACGGTCATCGCCCATTTGATACTCCTTGCCACCTCTACCAGTCGTCCACCAGCCGCTTTCGTAACCAAGATTGGATACAAAGTTATCTGGATGAGAGGCTCTAGGTCCAACGCTGAATTTGGCGTTTGATATATCCTTAAACCAACCCGGAGGTACATTCGGTCCTTTCCCTTCTTCTTTGATCCCATCTAGGATAAAGCAGCCAAGGCGGGCCATGTCGACTAAAGTGGCAGATAGACCGCCGTGGCCATCGACGTGACCTGCTGCAGTGGTCCTTATATACCCGTCGTACTGCATACCCGCAGGTTCCCATATCGTGCGCGAGATATATTCGTCAAGGGGCTCTTTAGTAGCACGAGATATAGCTGTTGACAGCACATAGTAGTTTGGATTGTAGTAGTGAAACTCCTCCCAAGGCTCAGCTACCTTCCTCGCGGTTCTCAGCCAATTGAGAACGGCTTCAGGGTCGGTCTGGGGATAGAGCTCCGTTGCATACATAGGGTTTGGTACATCGGCGGGTCTTTCATCTTCAGACTGTTCAACGACTCCTGAGGACATGCATGATAGTGCAAGGAGTGGGACATCAGCCCAGGCAGTGCCCTTCAACTCTTGGACATGAAGAGACACAGGATCATGGACGGATAATCTCCCTTCCTGCTGAGCAATGGCCAACGCTGTAGAGACAACAGACTTAGTACAAGACTGTACATCATTCCTAGAACCCTTTGAATTTCCATGTCGATACTCTTCAAGACGAATAGCATCGTCTTGCACGACGACGCAGCCTGTTAAACCATATCGGCGCATAAACTTGTCAAGGTCGATATCAGAGTTTTCTTTGAGGGCAGCAGGGATGTTCAGTGAGTCATCTCGTGTGAAGCGTCTGAGATAAGAGCCATGTCTGATTTGGGTTGTGCGGTTTTGGAAGGTTTCTTCACGGAGACGGTAGAGAAGAGGGGTGTAGGCTGGGTCGGCTGAGTGAATTGAGGACAGGCTGAAACTGCCTATCTGATCACTGAAATGTGGTAGGTCCCCCATTTTGGCGATGTTTTGCTTGGAGGAACTTGACATGGAAGTGAGGATATTCAGATTTTAAACTAATTCGGAGGTTAGCATCCGAGTGTTAGTGTTAGCAGCGGAGATAGAAGCCGGTGATTGATCACAGACTCATCTGCCTCCAATCAAGTTGTTTGGTGGTGCCCACCCGAACTTTGAGACTACGGCGATGCTGGCCGAAGCCAACCGGCTGTTGTCCTCCGAGCAGCAATATCAAGGAAGCACGATGATTATGCATGGAAATTTATTTTATACGAAATTATATTCGTACGAAGCTGTCTCAATTTTAAGAAAGGATGTTCTTTAAGGAAACACCAGAGTATAATGGGTATATTCCTGGAGAGAACTGCAGCATTTGAGGGCCTTGCTGACCAGAAGCCTTTCCGACATCAACTCATGATATCAATATTTCAGGAACAACATTTATATGATTTTTCTAACTAGGGAACAGCCTGTGCAAATGATGTGTTAATATCGGCCGCGGTATCAAAAGTAGGTCCGGAAAGATAGGTAACGATTACATATATGCCGAGGTTGGGGTAGCTCGTCGATCACTTCACTTGCTTTCTCTCACAACAATCACTGTCTTCTACTCCCATTCCGAAACTCAGCATGCTCGAAGTTCACTGTTCTGGGACGCCATACGAGGTATGCTTGTCATACAGTATCAGAACGAATACTAATAACATAAATAGATCGGTCATCAGCATGGCGACACAGCCAAAGATAAGGTATTAGGTTCTCTTTCTTTCTACAAAGATCTATTCCAAGAAACATGTTCAATGGACTGGGAAGCCGTTCGCCAAGAAGCCAAGAAATATATCGAACCTCTCCAGAATCTATCACCAAGCCATGTCGAGGAAATGAAAGGGATAGCCGAAGGTGCGGGTGTTGATCTCGTGGACATCATAGCCCTCAACGTCCGAACAGAGATCACTTTCAGTCTTTTCACAAGTGTTCCTGCTCTTCCAATTCAGACAGATGGGTGCACGAGTGCTGCGTACCGCCAACCAAACGGCGATGTGCTTTTGGCACAGAATTGGGACTGGCAGCCTCGACAAGCGCCGAATCTGTTCATTTGCCATATCTCCCAGACTGGAACAGATATACCCGATATTTCGATGGTTACAGAAGCAGGTGTGATTGGCAAGATTGGTATCAACTCTGCAGGAGTTGGAACATTGTTGAACGCTATTCGAGCTCGAGGCGTCGATGAGACAAGACTTCCTATTCACATCGCACTCAGAACTGCTCTTGAATCCAAATCAGCGCGAGAAGCGGCAGACAAGCTATACAGGACAGGAACAGCCGGGAGCGGCCATATTCTCGTCTCCGATCCACACGAAGCTATAGGTCTGGAGTGCACGAGCATAGGTATCAAAGAGATCAACTTCGATACCAACGAAACTCTAGTTCATACCAACCACTTACTCCTCGATCATCCTGGTGTTGATGAGCCAGGCTGGCTACCCGATTCTAAAGGTCGACTGGCCCGCATTTCTGAACTTCTTAGAGAGAAGATTGCCTCTACGGGCGTCGATCATAAGTCTTTCTTTGAGCTGTTCAAGGACGAGCAGGGGTACCCGGCGTCAATCAATCGAGATATGACCACTCATGGAGACGGAACAACGACTTTGTTTAATATTAACATGGATTTAGCCAAGAGGAGGGCCATTGTACATTTGGGAAGGCCAACCGACTGGACCGAAAGGATAGAACTGTCGCCTTGAAACACTCTCAGTAGTAGGTATCGGAATGAGTCACATGTTGACTGTATGACAAACCTGTGGAATGAACCTCTGATTATGAACGTTCCCCTTCGACTGCCTCCTTGTTGAAGCCCCGGCTCATGCCAACTGGGAACGCACAGTGAGCTTAAACTCCAACGATATTTCCCACCGCGTAGGAAATGAATGAAATAAAGCAATTTCCTTCTACAGATCAATTGATAGAAAGAAATGAAAAGGCAAAAACATGCTGTAAACGCATTTATGTCGCTATCACGTTGAAAGTTTTCCAACTTGTTAAAGATACCGGGTAAGCATTTTGGACATGTCTCACGGACAGTCATTAATCCGCCCCGCGAGATCTGGCCTTATCATGTATCCCTCCCTATAGAAATCATGATGAAAGCTGTCGCTGCACGTCACTCGACGATTACAGTCTTCACACAACAAAATCCGTCATTATGGTAAGCTTGAAAAAGCGGCTACGCACCCAAATCTCCCACTGACCCACAATGTAGAATATCGCATACAACTCCGCCTTGCGGCAAAGCAAGTCTCTCAGCGCAGAGCTCCAAAACCTCAACAGCAAAGCCCAAGCTTCCCCGTCCGAGATCGGCAACGTGTCAGCCTCAATCGCCTCCTTCACCAAGACCCTCGACGAATACCAGAGTCTCGCCCGCCAGGAGATTGTGCCCAAGAAGCAGGAAGAAGCTTTCGCGCGAGTGAAGAGGTTTCGGGAGAACCTTTCGGATTATCGTGGGCAGCTTGATGCGCTGAAGAAGGCGAGGGAGGATGCTCAGCACCAAGCCAATCGAACAGAACTTCTCGGACGAAGACCGTACAATGCTACACCCGAGAATCCTTATGCGAACGCTACGACGACCAACACGCACTCGCAATTCCAGCCTCGACACCCCCCTCAGAACAACGGACCGTTGACGACTGGCTCGCCGGATGAGATGCGCGAGGCGCACGCTTTTAGGGAGCAGAACTTTTTTTCGAACACAAACCAAGCGCTGGACGATTACATTGCGCGCGGACAAGCTGTCCTAGGTGACCTGGGCCAGCAGCGCGAAATGCTAAAGAGCACACAGAAGAGACTCTACAGCGTGGCCAACACCCTGGGTGTCAGCGGCGATACGATTCGAATGGTGGAGCGACGGGCTAAAGAGGATAAATGGATCTTTGCGGCGGGTGTGGTAATATTCTTCTTGTTCTGCTGGCTGGTGCTTCATTTCTTGCGATAGAGCAAACCTGGGTTATCAGAGGTATAAAAAATGCTACAAACACGTATGCACGGAGGAAGGAGGCATCAGCGCGGCGCTCAGGAGTTGTTTTTTGTTATGTCTCGTCTTTGTTCTTGGCTTGTATAAATAACCACCATCTCAAGCGTGCTTGGCAAGCATGATTCTCTATGTTTGTGCACTGGATACGTTACTCGTCATCGCCGTCGCCTTCTCTGAGTGCTACTGTGAAAAGAACATCCTTATCTGTTGTCACTGTAACGACCTGAGAATCGGGCAGGATGTGATTGCTAGTGCTCAACTTGCCGCCAATCTCGGTATGCCAATCCTCGACATCCCACTCGAAGCCCTTCGTTGTAATGTTGGCGGCCTCCTTGAGAGGAATGATACCAACGTGCTTCCCAAAAGCGTCCTCTTCACCGTCCTCGCGAACCTGAATCTGATGTGTACCGGGCTTGAGCAAGAAAGTCAGACTGGAGCCGGACAGGAGGAAGACGCGACCGCTTGCGTATTCAGGATCGGTTTGGAAGAGGTACAGGTGGTGGAGCTGGGAGAGACCTTGGTCCACGCGACCGCCGATACCACCAAGCGCAACAATGTCAATTCCGTCAGGGTGTTCGTTGCGGATCCAGTTGACTGCTTTGGCGAAATCGGTCGAGTCTTGATCAGCGTCGCGAATGATCTGCGCAGGGGAAGGTTGCGACGAGTAGAAATCGCGGACCGTTGGAGTCAAGGAATCGAGGTCGCCAATGATAAGCTGAAGGTTAGACTATGCCAAAAGTTAATAAGAGCGTTCCATAGCAGCGCAAATTTACTTTTCTTTCGCAACGGGCAACGTACGTATTTTCCATGGAAGGATGATAGCTTGTGCAGTCTGTTGGCACCTCCATCTGCAGCAACTCTCACAGAAGCTGCGACCTTTAGTACCAGACACAAGAATACGCTCCCAAAAGCTACGTACAGTTCTTCCAGAGCTTGCGCAGATTGACGCCGTTCTTCAAAGGCTGGTTAAGAATGAGAAGGGCGAAATCCTGGCCTATGTTATAGTCCTGCAGCAACTTTGCCGGTCGCCATTCGAAGGTCTTTGACGCCATGATTCGAGGGGTAAATAGGTCGGTAAATCACAACTTGCGACGTGAAGATGACCAGAAAATGAAGAGTGTAAGATCAGAAAGAAATAGCGCCCCTCCCTAGAGCGAGATTGCAATATTGTTCCTCTGAGAATAACGAGACAATGTTTCGTTTCGCTAGTCCCCTAGCTTGGATGACTTTCCCCTCGTTTCCTGTGCGACCTTATTGTCTCGACTCGCCTTGAACCAAACTCGTCTAGCGAAACAAGCTTTGGCCCCACGAATCAAGCCACCAACAAGTACAAAAACTCAAAAAAGCTAAGGCGTTTGTTCAATCGTTCCTCTAAAATGGTTTAGAGGGCGCTCCGGAATGCATGCGCATTATCAGACGATGGTGGGGGAACGTCATGATCCGATAAGGCTTATCGATAAGTGACTGCCGGCACTGCGGGCGGTTAAATCACGGTTACGCTTTTTTCACGCAATGGACTGAACCGGGATCCAGGTCTATTTCCAAGCATCATATAGTCGTCAAACGATGCTCCACTGCTGACCAATTCTTCTTGTATCTCTTTCTTTTTCGCGCCTCGAATTGATGATTCCCTTTGTTTAATTATCCCATTAGACTCTTCGACACAATGTACCGAAACACCATGCGATCGGCCACGAGGCCTGTAATTGCCAGCTTGCGATCAAGCACCCTCCGCGCCGCTCCTCGTCGATTCGCTTCCACAGCTCCCGCCGACAAGCCCCGAACACTTAAGGGATCTTTGGCACGACTTGGTCTGGCCTTCGGTGCTGTTTACTACTATAACACAAGCCCAATCTTTGCTGATGAGGCTCTCTGTACGTCTCAATTGATCGAGAGAAACAGGAAGCTTGCGACTAACAGCTGATAGCAAAAACGGTTCCCGCTCCGGCTGCTTTCTCCGATGACGATCTTCCTACTGTCGACTCAATTGTAGAGGAGAAGCGCAAACAGATCAAGGCTAAAAGTGAGAAGTCTGCCCAGACACCAGGGCCTCAACAATCGAACAGCCAAGCTGCTGCCACCGATGGATCGCCTGCAGCTTTAGAAGAGGAGGCCGACCAACAGGGCGCTTTTAACCCCGAGACTGGCGAGATTAACTGGGACTGCCCTTGCTTGGGTGGTATGGCCCACGGCCCTTGCGGAGAGGAGTTCAAGACTGCTTTCAGCTGCTTCGTGTTCTCCGAGGAGGAGCCTAAGGGCATGGATTGCATCGAGAAGTTCCAGTACGTCATACTTCATGATAAATCCTACTTACAGTTGCTAACGTATCTATAGGGGAATGCAAGAGTGCTTCAAGAAGTACCCCGAGATCTACGGTGCCGAGCTCGCTGATGACGAGGAGGGCGCCCCTACTCCCGACTTTGGCGACGAGCAGCCCTCCGGAGCCCCCACGACTGCCGAGTTCAAGTCTGATGGTGCCCCCGCCCGTGAATACGGCGAGAAGGCCGCTGGCGATACCACAAAGGACTCCAAGAAGGCTCCCGAGCCCAAGACAACATCCAAGAACACTTCCAGCTCCAGCAAGCCTACAAAGAAGTCCACCGGCGGTGCCCCTACAACTGCTGAATTCAAGTCTGATGGTGCTCCCGCTCGCGAATTCGGCGAGAAGGCTGCTGCCGATACCACCGGCGCCTCCCACTTCAATAAGCTCTCCGAAGATACTTCCGCCGCTTCCGAGCCCGACCAACAGGCCCCTCCCCGATACACCTCTAGCGAAGCCGAGAGCCAATCCATCGCTTCCGGATCCCGAATGGTCCAGGATGTCGCTACCCCGATAGAAGAGCCTGTGAACCAGAAGTTTTGGCAGGATATGCACGAGACCAGGGTTCCCAAGAAGGATGTTGCCGTTGAGCCCGTGCAGGCTCACGATGCTACTGCTGCCAACGAGGAGATTAAGGTTATTGAGAAGCAGAAGAAGGCTGAGAAGAAGCAGTAAAGAAACGGTGTAAAATATTGGCGCGTTGAAGGGGAAAATGTACTTTTTGTAAAATATTGGATCTTGGCATGGGCAGGGTGCTCATATCTGTACCAACGCTGTATGATGAGAGGAACAGAAGCCATGAAAATTAATTAGACACGATCACATCTCAATTTCTTGTCACGGGTGAAGGTCATTGGTGATATCACATGTCAGGTCAGAGGGAAGTGGGTTAAACTTGGTATCGTGCCTGCGCTTGTATTGAGATGGGTAAAACTGGTATCAGCCAGAGTAGAGACTATAAACAAAGTAAAAAGCAATGCAGTGCAACAAAACATAAAAAAAAAACTGCCATCTCAGACATTCGTCATCAAGAATTCCAGCAACGATATCTTTTCCTCGTTAACGTCTTCAGTTGTTTCACGCTGCACTTGGCGTCCACGGCTAGAATCATCTTTCTAAGAACCACCCTTCTTGCCCTTGTACAGGTATCGACCGACAGCGCCCTCGGCGGCAGTAACGCTAGCGAGGATACCGGCACCGAGACTGACAGCCTTCCAGTCGAGCTTGCCCTTCTCGTACAGGCCCCAACCCTTGTAGCCGAGGTATGCACTAAGACCGACGACGGTAGCGAAGTTGGCAATAACAAGACCAGTGGCGTTGCCGTCGGACAGCTTGGAGAATTGTTGGATGAGCCAGTTGTCGGTCTGCTTGGCCTTTGCGGTGGCGGATTCACGCTTTCGCTTCTCCTCCTTGGCCTCCTCCTCGCGCTCTAGGCGGGCAGCTTGGGTCTCGGTCTGAACTTCCTGCTCGAGGAAGTCGGCGGGGACAGTGTGCACGCTAGGCATGTCGACGTCGACCAGAGAGGCGGTGGAGGCAGACTCGTCAGAGATGATTTGGGGAGGTTGAGGGGCAGCAGCCTTGGAGGGGTTAGTATTGACAACTGTGAGTATAGCAACTGAGTTGCTTTCAACTTACATCCTCGGGGCTCTGCTTGGGGCCCTTGGCAGCAATATCGGCGTAAGACACTTGAGTCAAAGTCAGTGATCTGATGTTGGGCACAAATACGTGGGAGTGACGTGTATACTCACTGATGATGGAGGCGGGGTAATGTAACGGAGGGGAATTGAGAGTAGATTCGAGTGGTTGAGGATGTAATATCCTAAAGAATTGCTGGAAGAGAAGCGAGTTGTAGAGTCTGAAGCCAAGAGTATCGTGAGAGAAAAAAGATGGAGGAGAAAGAAAGATGGAATGGGCTCTTCATGTGACGCAGATCATGAAATGGTGTGCGTTGGCGACGCTTCCGCAATTCGCCGATGACGTATGCGGCTCGAGATCCACACTGGAGCTTGAGAGAGGGACAGAGGGACGCTCCTCCAAGGATAAAGCAGGATTTTGTCTGGTTCGGGAGAAATTGGAGCCAGGAACAGGATATGGGGGAGCCAATCACGGAGCTCAATGCTGATGATCAAGTTTTGGATGATCAATGATCACCTTGATTAATTACATGCCTAGACCTGGATAGATTACATGCTTATGAGCTACAGCAAGGTACCAAGATGGGCGGGCATCTGCGATGTATCTACCATCCCTTCCATGGAATCCATGTATCTCTCACAATACCCTCCTCATCCACTACATAGTACACGTGAAATGCAGCAGCCGCGATACAGGAATGATTGCACCAAATTTCCACTTTCTGACCAACCTTAAATTCCTCGTCTACCTTTCGTCCCTCGCTTGTGCCTAGGATCCCATGTTCCTGGGATAATCGCACGACACCCCACGCCGGGCAGCCCACCACTCGGCCGAATCCGCTAAAGGCACTGGCCTCGCGCGACAACGCAATAACACCAGCATTAACAAGCGCTTCGTTCCTTTCCGGATAAACGCTGCATACTTCGGCTGCGACGGTCACAGCTTGTTGAGATTCGGTCACGAGACCGGTTGAGACTTGCTGGAGGTCGTTGCAGGGAAAATTGCCTGCGTGAAGCTCGAAGTGAAGGTTTTCGGGCATTGAGGCCTTGAGGCTTTCTACGACGTGCGCTGTGGGTGTACTGCCAACAGAGATGACGAGTTGACGCGAGGATGGGAGAAGCTTGGCGGCCGAGAGGACGCTTGATACTTCGACATTGAGAGTTTCTTCTGCTTCTTGGCGGGAGCGGCCGCCGTAGGAGTGGCCTGCGTGACAGTAGAATCCGTAGATATTGACAGCAGGAGACTTTTCTGCGCGCTCGACTAGTCGGTTCAGAGAGTCGCTCTTTAAATCAACACCTGCTCGGTGGGAGCCGACGTCTAGCTTGATGAAGATGTCCCATGGTTGTTTGCTTGAAGATGACTCTTCGAGGAAAGAGACCTGTTGCTCATTGTCCGCCATGAGCTGGATGCGTAGTGACTTTCGGAGCTCAATCAATCTGGGCAGAACTCCTGGATAAACTGGGATGCCGTACAGACACTAAATGTCTCAGTATTTTGGTCTTCAATATTTCGGGAACGGTCTCACCTCTTCTACAAGACCCTCCTCTACCAAAGGTAAGGCACCCTTAATCTCAGGGATGGTAGAAGCAATCATGCCCTTGTATTTGCCCCCAGCAAGCATCAACCTCGTAACCTCAAGGGTCTACCAAAGTAAGCCAATTGAATCATCCCACTCGTAGATCATGTATATAACATACCTTTAGCGTCTTGACATGAGGCCTAAAGCCAATGCCAAGCTTCTCTACATCGTGATGTAACGCATCAATATTCTTCTTGAGCACCGGCAAATTCACCACCAACGATGGCGTAGGGAGTTCGGAAATGGACTTTCCGATGAAAGACTTGTGGTTCTCGAGTGAATAGTCCATGTTGGATTATCCTCTTGGCTTGATTCTGGTGTACGATGAAAGTGCTCAACGTGGGGCAACGCGGGGAGGTGTCGAGTGTTACTGGGGGTGAGGCTTCTTGTCAGAGGCTTTATAGATGAGCGTCTAGTGAAACAATCGTGTTATGAGTGATTTCTCAATGTTTATCAGCTCACGATGAAATGGAGCTTGAGGATCCGTAATGAGGCAATTGCAAGTTGCCCGCGGCGGATCTAATTGTAGTGCCGATCTTTCCCCGCGGGCAACGCTTCCTACCTAGGCATTCCACACTAATTATTTGCTGTTGGATAGCAGTATCACGAGTTCGACTTTAGAATAATGTGTATGAGAATAGAATTAACTCTCTGTTTCTTAGCCAAGCTATACCAAGTCTCCTATGCTTTTGTCGAAATGCATACCAAGTGTAGGTAATAAGCAGCAAGGTGTAATAGGCATAGCTAGTATCACGAAGACCGTCTAAACGAGCTGTCCCAACGAGAAACCATACGAGTAATCCAATTGGACTTGGGCTGTTGCCATTATACAGCCCTTCATGGACCGTAAGCTCTATAGCCATTTTTCATTGTGGCATGAAGCGAATCCGCCCTGCCAAAACTATCGCTCTGGTATTGTAAATAATATTCCGACATATTGGCCCCTCAAAATGGCTCACCACCACGCACGTCTAGTCCACTGGTCCCAGCATATATAGAGACCCAAATCCCCAACCACATCACCAAGAACAGATACTCTAACGCTTCTGTATGCCATGACGACTCTCCAATACGACTCTGAATTCGCCGAGGCATTGGCCTTGATGAAATCCGGCCGCCCCTCAATCCCTCCCCAAACAGTCCTCGACATCCGTCGTAACAACCACGCGTTCTTTACTAAAGTCTTTCCCAAAGCGCCCTCATCGGATATTATCGACCAGACAGACTACACCATTGAAAGCTATGACGGTGCCAAAATCCTGCTGCGCCGTTATGCAAAGCCAGGTGTTAAAGAACCCCAACCAGCGATTCTAGTAATCCACGGAGGCGGATTTGTCTCGGGCACCGTCGAAATTTGCGGCGGTTTAGATGCAGAGACCGCAATTACGACAAGAAGAACTGTGTTTGCGGTGGATTATCGTCTTGCGCCTGAGCATCCTTTTCCTGCCGCCGTGGAGGATAGCTTTGCTGCCTTGATGTTCATCTCGGAGAATGCAGTAGAGCTGAACATCGATCCCAAGCGCATTTGTGTAAAAGGAGAAAGTGCAGGCGGTGGTATAGCCGTAGGAACCGTCCTCATGGCGAGAGACAGAGCGCTGAGGCCCCCAGTGGCAAAGCTGATCGCTATAACTCCTGAACTGGACGATAGAACAAGCCATCCAGCAGATACCGAGTTTCTCAAATTCACCACATGGACTCCTCATCATAACAAGCTTGCCTGGAAAGCATATGTAGGAGAAGAAAAAGCTGGAAGGCTGGAAGCAGATGTCTCACCTTATGCAGCGCCAGCGAGAGCAGAAAGCTACAGAGGGCTACCGTCTACATACGTCGATGTCGGCACGCTGGACTTGTTTCGAGATGAGGATCTGGAATTTGTGAAGAGGTTGATGGAAGATAACGTAGAGGTGGAGTTTCATCTCTGGCCTGGTGTACCGCATGTATTCGAGTTTCTAGGACAAGGAACGAGATGGCATCTGCGAGCTAGAGAAGCGCGGAATGATGCACTGTTGAGATTCTAGCTAGACACTCGGTGGCTGATAGCATAAGAGACTAAATAGCTTGGTCACCTTATGACAGCTTAGATTAGGAGTTAGAATATTTTATCTTAGTGATCTAAGCCTGAGAGGACAGTTCTTCCATTACTCATCTAACAGACTACACGATTATTTAGATGGAATGGTCTTGGCGGTAGATTAGGAAGGTATTATTAATACTTCCCAAGGAAACCTACAAGAAGCTCGACTATCTTCTCAGGCTGATCCTCAGGTGAAAAATGCCCGGCATCATCCAGAACCGTGAGCTTCGATCCCGGAATAGCATCATGTAACTTATGCGCCCAATCAACTACCTGCCAAGCATCATCCTTCCCCCAGATCAACTGCACAGGTAGCTTCTCCAGCTCTCCTAGTCGTGGCGCGACTTCCATTGTATGCTTCGGATCATAGTGTCTAACCTGATGCTCAAAGAGGCTCGGCTGACCGATGGGACCAGATATGTAGTCGAGATAGGTATCGAGACTCGACTGCTCAAATTTGGCTTGGTCCTTGACGGCGGAAAGTAGCCACTCTCTGAAGTGAGCTCTGTGATCGTCACTGTTCGTTTTTATGAGCGATTCAAGACCGTTTTGCATTTGTTGTTTTGTTCGTTTGGAGGGATAGCTGTCGAAGCTGACGACGTCGATGAGAGTGAGAGATAGGACTCTTTCGGGCGAGAAGACAGCAAAGCGCTGTGCGACACCACCCCCAATATCATGTGCGACGACGTGAGTCTTATCAAGACCCCAGAGCTTCAAAAAGACCCTCCAAGACTGAGACCTGGCCTGTCATGGAAGTATCGATGTCGGGATTCCATGGACGCTCAGAGAGACCAAAGCCGAGAAGATCAAAGACATGGACTTTGTACCCAGCATCAACAAGTTTGGGGGCTATGTTACGCCAGATGAGAGACGAAGATGGTGTGCCGTGAAGAAGTACAACGGACTTGCCAGTGCCATAGACACCGTAAGCTACACGGCTTCCATTGATGAGGGCATTTTCTGTGGCGATTGGTTCGATCATGATTGATTGTTTGTAATTAATATGCTCTGGTTAATACCGGAGAGGACTTGATGGCTTGATATACCCGTGGATTAATAATGCTCATAATGTCGTCCGAAGGGCGTATATGCTTTGACGATAGCGATGAAAGAAAGATGACGCAGTTCCACGGAGAGCCAAGAAGCTAAAAGATCATTGAAAGACAATAACGCATTCATGGCACAGAATTGAGAAGTTCATGGGTCACAGTCATCCATCTTCCTCTCAAGGAACCGCACCTTGACACCTGTCATCATAGACAGAAAATACGACCGACCCTCATCGTCAGGCATATCCGTTTCAATCCTGAACTCTTTCACCAAGGCCGGAACGACTTTATAAACCACCAGTTCTGCGAGATGTCGTCCAGGACAACTTCTCGCACCGCCGCCCCAGGCTAGACTTGTACGCTCCATGCTGCGGTCTGCGTTTAACCAGCGCGCTGGCCTGAACTGGTCGCTATCAGGGCCGAAAATATCTGGGTTTCGATGCAATGCTACGGGATTGCAGCCAACTGTTGTGTTGGGCGGGAAGTATTGGCCGTGAAGATGAAGGCCGCTGGGAGGAACTTTGCGAGGTAAGGACATGCTGAGCACGGGGTAGAGCCGTTTTGTTTCTTTGATGAGAGACTGTATTTCTGGCAGGCGTATCGCAGTAGAATAGGCGGTTGGGTCATTCGTTTCTAGAACCTCGCGAGAAACATGTGTTTGTACATCCTCGTTTGAACCAAGAAGAGCCATTATAGACGTCAATGTCGAAGCCATTGTCTCATGCCCAGCACCAAAGTTGGTGATGGCCATTTTGCGAAGATAAGGGACTGTGAAGTCAGGCTTCGATTTGTTCAGCTGTATTAAGTCTGTCAAAAGATCTTGACGGTCATCCTTATAGTGCTTGGCACGTGTAGCTGTATTGACACGCCGTGAAACTCTCTTTCCAACATCCTATTGAACCATCAGTATCCAGTAAAGTGCTCCTCATTGAGGCCATCTTACAGGGAAGAAAGGTCTAAAGTCTTTAGGAGGCTGAAAGTTAACACCCCAGATAGTACTGAAAAGCCTCCCAATGGACTTGTTCAAAAATTCCAGTTTCGCAACTAGAGGAAACAGTCCAAAGACACTCTTTCGTCTCCAGCCATGGTAAGCATGTGTTCCCGAACCATTGTCGGTACCACTCTTTAACATGCCCGGTGACCATGATAGAACGATTGCGCTGAGACACTCGACGGCGATAATGTGCATCCACTCATTTAGTTCCACCTGGGCGCCCTTCAGGCTCTTCAGTTTGGCGATTGCGCGTGTGAGAACTTCATCGATAACAGGTTCATATTGGATGAGATTGGATGTTTGGTATACCGGACCTATCAGACGACGTTGCATGCGATAGCGTCGTATGTCTCTTTCTGAGAGAAGATCGAGTGTGTCTGGAAATTCTGGGTTGAGATGGTAGTCGATGTGTGGTTTGCTTAGAGCGGTTGCCACTACTCGTATTAGCCCTCAAATTCCATCAAGCAATATGTACTCAATCATACAGTAGAAGTCTGACTTTTCATAACCGCTACCACTACCTATCGAACATATCAGTATAAGTTCCCCTTACTCGGATGTCATACACACTATAAATAGCATGAAAAGCCTCCTGCGTATCAAACCAAACTTCATTCGGCCCAACCCTTACAACAGGTCCATACCGCCGATGCAGAGTCTTTCCCAGATGTGCCATTCGACCATTTCTAGCATTGCAAGCGTGCCAGCAGCTCGAGATAGCAGCGATTTTGGGACCAGGTACTTGCGCCAGGGGATGGAAGTATAGCCTGTACACGACGATGGAGGCCACTAGCACCAAGAATGAGAAAATAATTCTAGTGAAGAGCTGGAATGAGAGATTGGCTAGAGTGGTTATCCAGGAGTAAAAAAGAGTGAGAGACATGATGATAGCTTATGAAGCATCACAGCGGGTGTTTGGAGAGTAGTGGTGCTGTATGAGTAAGGACGAATTGTGTGAAAAAAGTTGTGAATTGGATCGAAGTCGAGATTTATCCCCCACATTCACTCATACCAATTTCAGCAACCACTTACAACAACCAAAATGGATGATCGATTATACTCATTTATCTATTCGTGTATCTAGCTCATCAACTACAATCTAGTATTGAAATCACTTTTTCGGTATGTCATTCTGTCATAAATCTCGTCCAAGTCTTCCTTCTTCCTGGGTATCTCCAATCATGGATGCTTCTAGCGCCATCAGTTAAGTTACAGCGCTTGCTTCGCCTTCTCTTTACGCTCCCTCTTAACTCTCAACTCCTCCCTCCATTTCACACCCCGAACCATCAAGGCGATCAATATCGGACACCCAAGAACATATAACCCACCAACAAGGGTAAAAGCCCAGCCAATACCCATAGCGTCAATCATGGGTATGATCGCTGCACTGGCCCCAGCACCCACCAGACATCGCGTCAAGTTATTAGCTGCACTCGCAGTCCCAGGTTTACCAGGATGGATGTCTATCAGCAAAGAATTGGTCGTGTTATTGAAGCCGACAATGCCCACGCCCATGAGGCCGCTTAGTACGCATGGTACAGCGACATGTGTCTGCGCGTGGACGGCCCAGCCCCAGCTAATCACCATAGCCGCTGCGACCATGAGAAGAGGAAACCCAATCTCAAGACGGGCGCGCTCTATGGGAAAAGTGGAAAGATCTTGCTGCTTGCTTCTTTCGTATGGAATCCCGAGTTTATCACAGTGGCGTTTGTAGTTGCGGTTCGTGAAAGTCCCTACAATGAAAGCTGCGATGACGGATCCAGCTGCCATGGGAAGGAACATCAGTCCGTTCTCGACTTCATTGAAGCCGTAAATCTCTGCGAATAGGGTGGGCATGGCGGTTGCGACGCAGTAGAAGCCTGCAAAGCAGATGCTGCTGAAGGCAAGAAGAAGGCCTGTTTCCTTCTCGAAAAGCATGAGGATTGACTCCAGGACGTTGGGCGGTTTGAACTTGAACTTGTTGGTCGTCGAAGCCGTCGAGACCTGTCGAGTCAGGCCGGCCTTGTCTCTTTTGCGTCGCAATTTGAGAATCTGCCATATCGAACGGTACATGACAGGCGGTCTGATAGAACCGTCCCCAACGATATGGCGACATGTCTCGGGGTAAAACATGACGATGAGAAAGAGACCAACACCAGCAAAGATGGCCAGGAACCAGAAGATAGATCTCCATCCCAGGAACTCTGCCAACAAACCACCAATGACCGGTCCCAAGGCAGGACCGAGTACACTGGGCACAGCTGTCAGACCGATATACTGTCCTCTCTCAGCAGAAGTGACCACATCTGCCACGACCGCGAAGCACAGCGCAACAGTGCTAGCCGAACCTGCAGATTGCAAGCATCGAAGACCAAGTAAAGCGCCATAGCTAGGTGCAAGTGCAAGACCGATATTCGCAGCGATGTAGATAGTAAAGCATACCATATACGCAGGTCTTCTGCCACCGCTATCCGCCAGCGATCCAACAAACATGGGTGTGATCCCTTGAAAGATCATGTAAGTCGTGACAGTAAGATTGATCTGCGATGTGGTAACATTTAGATCTTTGGCTATGGCTGGCAAGGCAGGGAAGTAGATTTGGGCTGTCATTGGCGAGAACAAAGCCGTCGTGGCAGCAGCTAGAACGATAAGCCGTTTCTGCCATGTCGTGAAGCTCGAGTAAGGTACATCTTGTTGCTCTTCTTCAGTTTCCGAATCGGGATGTTTTTCAGAATTTTGGTGTTCTGGTAGTGTGTGTATACTTTCGATATCATCTTTATGGTGTTGATCTGGAGTGGTGGCGCCCATATTTACTGTCTTTTTGGAATGCCGATGAAATGGACAATGGCATTTCTTGGCAAAAGTCGATGAGATCAAAGACCAATAAATAAATGCATCCTGCAGGTCACTTGTTGCCCGTTAACTCGCTAGGAATACTTTTCACGGTCATAAGTGGGCTCACACGCATCTTTCGGCACCGAGTCGGCCAAATGGCTTATACGCGTATGAAGACAGGCATTCCTATTGTAACCGATGCTTTAGGATTGGTTGTTCGGGTCGGGATTGACTTGGCTTATATCCGGTGTAAGAGATCGGTGCCGTTGGGTTGACGCATGCATCATTGCATCGGTGGATGCTAAGCTGTCCTCTAAGGTTTAGGGCAACGAAAATACAGTGCACAATATCGAGTTTAGAATAGTATGGATTGTTCATGTTATTTGGTCTCCTGTGGTCTCAACGGTCAAGTTCTCCGGTGTCCTTGACACATTATGTGCCCGGCACCGACGGCGGGATGACTCAATTCGTTACGCAAACTCGTCTGCGGAGAGTCATTGAGGAACGGAGTAAGAAGGACATCCTCTGGCTTTCCTTCTTAAGACAAGGTGCTCACGACCGATATCGGTTGCAAGACCTAGCTATTCTTCCAATAAGGTCGATGAAAATGGCGACTGGCTAGCAAAGGATTTGTGGGGTGTCTGTTGAATTGAAGCTATCACCAAGGAAGAAGCAGAACAGCGTGGTTAGGTACCCATTTTCTGGCAGAGAGACTGGATCCTATCTGGTCATTGTATTATAGCAAGAGGCCATAATACTTCGCTAAGGCTGCCTAAGAGAGATCGAGTTGTCCCGCTTGAGGGAAGCCGGTTATGGGCCGCTCGAAGCGTGGTTGTAAAGTTCATCGACAGGGATCAGAAAATCATGCTATAGGGCAGTTAAGATTACATGATGTTGAGTTTGTTGAGACCTAAGTTCAAGAGTCAAGAGTCAAGTCACGAACGTTCCTGTGTCCAGAGTAAGCTGGAAAATATCCTGCGGTGTCGCTGTGAGAGACGCACAAGCCCAACAGCAACAGGATGGATTGGCGGCAGAAGTCTTTTATTAAGTCGTCAAATTATCTCTGATACGAGTCTACCAAGAAATTTAATCGACAGACTGAAATGAGGCACTTGTCAGAGACTGAGAGTGTATTTTATCGCCTTCTCTAATATGCCAAGGTTCGACTATGCAACTCGCCAGTGAGATCCTTTACTTACGGCTCCTGCCTTTGTGTTTTCCCTTTTGGAAGACCCAGTAGCAACTTTCATTGATCTTGAATGTCATGGATATGGTGAATTGACAATAGTTTGTGTGTATGCACTCCACCATAAAAGTGTATTCCGGCGAAATGGTTTGAGTTGAGTGTACTATAAACCTTCCAAAGTACGACCTATAGGCACCAAAATCTTTGAGTTTTTGAGGACCATAGTTCGACATGAAGGTTAAGAAAGTAACTCACCAACTTAAATCTCCAGTTACATAAATGTGACCTCCCCCATGCGAGATCTTTCCCACCTTCATCTCCTCTTCGCTCTTTACAACAACCAACAACTAGCTGCACCCATACACCTCACCTTCACAATGTCTTCTATCAGTACCAAGGTTCTTATACTATCCGATACCCATGCTCAGTCATTTAAACCGGATATGGAACCCCTCGAGCGAGTAGACGTGGCAATTCATTGTGGCGATCTCACAAATACATCCAAGCTGGAAGACTACAGAAAGACAATCCGGCTCCTCGAGCAAATCAACGCCCCTGTCGAGATCGTAGTCGCAGGTAACCATGACTTTACCCTTGATGATGCGAAGTACAAGCACAAGATCGAAGAGTCGTGTAGAGTGAACCAGGAAGATATCAGCACAGCCATCAAAGCTGAGTACGGCGAGTTTGGAGAAGCTAGACAACTATTATTGGACGCAAAAGACAAAGGAATCATGTTTTTGGAAGAGGGAACACACGATCTTCATCTTTCGAATGGCGCCCGTCTCAAAGTTTACGTCAGTCCGTTTACACCTACGCACGATTGTCCCGGTTGGGGCTTCCAGTACGAAGGCGCCCATGACTTTACTATCGAGAGGAATACCGACATCGCTATAACTCACGGTCCGCCACACGGTATCATGGACATGACTTCCAGAAAGGAGCGCATCGGATGTCCACAGCTGTTCGCCGCCATAGCCAGGGCTCAGCCAAAAGTTCATTGCTTCGGACATGTTCATGAGAGTTGGGGTGCAAGACTAGTCTCCTGGAGACCCAAGATCTCGGAGCGACCTCAGCATTTTACCGACATCGACAATGACAAGTCATATGTTGTTGAGAATCTTGCGCGCTTGAGGGGGTCTAAGTTTGAGTCTCCTGACGACAAGAAGGAGAGGGAAGAGAAGATAGCACGTGACAAGTCTCTACGATACTGTGGGATTGATAAATCACTGCAACCTGGAGAGACCATGTTTGTCAACGCTGCACTCATGGGGAATGGGGAATTAGATCAAGTTCCATGGGTTATAAACATTGATCTAGACAGGTATTGAGTAACAAAGGAAAGGGGAGTAAAAGATTGCATTGTTGTACAAAGCAAACAGATAAAAGCATTACTATGGGAAACAGAAGAAAATACCCAAGATGTATTCCTCCATAAGTAGACACCGTAACAATGTAAAATTTGATTTCTGGAGTAAGGGACCGTATTCATCTGGCCGGCGAAACTTTCCCTCATCTCAACGGGTATTTTGCAACACACTCTCTCTGCATTTTCCGATTGTTGCTTGGATTGCTTTCAAGAAAGATCTCATTGCAGCGACATAACTAAACGATAACTTCCTTTCAGATCCATATAAGCCGAGAAAAAGGACCCCAAGGCATTGTAAGCACGAAAACTGTATGAGAGGTTCAATGGATTATCGCAACCTTTCCGCTTCAGGGTAACCAAATTCAAGAGTTCAATATCGGTAAGTAGGTAACCTTTTTACCGAGACATTCAGTGTTTGTCACTTAATCAAATAACAATACAACAATCCAGGACCTCACAAAAACCATTTGGCTCCAGACAGTTCAAGAATAAAAATAATGGACGATGGTGAGTGAATATGGGTATCATAGTTGGTAATATCATCACGTGACGTTATCGGTGAATGACAAGCTCCGAGTCGCCGGCCTCGCCTCCCGTACTAAGCATAGCGTGGCGTGGGTAAACCATCGATTACCTTGACGAAAAGTACAGATCGCGACTTACAGGTTGCAACCAAGAAATTGGGAATTACAGCCACTTCGGCGGGCAAACAACCGCAACAACTCGAAAAGGAGGTATTAACCCTCATCAAATTATATAGTCGATCTTCGACAAATACCCCCCAATATTGAGATACGACCATCTTTAACCCCCCATCGCCCATCATGGCGCCCCTCGTCGACAACCCCCAAATCAAGCACGCCGAGCTGCTGCGCCCTTTGTCTTTCGGCCTTCACGCTTACGTCTGGCCCTTCACCATCATATGGCCTATCTTCTTCGCCTTCTACCTGAGCCCCGAGCTCTACGGAAAGTACATTGGTGCTCAGGAGTGGACAACTGTCTGGGTCGGCACTATCATCACTCTGCAGTCCCTCACTTGGCTCAGCACACACTGGAGTGTTGACCTCGAGGGCAGGTTCACTGCTTCAAAGGCAAAGGATATTGAGGACGCTCAGTTGATCAAGGTTGTTCCTATTGCAAATGCTGGTACTGCCGCCATTTGCAAGCTGGTCCGCGATAAGGTGGGGAGTCTTTATTCTGGAAACACCGCAAAAAATTATTAACACTTGTTATAGGCTGGTGGCAAGCTCAACACCTCGTTCCTCTTCCAGAAGCGTCGCTTCCTCTACGATACCGTTACCAAGTCTTTCCACACCCTCAAGTACGATATCGATGTTGAGCCTAAGCCTACTATCGGCCATTTCCAGAGCTCAAAGGGTGTCCAGACCCAGACCGAGCTGTCACGAATTGAGCAGCACTATGGCACCAACACCTTCGATATTCCTGTTCCTACCTTTACCGAACTGTTCAAGGAGCACGCTGTTGCGCCATTCTTCGTCTTCCAGATCTTCTGTGTTGGACTTTGGATGCTCGACGAGTACTGGTACTATTCGCTCTTTACACTTTTCATGCTCGTCGTTTTCGAGAGCACCGTTGTTTGGCAGCGTCAGCGTACCCTGACCGAGTTCCGCGGCATGAGCATCAAGCCTTACGATATGTGGGTTTTCCGTCTGGGCAAGTGGACCGAGGTTCAGAGTGACCAGCTCATCCCTGGAGATCTCGTCTCCGTCAACCGGACCAAGGAGGACAGTGGTGTTGCTTGCGATATGCTTCTGGTCGAAGGTACCGCTATCGTCAACGAAGCTATGCTTTCTGGTGAGAGTACTCCCCTCCTGAAGGAGTCCATCCAACTTCGCCCCGCCGATGTTCCTCTGGATTCTGAGGGTCTGGACAAGAACTCTTTCCTCTGGGGCGGTACCAAGGTTCTCCAGATTACCCACGGAAACGCTGACCAGGAGAGGCCCAAGCTTGCTTCCGGTGTTCCCTCTGCTCCCGACAACGGTGCCATGGCCATTGTAATGAAGACTGGCTTTGAGACTTCTCAGGGCAACCTTGTCCGAACTATGATCTACTCCACTGAGCGAGTTTCCGCCAACAACGCCGAGGCTCTCTTCTTCATTCTGTTCCTCTTGATCTTCGCCATTGCCGCCGCTTGGTATGTCTGGGACGAGGGTGTTCGCAAGGATCGCAAGCGTTCCAAGCTTATGCTTGACTGTGTCTTGATCGTTACCAGTGTCGTTCCTCCTGAGCTGCCCATGGAGCTTAGTCTCGCTGTCAACACTAGTCTGGCCGCTTTGGCTAAGCTGGCTATCTTCTGTACCGAGCCCTTCCGAATTCCTTTCGCTGGTCGCGTTGATGTGGCTTGCTTTGACAAGACCGGTACTCTGACTGGTGAGGATCTTGTCGTTGAGGGTATTGCTGGGCTGGCTCTTGGACATGAAGATGAAATTCAGGACACCAAGGAGGCTGACGGTGCTCACTCTACTATGACTCCCGTCACTGAGGCTTCCCTGGAAACCAAGCTGGTTCTCGCCACTGCCCACGCTCTTGTCAAGCTTGATGAGGGTGATATTGTTGGTGACCCTATGGAAAAGGCTACTCTCACTTCTCTCGGATGGACTCTTGGCCGCAACGACACTCTTATGAGCACCAACAAGGCTGGCAGCACCCACGGTACTGTCCAGATCAAGCGTCGATTCCAGTTCTCTTCTGCCCTCAAGCGTCAGAGCTCCGTCGCCATGGTTCACGGAAATGACATCAAGACTGGCCGAAAGGTCAAGGGTACTTTCGCTGGTGTCAAGGGTGCGCCCGAGACCATCCAGAAAATGCTCACGGTTGTCCCTGCTGATTATGAGGAGACTTACAAGTACTTCACTCGCAAGGGTTCTCGTGTTCTGGCTCTCGCTTACAAGCAACTTACTATCGACAGTGAGCTTGGCTCTGGCAAGATTAACGATCTCAAGCGTGAAAAGGTTGAGTCTGAGTTGACTTTCGCTGGTTTCCTCGTCTTGCACTGTCCTCTCAAGGAAGATGCCAAGGAGGCTGTTCAGATGTTGAACGAGAGCAGCCACCGTGTTGTCATGATTACTGGAGATAACCCTCTTACTGCTGTCCACGTCGCTCGCGAGGTTGAGATTGTCGATCGTGATGTCCTTATCCTCGATGCTCCTGAAGATAACTCGAACGGTGATCAGCTTGTCTGGAGAAGCGTCGATGATAAGGTCAGCATCAAGGTCGACCCCACTAAGCATATCGACCCCGAGATTATTCGCTCCAAGGATATCTGTGTTACTGGGTACGCTCTTGCCAAGTTCAAGGGACAGGTCGCTTGGAACGATATCCTCCGCCACTCCTGGGTTTACGCTCGTGTTTCCCCCAAGCAGAAAGAGGACATTCTCCTCGGTCTAAAGGATATGGGTTACTACACTCTGATGGCTGGTGACGGTACCAACGATGTTGGTGCTCTGAAGCAGGCTCACATTGGTATCGCTTTGTTGAACGGAACTCCCGAGGATCTTACCAGGATCGCCGAGCACTCCCGCAACACAAAGATGAAGGAGATGTATCAGAAGCAGATTGACCTCATGGCTCGTTTCAACCAGCCTCCTCCTCCTGTTCCCGCTATGATTGCCCACCTGTACCCTCCCGGTCCCCAAAACCCTCAATTCCAGAAGGCGATTGAGCGTGAGGCTCAGAGGAAGGGCATGACTCCTGAGGAATACGCCAAATCTCAAGGTCACGATAACTTCGAAACAACTATTACTTCTCCTGGTGCTCAAGCTATTATGGATGCAGGCGGTAACCGACAGCAAGAAGCTGCCAAGAAGGCAGCTGGATTCGCCGACAAGCTTGCGTCCGGCATGATGGAAGCTGAACTTGGAGATGATGAGCCGCCTACCTTGAAGCTTGGCGATGCCTCCGTTGCTGCTCCATTCACTTCCAAGCTGCGAAACGTCGTTGCCGTGCCCAACATCATTCGTCAAGGTCGCTGTACTCTCGTCGCCACCATTCAGATGTACAAGATTCTTGCTCTCAACTGTCTTATCACTGCCTACTCTCTGTCCGTTCTATACCTCGAGGGCATCAAGTTTGGCGACACACAGTACACGATCAGTGGAATGCTCATGTCTGTTTGCTTCCTCAGCATCTCTCGTGCTCGTGTTGTCGAAGGTCTGAGCAAGGAACGTCCTCAGCCTAACATTTTCAACGTGTACATCATTGGTTCCATTCTTGGCCAGTTTGCTGTCCACATCGTCACTCTAATCTACACCGCTCGCCTTTGCGACAGACTTGCTCCGTAAGTTCCTATAAGTCTGAAATACTTCGACACAAGAAGCTAACATTTATAGTCGCTCCGAGGATGTTGATCTCGAGGCTGAATTCGCCCCTTCTCTGCTCAACTCGGCTGTCTACCTCCTGCAACTCATCCAGCAAATCTCCACATTTGCCATCAACTACCAAGGTCGTCCCTTCCGCGAGTCTCTTTCCGAGAACAAGGGTATGTTCTACGGAATCGTCGGTGTCTCGGGTCTCGCTTTTGCTTGTGCCCTTGAGCTCTTCCCTGATATCAACACGGGTATGAAGCTTGTTCCTTTCTCCGACGAGTTCAAGACAAACATGGTTTCCGTCATGGTTATCGATTACGGTGCCTGCTGGCTCATCGAGGTCACCCTCAAGAAGTTCTTCAGTGACTACCAACCTCGCGACATTGCTGAGCGTCGTCCCGACCAGCTTGAGCGTGAAGCTGTTCGTCGCGCTGTTGTACAGAAGAAGAAGGATGAGGAAGAGGAGAAGAAGAGACTCGAGAAAGTTGCCGAGTTTGAGCGCAAGGTTGAGGAGCGTCGAAGGAAGATTGAGCAGTGGAGAACTGGAGGAAACTAAGGGTTTGTATGAGATATTGGGTTAGATTTAAAGGCATGGCTTTAGATTAGGCATTAGATTTGAAGGAGAGTTTTTGATGATGAGGGGCAGACTAAAGGAGGAGTCTGCTAGGGAGAGTAGCTGTACATTATGCTGTGGAGTTAGACTTGATCATACATATAATAGCCAATCGTTTTATCCCAGGTATTGCTTTGAAGCGAAGTTGTTTGTAGCCAGGGACCAGACTATGGAGTCATTAAGCCCGGAGATGTGTGACAAGAATTTATGAGATTGTTCAGAGACTTGCTGCCGTCGTCGGGTTTGTTAAGTAGCCTGTAGGCTCGACCTAGCCCTTACCTCAAGCCAGCCGTATGTAAATAGTGATGTGTAGGCATACCTCCTACATGTACACCATCACCATTGTCCCATCATCAATTATGCTGATATTTAAACTGCTCCTGCGAGAAGGCAAGATTAGCCGACATGTGATGAAATATCATACCTTACTTTCTCTCCGATATAATGATGCGGCCATGTCAACTTCCCAGCATCTAGACACCAGTCCCGTAAGCTAACAAACACCAACTTCATTCTTCCGAGCCCTCAGACCCAAAACCCGAAGACTTCCAAGCCTCTTCGTCCTACTTGATAGACTACGTAACCACAACATAGAGCAGCTAGTAGTCAAATGCCGTGCCGTGTCATGCCGAGACCAGACCCTGGACAAGAGGATCAAGCTAGATAATTGGAAGCTCAACAATTGGCTGGATAAAGAGCGGAATTCAACCTCCGATGCAGGAATAAACTTTCAATGGTGGATTCATTCTCTCATCATGTCATGGCCGGTTAAAAGCCGCATTGTGATGATCCCCCACCTCAAGTAGACATTCACATGTTGGTGAGGGCATTGTAATGTGCTCATCATAACTACCCTATGGAGAATATTGGGGTTGAACTGTATATATTTGTATGATAGAGATGGTAGCTGTTACAATTGGACTTGCTGAGTTGATGTCATGATACATGATATGATGAGGATGTTCATGATCTTCAAAGAGAGCAATCAGTCTTATTCGGACGATCACATCCCCCCACCTTATCAAACCACTCGTTTAGAATAGGAAACACTCGGCATTACTACACCATGTATCACAGTGCTTCTCGTTGGCTCGCTGTGACTCCATCATGATATCAATGGTTCTTCCCTTACCCCTCATCTGCGTGCATAAAAAGCCCATGACCCTTCCTATATCGAACTCTCCTTCTTTCTTCTCTTCATTAACTGATTCACTACACAAAACGAACCCAAGGTTTGTATCACTATGATTGACATAGGTTCTGGTCTGACACATTTGACATGCTAGATATCATACACTATCCAAGTACGGCTCTCTCCTAGCAGCCATGGAGCCTTTCAATGGTAGTCTTGTCCAGACCTGATGGGACACTCTTCAGGTAAAGTATCATGCATGAGCCGGTGCCCATCCTCGACCTTGTTCTTGCTTCTCCTGTATCACATGGGAGAAACAGGAAGAAGGGAAGGGATGTGGCTGAGATTATACGGCAAAACTTGATCTGGATAATACCAGCGAAAGGATCATGTCCTCCTCCCAATTAACTCCCAGTATCTAACAACTCTAGGTCTCAAACATGTCTCCCCCTGCTGCTATCTCCCCTCCTTCTCGCTCTGCTGAGCTTGCTACTTCTACCAGCACCAAGCTTCCCGTGGTCGCTAGCAAGAATGTCAACTCCAAGACTGTAGAGGAGATGCTGGGTAACTGGGACTCCTTCCAGTTCGCCCCCATCCGCGAAAGCCAGGTTTCTCGCGCCATGACCCGTCGTTACTTCAAGGACTTGGATAACTACGCCGAGTCTGACATTGTCATCATTGGCGCGGGATCCTGCGGTCTGAGCGCTGCCTACATCTTGGGTAAGAAGCGTCCTGACCTGAAGATCGCTATCATCGAGGCTTCCGTCTCTCCTGGTGGCGGCGCTTGGCTTGGTGGTCAACTCTTCTCCGCCATGATTATGCGCAAGCCCGCCGACGCTTTCCTCGATGAGGTCGGTGTTCCTTACGAAGACGAGGGTAACTACGTCGTCGTCAAGCACGCTGCGCTTTTCACCTCGACTATCATGTCCAAGGTTCTGGCTATGCCCAACATCAAGCTCTTCAACGCTACTTGCGTCGAGGATCTCATCACTCGACCTTCTGACGAGGGCGTTCGCATCGCTGGTGTTGTCACCAACTGGACTCTTGTCTCGATGCATCACGATGACCAGTCCTGCATGGACCCCAACACCATCAACGCTCCTTTGATCATCTCCACCACTGGTCATGATGGTCCTATGGGCGCCTTCTGTGTTAAGCGTCTTGTTAGCATGCAGCGCATTGAGAAGCTCGGCGGTATGCGTGGTCTCGACATGAACCTTGCCGAGGATGCTATTGTCAAGGGAACTCGTGAGATTGTTCCTGGTCTTATTGTTGGTGGAATGGAACTTTCTGAAGTTGACGGTGCCAACCGAATGGGTATGTTGTCATTGCAACCTCTTCATGTGTATGTATACTAATATGGAACAGGCCCTACCTTTGGTGCTATGGCTCTGAGCGGTCTCAAGGCTGCCGAGGAAGCACTCAACATCTTTGACACTCGCAAGAAGCAGAATGATCTGTAAGCGAGTTGTCTTCGGAGAACGGAAAACGGTACACATGGAATCAGGATCCAGAACCTCGTCTCTCCTTGGAGGCATGGAACCTTGTCATTCATTAGGCTATTGATGTCCCAGTTTGAAAGACATCAAGAGATTCAGAGTTATGTAACATAAAAGAAATAAATTGTTGCTCATTCTGGATTATAAACCATCTCGCTTTATGATCGTCATAATTGTATCCTTTGTCTGTAGCCAATTTACTTCTTTGCCATCACTTCAATGACCTCCCTCTCCACGCCGTCATCCTGCTTTGGAGGAAACTTCATGCCTCTATTCTTATCAGTCGGCTCAGCACTAGGTCCCCAACCTCCATATCCATCACCCATGGCCATACCACCGAATCCGCTGACATCGCCGACCGTCGCCTTGCCAGCGAGTTGGTTTTTGCCGACGCCAGGCGTTGAATCAGCCCATGTTTTAAGCTCCTCTCGAGATTTGCCGGTGTATTTTTGGATGTCCTCGTCGCTGAGGGGCACAGGCGCTTTACTATCTTTGTAGCGACGATAGAGAGACTTTTTCTCTGTTGAGTCTGGGGATGATTTGTCTTTGCTGAAGAGTCCCATGATGGCAAAGACGGGATGTAGTGTAGTTCGATTTGTTATAGTGGATTGATGAAGGTGATGGTGAAAAGCTTGGCAGGAGTGAACTTCTAGAAGGTATTTATAGAAAGGTCTTGGAAGGATTTCAGCTCTTCCTTGTTAGTTAGTGACAGCTGTGGCGTCGTCACAAGGCCTACCTAGGTAATTAGTGAGACATACAAATCGGGCGTTGGAATTCCACGATGTGACAAGGAAGAGAGGCAGTGCTATTGAATCATTGGTCAGTCCGCACCCCAAGATCAGCACAATGAGAAGCTGGGGTAAGGCTGTGCCGAAGATCCGCACTTAGGGCAGATTGATACATGAACTGAAATGATGTCAGATTGTATTTCTTCTCAGTGAAGGTTCCATCTCTCAGATTATCTTCAGTCAGTTGAGATACTCCTTCTTGCCAACCCTCTCACAAAGCTCCTTCAAAACACCACCAAGCCATTCATAATCCTCCATCCCAAGATAAACCTGCGCACTCGTCCTGATCCAGAACCTTCCTCCATGCAAGAAAAGTGCTACAAAGGTCTTGTAGTCCCCGATCAAGGTGTTGAGAATCCACTGGAAAGCAGTCTGCGTCTCCTCAGCAGAAACAACTACGTCGTCTTCTTTACCCTTCTCTGTCCAAATGGGCAGCGCAATATTAGCCATGCCGCAATTTCGTAGAGTGCCGGTGCTGTTCTCCATGTATGTCGTGCCCAGCTTCTCAGCGACGTGTTCACTGCCCTTCTTGTTCAGATCACATAGGTACTCGAGTATCTTGTCTTCGCCACCAAGAACGTCCTTGCGCCAGGCGATAGCGTCCTTAACGCAGAGATAAGGTGAGTTATCCAATGTACCCACAAACTCAAAGTTCGTGACGAAGCGGGATTTTGAATTGGGAGGCAAGGGTGTGATGCGCTGGACAAGCTTGGGAATGTAGCCGTGGCTAGTCGACAGTGTCGTTGGGATCAGCTCCTGGTTGCGGATAGGAACGTAAAAGACTGCGCACCCGCGCGGAACGTGAAGCCATTTATGGCAGTTCGACACGAAGAAGTCAGGATCAGCAGCGTTGAGATCAAGCTTCACCATTCCGATTCCTTGAGCTCCATCGACCATGCTCAAAACACCAAGCTTCTTGCAAGCCTTCACCATCTCCTCCCAGGGAAACACCACTCCAGGCCTCGAAGAAACAACATCAAAGATGGCAATCCTAGCCCTCTTGCCCTCCTTCTCGATCTCTTTCACTAGGTTCTCAAATCGACGTATGATTTCGTCATCGTCGATGGGATACTCAAGCTTCACTTCCCGATGCTCTACGGTACCGTAGTAATCGACGAGATAGTCTGCTACTTTACCGCATGCTTCGTAGATGGTAGAAAAGCTGATGATGACGTCCTTTCCGTCAGGGTTCCATTTTAGGTTGCGGAAGACAGTGTTTACGCCTGTTGTTGCGTTGGGGACGAATACGACTGTGTCGAGAGGGGCGTTTACGAGTTCAGCAACTGCTGCGCGGCTTTGGTCCAGCAGTTTAGGGTATTCGTAGCGGATGAAAGGATCAGGACGAGCTTCACTGATTGTTGTTAGGTATAATACGTTGTCGTGGATGGAGGTTGACTTACCTGGCATCCTGATACTCGCGGAACTTAGCCTGAACAGCTTTGGGATATGTTCCAAAGGATCCTAGAATGTTAGCACCTTATCTCACCCTTGCCAATGGCAACATACCATGGTTCATATTCCTCCATTCAGGATCAAACATGAAATCTTTCTTCGCCATACTTCCCATGACAGAAGCACTTTTGCCCCGCACAGGAAGGTCGGTTTTACCAATAGAACCCATGATGAAATAGAATAATCAATCAATAACTGATATGATGATCTAAAGTATTCTGCCGCGCCCTCGATGCTCTTATATAGAAAGTAAGGCATGGCTCTGGGGTGACTCAATTGATAAGAAACTCACAGAGTCACAATGAAGTATCAGTCGTATACCCCACACCATCAACGTCAACGACGCCCTTGACTTCCAATTAGTCTTTCAGCTGCAGTACCCCGTACGGACATCTCCAAGCCAAACCCGAATTGCGGGCCGTCGGTATCCGCAATGCGGCGCCATCTGGACAAGAATTGGCTGCCAAGAGTCTTGAAGACAAAACACTTTATGCCAGTTTAGACTAGCAATTAGGCGATATAATTGTTGCGCCTTGAGCACAGTAGGGCGTGCGGTGTGGATGGGCATCCTCCGGCCCCGGGGCAGGTTAAAATTGCAGTGAAGGCTGAGGGGCCTCAAACGGTGCCCTCGAGGGATAAGAGTCACGATGCCACTCCAGTACAACTACAGTTAAGATATCGCGAGCTGAAGCAGGGATGCTTCGTTAAAGAGTCACCCACAAGCCGCCCGATCACGGAGGATTACAAATGCAAAATGTAGCAAAGAGATGCCAACTCTCATTTCAATTGATGCAGTGCTACTTTGTTCCCAAAAGCCGCGCCATTATCCCCAAACGCCCTTCCATGAATGCTCCTAGTAATCTAAAGCTCCGATGTTGTGTGTCATCGCCCAACTGCGATCGCTTGTATGTGAATTGATTGTCATTCGTCATAAACCAAACTCCCATCTATATTCATGGCTCAACTCATTTGTTGTTAGACTCCCGAATCCTTGATGATGACCGTGTTCGCACGCCTCTCTGTTGAGGAAGAACAAAGTCTTTAGCTACCACTTCGGGTATTTGACCGTGTTTCAACATAGCCAGAGCCGCGAGTGTATCGGACTCTGCTTGGCACATGCCGGGCTTCATCATTAAGCTGTAAGAATCCTGATGGCTACAATATAACCCAAGAGACTTCTCTGGTGGATACCCAGTCACGGGCTGTGGGGGACACTCTTCAAGACCCATTGAGGACCTTTGACTGCGTGTGAAAGGTCTCGTGTTATGAGAAATCTGTGCCAGCGGCAGTGAGCTAGGCATGACCATTGGTGAAACTGGCTGCGGCTGCGTGTTCACATAATATGGCTTGGGGTTCTCTAGAGTCTCGAATTTTGGGGTTGGGGTGTGTGGTGGTTCCATCGGCACCAACCGTTTGTGAGGTGGACTGTTGTGAGGGGACGGTGCTTGCGGCTTCAGTGGTGGAAGATGGAGTGAGCTGTCCATTTGTGCAGCTTTATGACCGGACTGGCGTCTACCAGCTGTGGGCAGTTCGACTTCTTCCCCGTCAATCCTCCTGCGCTTTCGAGTTCGGCCCTTAACCGAATCGATGATTGAGCTTTCGGCCATGTATTTTTCAGGCCTTAGGATGTGACTGAATGGTACTTGAGGTTCTTCGACCTTGGAAGGCTGGGGTGTTTCGGCATTGCGAAGTGTCCGGCCGTGATTGGGATTTAGTGTGGAGGGAGGTTTCTTGGATCGTTCCAAAGCACCCGGTGCAGACTTGCGAGACCGTCTGGTTCTCCTTTGGATTGCGATGGTTTTGTTCGTGAGTGGCTCTGGGGGTTCAGCCAGAGGTAGAGGAACCTCGGTTGGTGCTGCAACAATGGGTGTTGCAATAACGGGTGCTGCAATCTCGGGCAGTGCCACTATCTCTCTAGGCTCAAGAGGATCGAATCCGGCTATCCTGCGAAGGTCCTTCATTATCTTGGGTACCCAGTAAGCGCCTGCAACCTTTGTATCACGAAGAGCAACGGGGTAGGCGGCGACTGGCCGTTTCGCATCCGTCTTTTCGCTCTCCTCACCAGCGCCACTCGACTCCCGCTTCTTTTTGAGCTTGGGAAGTTCAGGTGTTTGCCATAATTTGGGGATCTTTTCTTGCAAGTCAGAAACCCAGGCATCACAATCCCACTGGACCCAGTAGTCGATAACGTCCCCCCATGAGCTCTCTGGGGGTTTAGTATAGTTGACAAAGACAACCTTTCCACCCTTGGCGTGGACTGCCTTCGCAAATTCTCTGACCATCACCTTCAGGCCATGAACTCGTAAGCTGGTGCCGAGAATTAGAAGGAGATCTGGGCATAGAGCCAAATCATGAGTAACAATTGGGCTAATGAGGTGCGCATTGGGATGCTCTTCACCATAGAGCACAATATCTGGCCTCAATTTGCCGACACCCAGAGCTCGTTTTCCGCGCTCTTCGCGAGCGACAGTAGCGCCTACGCAGTGAGGACATTCGGGCTGTTGGCCCGACATGGTCTCCAGCTGACGTCCGTCATCGTCCCAAGAACAAACGCGACCACAGAGGAAACATCGGAGGAGCTCCAACGAACCGTGAAGGAAGACACACTCAACGCCAGACTTGGGTAGGTCCCGGCGAAGGTTCTGTACTGCAGTCATAGCATCTTCTGATGCGCCTTGATCAGATTCAGCTTGAGAAGCTGGCAGCAAGTCCCCTCGCGGCTGACTTGATTGTGATTGTTGGCTAGCCTCATTGTCCGATGATTGCTGTGATTTGTCCGAGTTTGCTTCGGTCATGGCGTTAACCTCATCAACCATTCTGTTGAGTTGATTAAGATTGGCAGTTGACTTTCGAGAGAAGCGGCCACGGCTACCAGGTCCATCGTCGAGACGGGTTGAAAGCCCAACCTTCTCCTCAATCTGATCAATATTTTGCGTGTAGCAACGAACAAGCTTCCCGCGGTCCCTCAAATGGCTAATAAACTTGTGAGAACTTGTGGGCTCCACGTTTCTAACCTTTTGGCGCAGAGTCGTTGCAAACGTATAAAACACAGACGTTCTCAACGGATCCGACCATATTGATGCGTCAAACATGTCCTTCCCCTTCATGTTGGGTAGTGTATTCTTGCCTGCGCCAAGATTTGTTTGTGATAAACTGGGGTTTGAAGGCGGGGTGTCGTCAACCTCGGATGGTGACGTGCTGCTGCGACTACTTGGGCCATCGTCTGTCGTCGCGTGGGATGAGAATGGCTCGAATAGAACGGGAGGTGGTGAAGATAGTGGCGAAGAACTAGGTGGGATTCCAGAGTCGTTCAACTGATTCCGTCGCGTTCTTCGGAAAGCAGCGGGCGGTGTGAGGCGAAAGTCTTCAGGCGGAGGTGAAGAGAGCGGGGAAGTTGGAATAGCGATAGTTGAGCGTGTCGTCCTGGGATTTAACAGCGGTGCTTGTGAATCGTCTAGTAACGTTTCGTCTTCTGTATCACCCTCGACCTGAATCGTGTCTGCGACTTTCTCCTCTTCTACCGGCTCAGGGTCTTCCAACTGAACTTCTATTTCTTCCTCCATTTCGCCCGACTCCTCTTCAGGTTCAGGTAGCTCATCGCGTACTACTTTTCTTCTCTTGGGCGCCGGGCGAGCTTCCGAGTCAGATGTTTTGTCATCGGTGGTTCCTTCAAGCAGACGCGCCTGCTGTGTTGCCGCGTCGAATTGTGCACTGATTAACGAGTAAAGACCGTTCTCGGAACGAAAATCCTAGAACGATTAGCTACCCAACCGACGATTGCGTATACCAAAAGCATCTCCATAACGCAGGCTGGAGTGCCCATCGAGAAAGCTCACAGGAATGCCCGAATTCGTGCTGATACCAGCACCAGTCACAACGATAACCTTGCGCGCCTTGAGTAGTCCATTGGCGATTTCCCTTAACTCGTCCTGGGACTCGGGAGAAACGTGTGTGGTCGGCATTGTTGAGGAGGAAAGGGTGTCGGCCGCGTCGCGGTATCGTAGCGGGCGGGTGTAAGCCGCGATCGCGTGGAGCCGACTGCGATATTGACGAGCTTACAATACTGATAATTGAATATGGCCTGTTGTCATTGTAGTACGGATATGTGTCGTCGATGAAGCGTAGGGAGCACTGAAGGCGAGGTCGTTCGTGGTGTGAGGTTCAAGTTTCTTAACTTAGTAAGGTTGTGGCGGGCGAGAGGTGACTTAGATTTGGAGTTAAGATTCGAGACTGGGGTCGCGAAGCGGGAGGGCACCAAGCTGCCGAGAAAGTGATTCAAGCGACGGCCAATAGAAATAGTGATTGAATAGATAGCAGGGCAACGTCTCGAAAGGTCAGAGAGTCATCTAGAATGATTGATTGATGTTGATTCAATATCCCTTTGTAGAGAAGAATTGAGTGGTCCCAAAACAAACCCATGCATGAACGCGCTCCAAGTCTGGACCTCTAAAGTGCAAGTGCCCGCTCCTGTAATGTCGGACGCGCTTTTCAGAGGCTGGGTAAGGATTCTACAGCGGGCAGGCACCTATCGATATGGAAGGGGCCCGGGCGGGACCAAAGCGCCTTGCGAAGAACCACTGGCAGTTACCCAGTAAGGTAGGTAGGGACGGGAGCTGTAGGGACAAACCGCTAAATTACCCGCTGGCTGTCAACTCCCCACTCAGTTAAGGTGACTTTAAACATCACCTTACATCGTCCCACCCTCAGATGTCCAAGCTGAGCCATCGCAACACGTGAGTGTTTACTCGTATTATAGTATTAACAGCTTTAAGATAGTATACATTTTAGAATGATAGACGAACAACTAATCTAAATTAAACAGCAACCAGCACATCAAAGAGCTTCTGGAAGTCAGCTGGAACTCCCAGACCGGTAATCGCATCCCAACCCTTTGCTGCTGGCCAGCCTGCAGGGCTATGGCCCTTTTCGAAATCGCATGCTCTGCTCTCTCCTACAGAAACGTCTGAGAGCACTGCCTGAACCTCATCAGAGTACAGGACCTCGTTGATCCAGCCCAACACATCCTTGCCCTTACGCACGCGCGCATCGTTGATGAGCGCAATCATGGCTGCGACCACGGGTGTACTGGCACTAGTACCTCGGAGAGCGACTTGCTGGCCCTTAAGACGGGTAACGAAGCTAGTCGCGGTGATAGAGATGTCAGGAACTCCTCGGTTGCTGGCGTTGAAGTGGCCCTCGAGGTGACCGTCGAGCGTCTTAATATAGTTCTCAACGGAAGCATCCTGCCACTTCTCACGAGGGAAATACTGAGAGAAACCACCTCCACTGAACTCTGCACCTTCAAAGGGCTCAACACCAGCTGCAATACCACCGATGCTAGTGACCCAAGGGCAAGTTGCAGGGAAAACAGCCATGGTGACATCCTTGTTGGTACCATCGTTGGTGCGGCAAGTTGAATTAGAACTTCCCTTTGCACCTCCATCGCCGGAAGCGGCCAGGACGGTTGTACCACGGGCTGTCAGAAGACCAAACAATGAGCAAACACGCTCAGCGTACTTGCGGGGGACTGAAACCTCGTTATCACCATAAGAGACGGAGAGCACGTGAGGGACCTCGTCATCAGAAAGGTCAAGGAGGTAGTCGAGGAACTCCAGGTAAGGCTCGTTATCGTTGTACTCCTCAGGAACTTGCTCGCCGTCATCGCCCAATTGAGGGCCACGACCGTCGGCGAGATAGTAAGTGATGTTGGTAGGATAACCAAGTGCCATGGCGTACTGGACATCCAAGGCCGCCTCATTACCCGAGTCAAAGAGATCCTGCGAGTTCTTGGCACCATTGATCAACTGGGTTGAGAAGTTGTAACGGGCTTCATAGAGAGGCTTTGCATAGATTCTCAAGAAATCCTCGGCGTCTGCGTAGTTGGCGTACTCTTCAAGGAAACCGGCAATACCGAAGCGGATTGGCGAGGTACCGTTGTAGGCAGGATAGCTGATATTGAACTGCTCTCGAAGGCAGTCGGGTTTGACAGCTCTGGTGCAAGGAATGCTGGCGCGCTTGTCCAGCTGCAAGCTTTTGAGCATATCGGGAGTGAAATCCGGGTCGGGAGTGGTAAGTTCCCTCGTAGGTCGCATGAAGTTGGCGATGGGATGGATGAAGTGGACGGAATCGGCCAAAGACTCAGGTACCGAGTAGTCTCTTGTTCGAAGAACGGGCTCTTGATCTCCGAACTGGTAGAAGCCAATCTTGGCGTCAAGGAGATCTTGAGCCTCTTCCACGGTAGTCTTGACATGAATCCAATCCTTGTCAGACGTAGCCTTCGCCGCTACACCTTTGCTCTTCAACCATGACAACACTTGGTCGACGTCCTTGTCGTCTGGGTTTCGGAGAGCGAGTGCTTCCTTCTGGCTGAGGTGTCGCTGGATGTATTTTCCACAGGTAGCGTCGCGCTTTCGCAGTCCGGTCTCGAGGTTCTTGATATCGGGCTGCCGCATAGCAATAGAGAGTCGCAGGACATGACTAGGATCAACAGCCTGGTCGATCTTTTCCCAGCCATTCGGGAGGACGGGGGTCTCTTCGACCTTGATGTTCTTGGCGGTACCAAGACCAGCCAAAGCCAGGGTGGTGAGGAAAATGGTGGATATCATGATTGCTGCTATTCAGAGACCAGTGTGCAACAAGAAGATGAAATGAATTAAAGGGAGGGAATCTTGAGCGAATGCAGAGGACCTCTCAGAGGTTAAATGAATGTAAAAACGGAAAGTGCCGATTGTCAAGTTTCAACCGATGGTTCCTTCCTTCACGAATAGTAACACCCGATCGCTTGACAGAACCGACGTGACCAGTCCATCAAAAGCGCGGCGATGATGTTTATAATGTACCGACTGTCCTACGGTTGACTCCACAACCCAAAGGGGGATCATCTCTATTATGCCGTCATATTAACGGGGTCCAATGGCTAAAAATGGCGGATCTGAAACCTCATTCAATCTCGCACGATAAAGCGGGTTTAAAGGGAGCATTTTTTTCTCGTGTTGATGGTTGCGCATCGCAATTAGACCGGCGGAAGCGGCAGAAAAAAGTGGTCACCTGTTGTAAGCGAGCAGAACAGAGTTTGATATGAGTCGCGTAAGGTAAATAGCTGCCAGCTACTGATTCCAGATGAGGCCTTTTGCAAAGAAGGTTTGTTGAGTTTTTGATAGTGTCTGCTTGTTTTGTATAAATGATGCCATTTGTTAGTCGATATGGAGTCTTGAAAACGGACGGATGTCAATGCTTAACGCCATCCGGCGCCGGCTCCACCCGTGAAAGCCTCACTTCGAGAAACAAAGGAGCACGTGAGTCTCCACGTGATGATCTTTGCCGACTCCCCGGCTGCAAGTGTAACCTGAGGTTTCAACGGCAAGAGATGGACCGATCAACTCCCCGTAGTACAGCATCACACCTCTCAATGTTCTGATTTTATTCTCCACTCGGAGACTTGTCTAGCATTACATTGCATTACCATTACAAGATGACAACGGCGACACAATCCATGTCGTACTTGATATCGGGCTTAATGGTTTCACAAACGCCGAACACTGAAAATCCCACTCTGATCTTTGCCGAGCTTGAATAGAGACAAGCTACTTCAGTCATCCGCTTGGATCTCAGTGCAGTACATGCATTGAACTTGACGAGCTAGACGAGGCGAATTGTTTCCTCCTTCCTAGCCAAGACTCAAGAGTCAAGACGCACAAGAACCTCCGCTTATTTGCCGCTAGCACTCAAGTGAGAGCTCTCTGATTTGTTCTCTTACAAGTTCAAGACTTTGACTGTTCATTCAGACCCGTTTGTGCGCAGTAAAAACTCCACTACGTTGCATGACTGGATATCCACAGCCGATGGTCCGAAGGGACCAGGACTCATGACGACGACCCGAAAGAACGCTACTGCATTGGAACAATAAGAAATCTTGAAATTTTACTAACAAGTCCCATGGGGTTCGCAATTGGTCAAAAGAATCTGCCATACCCATACCGCAATTTATGTGCATTTTGCCTGGCATTCTTATTCGATCTCACATGCGGTCTACACTTTGGACTCACCAATCAAGGTATCACTCGGTTCAATAGACTTGTTCCCCGGAGTTATTCACGGACTGAGACTTGTTCTTTCAGCCCATCATACGGCCTGTGGATGTGATACTAGGATTCGCACCTCCGCTATTGACCCAGAGAAACGTGGGTGCAGTTACTGTCCAGCGGGGGTTTGACTTGGTTAACTCGCCTCGAGAATAAATATTCAATCCCTTTAAAACTTGGATCTAGTCGATTCAGTTTTTCTTTCTTCTTTCCCTCTATCGTCTGTGCCTCTTGTGTGTTTTTGTCTAGTTGTCTTCATAATTCACTTGAAACTTTGATCTTTACAAGCAATACGTAACCAATATGACAGGCTCCGAACATCTCAATGTCTTCAAGGGTCCTGAATCCGTTCGCAACTATTTCGACCCTGAGCAATCACCTCCTTTGCCTCTAGTTGAGATTCCCGATTGTCTCAACCCTTACCGTCAGGATGGCGTTCGCATCTACGCCAAGATGATGACCATGCACCCTGCCACCAATGTCAAGGTGATGCCCGGTTAGTCTGCAAAACTACAACAACCACTGGGCATGCAGCTAATCATCGTGCAGCTATGAACTTGTTGGAGAACGGTGTTGAGCCTGGCAAGACAAAGACCATCGTCGAGAGCAGTTCCGGTTCAACTGTCATTTCCATGGCCATGGTTGCCCGTGCTTTTCACGGTATTAACGATGTTCACGCCTATCTCAGCAACAAGACAAGTGAGACCAAGCTGCGCATGATGCAGTTCTTTGGCCTCAATGTGTAAGTCACACTTACCCTCTTACAAGGGAATGCTTGCTAACTGCTGTGAAGTACCCTTTTTGGTGGCCCTGCTCAACCTACGCCGGTTGATGAGCGAGGTGGTATCAGAGCCGCAGCCCGAAAAGATGCCCAGTCTGAATCTGTGTGCAGTCCTAACCAGTACATCAATGACGATGTAAGTCTCCCATTATGCAAACCCCCACACTCATTTACTAACGAACCGCAGAACTGGAAGTCACATGTGCGATGGACTGGTCCTCAAATCCACCGCCAACTCCCAGAGATCAATGTGATTGTAGCCTCCATGGGAACTTCTGGTAAGATATGCTCATCAATTACAAGTATTATGCGCACTAACTCAATTCAGGCACCATGACTGGTCTCGGTACCTACTTCAAGGAGGCCAAGCCTGATGTGTACAGAATTGCGTATGTTCTATTGACATCCTCAACACCCTCGAGTAATTCCTAACCTTGATAGTGTATGTACCAACGCAGGAGAGCGTGTCCCTGGACCTCGCGAGTACTCCTTGATGAGCGAGGTGGGGTTCCCATACCTAGCCTCTCACGATGCCCTCGAGGAAGTCGGCGCACCAGACTCATACTCCCTCTCATTGGACCTTACTCGCCAGGGTATCGTCTGCGGTCCTTCCTCGGGTTTCACTCTGAAGGGTCTGTTCCAGCGCCTTGAGAAGCTGAAGCAAGAGGGAAAGCTATCGGAGCTTGCTGGATCTGATGGCGAGATCCACTGTGTGTTCATGTGCTGCGATCTCCCCTTCCAGTACTTGAACGAGTACTTCTCTAACCTAGGTCCTGAGAAGTTTAGCCCTCTTCGTAATGAGGTATGTAAAATTCAGAACCTGGTAATGGGACAATACTAACATAACCCAGCGCTTGAGGAACGTCGATCTCTACCGTTATGATGACGCCTGGGAGCTCAACTCTCTGACTGCCCTATCAAACTACTTCACCATTCACCCCCTAGGAACACATGACACCGTCCTCTCCCTCGCAGACCAAATCGACAAGGCCCTCACTCCCTCTATCAACACCCAAATCCTGGACTTCCGCCGCTCATCAGACTACGACGCTTTCCACCTCCCCAACTCTGTCAACATTCCCCTCGAGGCTCTTCGCAACGGACCCGACAGTGGCAGCCCCTTCTCCAACCCCGCCGACGAGTGCGCCATGCTCGAGGAAGTCTGGCTTGAGCTGGAGAGCCTCTTCAGCGTCAAGGACAAGAGCGGTAACCGAAATGCTAGCGCTGAAGCGCTCATGTCTATGCTCCGTGGCAAGAAGGTCTTGACTCTATGCTACGACGGTGATAGCTCTCGTGTTGCCAACAGTGTCCTTCGTGCCAAGGGCGTTGAGGCAGAGTGTGTTCGTGGAGGTTACGGTGCATTGGCTAAGTTGCAGATGCCTTGCAACAACACCTGCGAGGTTGTCTCTATCCCCGTTCCTGTGGAAGTCTAAACACAAAAGCTGTTCTTGATGGCTTTAAGCTACAAGTTTGTGCACTTTCATTGGTAGCCATAAGCTACAATACTGTCCTTTTCGCATTGAAACCGGCCGGAAGTGCAGTGGGCATCCGGGGTCGGTCGATATTTTACACATTCGGAGTTTTCTTTTTTCTATTGATACGACTTATGACTTGAACACGAAGAGATTGGCTTCAACAAAAACGTATGGGGAGGGAAGGCCTAAGCCGGAAGTGCAGTTGGTTTCTGGGTTTGAGGCAAGGGTGATAAAATTTGGTACAGAATATACGAGTTTCCAAACTAAATGTCCTTCATCGCAAAGTTATGAACCTTGAGGAGTGAAACTTAGGTGTACAATCTCAATTCAGCGGATGCAACACGTACCATCTGTTCCTGGTTCCGGGATTCTGGAATTTCTTCAGAAGCAAACAAGACAATAGAAGCATTCCACGGTAGCCCTCCGGCTCATTCCTCTGGTATCAGTTCCCATTGGAAGACGGGTATTTAAACTTCTATGGACGTGGCTCTAGTCTGGATGCTGCCAACTAACACGGCAATTCGGGAATTCGGGAATAGCATGCTGAGATAGGAATGTGAATGTCAAACTTCTTTTGTGCCGAGACCCTGAAACCCTTCATCCCCTGTTGATCACCGATCGACGACGTTTCTAGTCTCAAGTTGCAGTATCACGACATGTTACAGAATATGCGATCCGGTATATCCATCCACCTCGGGCCCGTTGATCTTCTTCAGTAAAAATGACGAAAGAGGCATCGAAGCTGAAGAGAATCCTATCGAACCTCGGTGCCGCTCTTGTCACAAACCCACCTACAAAATCCAGACCGGGCGATGGTAAAAGGTTATTGACACAAGGAATGCGGAGCGGTTAGACTAGTACGCCCTAGATTCCCATACCACGGACAGTTACCAAGTCCACGGTACAGTAGAAGATCAGTTGAGGCTCATGTGACAACTCTTGACGCCGCATGTTGAGCTTATGGAGAAATCAAGGCTGTGATTGAGCGAGACGCCTTGCGTAACAAGATGGGAGAAGTAGTGGATGGTAAGTTGTTCGGTACCGAGAGGAAGAAGCTTAGTATCATGGTTGGTTGGCAGGTTGGTAGACAGATGTTTGGGTTGAAAGAGAGAATAGCGCTTCTGCAGGAACAAAACTTAACGGTCGGTTGACCTGCATAAGAATTCCGAGTCGGTAGACTAACTACCTACTAATTGCTGTACCTGCAAGGAACGTTGAAGAATGTCTCGGGAAGAATCCTTGGCGCTTCGAGAAGAAGTTTGACAGGTCTCTCTCGCATGTCTTGAACTTATTTAGCAGCCTACTTGATTGCATCTCGATCAACAGGTAAATCTTAATGATAATTCTAGTCTTGAGAATATACATTTTGTCCAGTTGTGTTTGATTGTTGGCCTCGGAAAGTGTCCATCCGTATCCGCATTCGACAAAGCTGGTCCCAAGGGCGTTTAAGTTTCTCCCATCCATATCCATAGCGCTGGTACCAACCACTACCCTATGCTCTGCCCAGCATCACCCTTCTAATCATACGTTTTGACAAGACCAGACTACGCTAGAACACGCATAAATCCCCTCGGACGTCAGACCAATCTATTCACACACGTGTTCAGGAAGGTTGTAAACTCGAGACGAGATGAAAAAGCCAAAAATAGGACAAAAAATACTCTGTTGTAAGACATAGATCAGCGTCTCGTCCAGTCAGGGGTCTACGTCCAAGCGGCAAAAACGAACCAACAAGGCGTGACTATAAGTCGATACCCGAAACAAAGTGGCATTCACTTTGTACATTGAATCATGCCAATTCGTTGTCATTAACGAGAGGCGCACGTCTACACACCACTATAAAATCCAATGTTTCATTTTCTAGACGGGCGCTGTAGCAAACAATTCATCCAGTGGCGTTCTTCGGTCGGGGCCGTATCACACATCCAAGTTCCAACAGGCGTCTAATCACTTAGTCCAAAAGCTTACGTCCATTGACCCAACTATTGAAAAGTAACGTTAGTCTACCCCATACTTGAGACTCTTGTGGATATATATATAAACCTGTGAAGCTTAACCCCCCCGTCCGGAGTTGCCTTCGAAGTGAAGCGAAACGCCGTCTCACTTTGATACATTCATTCCACTTTTAAGCATTCATTTATTACTTCTGTCTGTCTTTTCCAACTCAAGCCTTCAGACATTCTCTCTTCCCTCTTTTGAAACATCTTCGGCTTGCAAACATGAAGTCTCTTCGAACTCATCGCTCCAAATCCCTCCCAAGCAACAACTCATCCAAAAAGTCTCTCTTTTCCAAAATCTCCCGTCGTCTATCTCTCAGTTCTCGTAAACGCTCCGACTCCGTTCGTCTATACGACGAGAGCGACAATGAAAGCACAATCCAAGTGATTCCTCAAGAGGTAAGCCCCCAGATGCCCTCTTCAAACTCCTGACTTACAAGAGATAGTTTCAACAGCCGCCCACACAATCTCGCTTTGCTCGACGAGCTTCCCGATTCTGGTCTGTTTCCTCAGCAAACCAATTCGACGACGAGTACTCTATGCCTCAATCGCCGACGTACCCTTCACATGGAGGCGCTTACGTACCACGCCATGCAGCAAGCGACTTTTCAAAGACTGCTACCAACCGTCTGACCATAATGGTCGAGGCCGATGAGACGACGCTTTGTTCATACAACTGCCGCGCCGACAGGATGGGCAGAAACCACAGTATTACGGACAGCGAGCCCGACGTTGATCATCGCGAGCGAGCGCTTCGAGCGTTGACTGCAACACGCAGTAGCACCCTCTCAAGTCAAGCAAGCAGCGACGACTACACTCTCTTCCTGGCCGACGCCGCAACAAGTACAGATGCTCGACGCAGAAGATCAGCAGCAGCTTGGGCTGAGCTCGAGCACAGAGCATCAATGATGAACATGAACCACAGAACCAGTGGCACTGATCATCTTATCCCTCGACAGAACCGCGCGCAGAGCGCTTATCTGGGTGTTCCTAACAGCCCATATGAATCGCCAAGACCTGTGAGCTCCAGACCTGGAAGCTCAGTGGCTATGAGCATCCATGAGTATGTTAGGCCCGCGCAGGTTGGCAGGGCTTGGTAGCCAATAGCTGCCGTGTAAAAATAGCGAGTTTCAGATGTGATATGATTGGGATTTCCGAATAGGCGTTCAGGGCAGGCGTTTATACAATATCAGAGTGTAAATACAACTCTCAAGTCAAGAGTATGAGGCCTGGACTGCTTCAAATCACAACAAGCGTAGTTGCGCATAACAAATAAACCACTGTTTTGTTGACCTGTCTGCATTTCCAACCCTGATATCAACGTGACCAGTATTTCCAGGCGCTACCAGGCCCCCGACCTTGATGGAATATACAGTAGATCAGACAATATCGTTGAATGCACTAATGGAATGGTGGTATTGACAAACAGCCACAGTCGTATATATAAACTGAAGCAATAGCCCAAACGCCAATTTTCTCCACGCGACCGATCATATCGCGGAACACATGGCTCGTCTCGTATCTTCATGCAAGAGAAACCGCCTTTCCGTTACGCTCAAATCAGAAACCCCTGCCCGATGCACCGTAGTAAAACAATTCTGTCCGCAGACTGATATAAACCAACGAGATATCCAAAGCATACCATGCTTAATCAACCGACGCCAAATCACTGGCTGTTCTTGCATCATCTCTCCTGGCAAAAACGATTTGCAAACAAGACTCCAACAACGCTGTTGAGAAAGATCATTGTACTGCAGATGCATCGTCTGCAGGCTTTTATAGCTGCCCGGATGACCCAAAATAACCAATGTTCATTACCAATGTAAACAGAACACAAACGCCACTTTATGACTGCATGACTCCGGCGACTGGCCTTCTTGCCGGTATTAGAATCTCCTCGTCGTCCGAGCTATCGCCTGTCTCTGCGCTGGCCTGGTCAAGCATCCTCTCGATGTCTTCATCGCGTAATGTTTTTCTTGTCTTTCCATTCCCTATGCCAATACCACTGGGTAGTGAAAGTGTCCCTCGTAGTTGACTTCGACCACCAATCGTACGTCTTCTGGGCATGGCTCTATGTTGGCCACCATATTGTTGCTGCGGTGAATCTAGATCCATTGGTGAACCAGGAGGCGGACCCATGGATGCGTTTTCGTAAGGAGATCTTCGAACTTGCTGTGTCTGGCGCTGTGAGGGTAGTGGCTTTCTAGGTCCCGAAGGCAATGCGTGACGCGGAGCTTGGGGTCTGCCCATGACATTAGGTGCTGATGAGCTTGGGGGAGAGAATGCATGTTTCAAGTTGGCCGAGTTTCCCGGACTACTCATAAAGAGCAAGGTCTCAATAGCATCTTGTTCCCTCACATTTTGATGTGGTGACATGAGAACTGGGTCGCCCGAGATACGAGACCTGGCCCCATGATGCAAGGCAGACGGTTGGCCAGGTGTATGAGGTGAGGCGGAATGTGAGTGTGATAGCATACCCGGCGTTCGATGGGGATGAGAATTACGACGCGGGTTCACGTTTGGTGCAGGTAACGCAGAAGGTCGAATAGGTGCTGGCGGTGCGAGAGAAGGCTTGGACCAGATCGTTTCCGGTGGTGTGTGTGACTTCCGTCGTTCAGTAGCAGAAGCTTGTGGTAATGGAGCTGAGGACGAGGGTGGCTTGCTCATGGCCATTCGAGGGCTTGCGGATGAGCCTTGTCGGCGATGTACAGTGGATGTACTTGAAACGGGAGAAGCAGCTTGCGATGCCATGTTTTCAACTTCTTCGAGCGAATTTGACTGCCAGCCGTTGTTGACTTTGACCATGGCATACGAGAGACGCGTTCGTAATTCGTTGGACAACTAAAGCGGGCGTGTTAGTCGTCATCCCACGCAGACCAGATAGCAACTAGAGCAAAGACGCGGTCTTCTACCGTCGCGGTTGACATACCTCTCCAATATGACCACCCGCTGATGTTCTGCTCACAGCACTCGGTGTTCTTGAATGGCCTTTAACGGGACTTTGGCTTTCTGTACGGCTTTTAACCACACCGTCGGCCATTCGTTTCCGTGTGTTCGAGTAAATCCTGTCCTGTGCAGCAGCAATCTCGGAGAGCTGTAATAGTTGGCTATCCTGGCTAGACGGTCCAGGTGCACAGTTACTGGCGTCGCTCGCTGGCGGCGTGAATGTGGGATCTGTTGTAACGGTCATGGTGGTGTCTTGCGACCCGGTATTCGAACGAGGATGGCTCTGTGTAGAACCATCGTCGCGGTCGGTAGAAGGTTTGCGCTGCATTTTGGCGATAGCAGCGACAACAACTGCATGTGCTGTTGTAGTTCTGGTCGTTGAATCAACAGCAGCACCGTCGTCGGGCGCAGCAGTTATCGACGCAATCGGGTGGGAGGCTCGCGAGAGCGCGTCGGCCGGGATTGGCAGTGGTACCGCGGTATCCCCACCTTGTCGCGCTCCCGTTGCTATCGCTGTACCAGCAGTAGCGTCGACTGTCTTGAACGGCGGAGGAGGCGCGATACGGTTGTTGTTCAGCGCAATCTCATGTAGAGGCTGGTTTGGACTCATGACGGATCGTATTGAAGCCTCCAGAGAGGAGTTGTGAGAGTTGTTAGGGTGAAGTTCCAGGACCACAATTGGAGGGATTCCAGAACGTATAAGCCTCCGCTGTACAGGTGAACCCTCACTTTAACTTAGGCGCTGTAGACCGACAACTGTCCGGGAGTGGAGGTACACGTTAGAGGCCCCAGAACGAAGGGTCTAGGGTCTAGACGAAACAGCGCGGTGGGAAATCCGGGCTATCTCAAGGGAGCTAGAGAAAGAACAGAGACAAGGGAAATAATTGGATTTGACCAGGGCGCGAGGGCGATGATATTTATTGATTGTTTTCTGTTTATTTGTGGTTGTTGGCCATTATGAATTCAAGATGAGATGGGTGATCCACGTCGAATATATTTAATTTTAAACACGGAGCCACAAGAGACCCAAACGGCAGGTAAGGTTAAAGTCGTTCCTGTTTTGAACAGAATTTGAGGCTGCAATGGATCGGGTTTGTGGGAAAGAAGATACAGATTCAACGCGATCTGATACGCGACGTTTACGACTTGACTCGGTCAGTGCAAAATACCTTAAAGTGTGCGCCTGCATGGAAACGTTCTGTGCTCACAAGGTTGACCGAGCCGAAATCTGCTAAAGATACACTAAAGTTTTAGTGGCTGCAGGGTGGTTCCGGGGTCTCTTCCAGGGCGTTCGTCCGCTGGAGGTTTAATTGATGTGCTGAACCGTGGACAGACTCTCCTGGTGAACCGTCAACGGGGATACAAGTCATTCGTGTCGCATGAACGTTACCTTGAGGCGAATTTGAGCTTATGAATAGGACACCTCTTTGGTGAGGTGCAGATACACCCCGGTCATGATCTGAGGTGTCAGTAAAACACTCATTCTCGGTCATGCAGCTCGAAAATATTAAAAGCCGCGTGGCGCTGCAAGGTTTTGTGAGGGCTCGACTTACGAGCTTGCGCAAAACACATAGGCATCAGTACAAGATGGTTCAAGTATCTAGATGCCTAGAATCACGCATCAAAAGGTCGCAGACTTGCAGCGAATTCGTTATCATAAATCAACCCTCAATGAATGAGTGCAACGGGAATGACCTCACCCCTGTAATCCCAAATTGCTTTTCCCCCTCCTTCCGTGGATCGTGGGTGACAACCAGACCCATGACACGCTTGGGCCAGAAAAAGTCAGTAAAGCGTTGATGACGCGAGATCACGTGCGGCACAAGCCGCAGCTATCGATTGTAAACAATTGGAGATTGATAAGACAAGGATGTAGGGATTCCTGATAAATGATAAATTCATAGATACTAGTCTTTGTGGTTATTGCAGTGAATCAAAATCTTAGATCATTCTGAATCTTTTTGGCCGGTTTTCTATTAATGATGCTCATAATACATGGTCTATATCGCTTCAAGAAGTCGTCTATCTTATCATGATCTCAACACCATAGTTACGCTGCGAAGCTAGCTTGCTATAGAACAACTCATCCACATGCTGGCTCATCATTTCCAGCATGTCCATAGACACCGCCATCCAAGATGACTCCCTCGTTGTTATCAAGATCATGCTGAACGCGCTGCCATCCCTTCTTTTTTCGTGCCTCCCGTCCCTCTACCTCAGCACCCTTGCCCTTGGCATCAAAGACAGGCTTAATTAATGATCCAAGCAGAGGATTGCCACTGAAAGCGCCTCCATTTCCTTCACTACCCTTATTCGTAGATGAGTCCTCAAAGCCACCGTTGTTGGCCTCATCAACGATCTCATCTTCGGACTCGGGTGTAACGGGACGTTCGACAGCCGCCATCTTGCGGACGACCTTGCCTCCCACTACATCAATGCTAACAACTTGCTTACGCTTCTCGTAGTCTGGTCGTGCGTTCCATTCCATCTCTCGCAGGACCTTTTGTTGTCTCTTCAATTCGCGTGCTCGCTCTTCAGGAGTCGCCCACATGCTGCCCGTTCCTGTAAGTGCTCCGCCCACGTCGAAGTCAGCCGCCTCATCGCGGACGGTAGTTCGCTTTGCGTTCTGGGCTTGGAAGTTGAGAAGCTTGTCACGATGAGCACGAGCCTTGGCTTCGGCTTCGCTAAGTGAAGGGCCGTCGTTACCGCGGGGTTGAGTAAACGGTGCCGGTGTCTTGGCTACGTCAGCGCGACGATTGGCATCGCGGTTAGCGGCCTGTCGTTCACGCCCTCGCTCATCCTTAAGCTCTCGTATCATCATTTGAACATCATCCGGTGTTAGGAGAGGACTGCCGCAGAAAGTACAAGGTCCCAACCCCTCTTTCATGCATATCACCTTGCCACAAGAGAGACAGTTTGGTGCTGCGCCTTGCAGAGGATGTCTCGTAGCAACACAATTACACTTTCTAGACTTGGAGTTTTCCAGTGTGGGGTTTGTGGAGATCTCAAGCGCACGGATAGCAGCATCAAGATCAGATATGGCAGTTGAGGCGCCAGCCATGGGCATGCCTCCAGCTATTGAAATCTTGGTAGTGGTTGCAGCTGGCTTTGGTGTGGAACTGCGCGAAGCGGGAGTCGACTTGGATTTTGACTTGGGTGGTCCCTCACCAAGCATGTAACCGGCTGAAGCATGTTGTTTAGGAGGAGGCTTCGCGACAGGCTTAGGATCGGGTTTCGGAGTCGATGATCTCGAAGCATGGTTACTGCTAGGAGCGCTCGACCGCTGAGGAATGTAATCAAGACTCAAATCCTTCTTGCTGTACGTCGTACCAGCAGGCGCAGCATATTCGCTAACTTGTCTAGCCTGTGGTGTGTGTATGTTTGCCTTCTTCTTTTTCGGTTGGCGTTTCGCCTTGGGTACGGCCTCGATATTCTGCGACTCGGGTTCTGGCGGTGCAGCAGCATTGGAGTACGAGGAGCTACCGGGCGCCGATGTTTGTCTCCGGGAGTTGAACGACGATATAAACTCGATCGCTTGAGGAGAGTCTCCTAGTAGATTTCCAAAGTGATCCGCCGCTTCGGCTGTGGAGAGAGTAGAGGCGTAATCGAGGACCTGCTTGAGCTCCTCATCAGGAAGCGGTAACAGCTGCGAGAGCTGCGCGATGGACATGATGGGCGTTTTTCGCTGCAAATAAGATTTTTTTTCCTGGTGTCCTGATAGATCCTGGGCCGTGAATATTTCTTCTTGGGGGTTTTAAGGTCGAAAAAGTCGAGATCGGATTGTTGACGTCGTTGAAAGAGACAGCTTGGAGCTTCCCCCACCAAGCCGCCTTAGCCCCTCCAAAATCTACATTCTATGCTGACTCACTCGCCGACCTTGACCTGTTCAGGCTGCACCCCGTGTTTGATCAGCCATGAGCGATGAGTTATAACAGTTTTAAAACGAAACTTGGTTCCAAGTTATCGGTGATAGACTACCTACCTAGGTACTAGAAAGTGATCAGTGGCAGTGAGGGATGTGCCATGAAGGGTCCACTGTGTGGCTGAAGCATGAAGGACCCTGTGTATGATCTGTCCCGTCTGCAAAGAGAATCAATAGGTGTGGTGCTCGGGTTATCTTTCCGTTCTCCGTACACGTGCTTCCAGCATGGGAACTTCAATTCTTCCCGAGGTATCCCGTACTTATGATGTGCAAATATTCACAGATTTCTTTGCGATGTTTGGATACAAGGTGGAACTACCGGATGAATGGATAAGTCAACAGCTTTGAAGCGAGCCAACCACGAACAGCGACAGCTCTGGGGACTTGACGATGATACGGACATCTCCCATTCTCCACAAGATCGAGAGATAAGATGAAGGGAAATCCACTAGAATAGCCAGTGTGAAATGGTAGACTACGGTTGCAGTAGTGCTTGGCAAAATGTGGTTACTTTGGGGTTGTGCAGGTTGTCATACAACACCTGATCAAACATTTTCGGGATGGAAGCTTAGTAGGTAAGTAGGTTGGATCTTGAAGCTGGTTGTGAGCGGGCAGTATGAACGCAATACTTGTAAAGCACACGGAAGACTATTGTTTCAATTGAGAGTCTTGAACGTCAAGGCACTCAATGTTTCCAATATATCGTAACTACATTCATGTTCATGCCTTACAGTTGCTACCTATTTCATCATCATTGCTTGAACTTAAACCCCCCGTTGCTCCGTGCTTTCAAAATACCGAGTGTCCTCCGTGCTGGCCAGTCAGCTCGATGCGCTAAACCCGATAGAGTCTAACCCGGCGTTGACTTGCCTTGCGTTGGATGGAGCTTCCCCATCCTGTCCTCCTCCTTCCGGTTATTCCTCCCCGTATTTAAAGTGCTCATCGCCAACTTCTTCTTTCTTCCACCCCCATCCCGTCCTTTTTTACCCTTTTCACCAATTGAACACTTTATCAATCGCAAAAATGTTCGCCGCTTCTCGCATTCAGCGCCGTGCTTTCTCCGCCACCGCCCGGGACGTAAGTCAATACCCCTCTTGCATTGCGCAATGCTTTGTGCCGCTTGATCTTTTTTTCCTCTTCACCGATCGAGACCGGCCCGGTCGTTGAGAGGCCATCATGAAGCCCAAGAACGACTTCATGATCGCCAATTCAGCTTCAGTTCTCTGTAGACATGTACTAACTGTCATGTATAGCTTTCCAAGGTCACCGTTCTCGGTGCTGCTGGTGGTATCGGCCAGCCTCTCTCTCTTCTCCTCAAGATGAACCCCCGCGTCACTGACCTCGCTCTCTACGATATCCGTGGCGGACCCGGTACGTAACAACATTCGCTCCTTATGCTTTGGAAAGGTTATCCTGGGTTGCGAACGCCTCGCTTGCGATGAATCGAGGAACAACAGCCTCGGTCGAGCTATCCCGAAACCCGACCAAGCTATGATGCCACCTCAACCAGTTCAGAATCGACCGGCTAACAATTCTGCTAGGTGTTGCTGCTGATATCTCTCACGTCAACACCAAGTCCTCCGTCAAGGGTTACGAGCCCAACGCTGCCGGTCTCAAGGAGGCTCTCTCCGGCGCTGAGGTTGTCCTCATCCCCGCTGGTGTTCCCCGCAAGCCCGGTATGACCCGTGACGATCTCTTCAACACCAACGCCTCCATCGTCCGTGACCTCGCCAAGGCCGCTGCTCAGGCTGCCCCCAAGGCCAAGCTCTTGATCATCTCCAACCCCGTCAACTCCACCGTCCCTATCGTCAAGGAGGTTTTCAAGGCTGAGGGTGTCTACAACCCCAAGACCCTCTTCGGTGTCACCACCCTCGACGTTGTCCGTGCTTCCCGATTCGTCTCCGAGATCAAGGGAACCGACCCCAAGGACGAGAACATCACCGTCGTTGGTGGCCACTCCGGTGTCACCATCGTCCCTCTCTTCTCTCAGTCTAACCACCCCGACCTTTCCTCCGACGCTGAGCTCGTCAAGCGTGTCCAGTTCGGTGGTGACGAGGTCGTCAAGGCCAAGGACGGTGCTGGCTCTGCCACTCTCTCCATGGCCATGGCTGGTGCCCGCATGGCTGACTCCGTCCTCCGCGCCGTCCAGGGCGAGAAGGGTGTCAAGGAGCCCGCTTTCGTCGAGTCTCCTCTCTACAAGGACCAGGGTATTGAGTTCTTCTCCTCTCAGGTCGAGCTCGGCCCCGAGGGTGTTGAGAAGATCCACCCTATCGGCAAGGTCGACGCCAACGAGGAGAAGCTCATTGACGCCTGTCTCACCGACCTCAAGAAGAACATTGAGAAGGGTGTTGCCTTCGTTGCCTCCAACCCTCCCAAATAAATCATCTAAGCTCTCTTCGAGCTAATGGAGGATCTTCTAGCTTAAACACTAGACGACGTGGTGAAAAGGGGAAAATTAAAAGACGGAAGCTCTGTCATGACACGGGTTCCTTGCTTGTGAAGATTGGGTAAGAAGACGAAGGCGTATAAGCGATTGATATACCTATGTTTCCTTTCCCACTGTTCTACCACCTCCATAGACTTGGAAATCCAGTCTCTGTACCATAGCCATAATGAAAAAAATACCCAACATAAACTTCGCTCTTTGACATGTTCTTACGTGAATCATCAGGTGACGGAAACCCATTCATTATCAACAATGTCTATGAACTTGAAGGTACTGGGAGTAGCCGCCTCGAATATTGCGAAGCCTTAATACCAAGACCTTTAGGGGATATATTTGTTATAGCAGGAAGTTATGATCGGTACCTTAGTTCTTCGTATTATTCTGCTCCTCTGACGGGCTGTCGATGATCACACACCGAGCCAAATATTGTTCAGACCCAAACTGCTTTATCATAGAAGCTCTCTAATTAATTCCTACAAAGTAAGCATAGCCTGGAATTTGGATGCCGGCCACCCAAAGACCGAGCGCGATCTCGAGTAACCTTCCTGCACATGCTCGTCCATTGTTTCAAGCCCTACAAGTAGTATTGTTTGTCCTTCTCCAAGTAAACACTCTAGCACATGATTCACTCATGATAGCTCTTCCTCAGTCCCAGTGCCTAATTGCCGCGTGTTGTATTGATGCCAAACTCATATACTTCCTACAATATCGGGTCCGTCGCGAAGACGCAACTTGCCATCATGGACGTTATGATATTCTTCTCATGAACCCCAAGGCAATTTCAACTATCTCAACTCCTATCATGCCGTACATCGGATGTAAGGACGAGCAGCGACATCGGAACCGCAGTCACCTTTCCATGGACGACAACACCATCGCCCGCGCCTCTCAATCAACTTCGACACTTTTGAGGAGAGGTAGATCCGCATCTAGCGTGACAGATATATGGTCCACGTTTTGTCTTCTACTTTCGAACTTAAGAGAAAGTTGCCAAATGGCGAAAGGTACGCTCCTACAAGAACAAATAGGGCGTATCCATCATTGTAGTATGGCTCTGTAGAGCAGACCATGTCTACAAGGCACGTGAACTAACCCACAAGTTTACCAGAATACAGCTGAAGACACTCCAGTAAGTGCAATTATCCCAGTATCACGAAGATGAACAACTCTTTAGAAGAGAAGTAGGCTAATGAGACCACACAATCTTTACTATTCAGTGGAGATGGTCCCGATAGGAACGAGTGACTTCCCCTCTGGATATTGACAACGAGAAGAACCTTTACAGCTTGATGATTCCAAACCACTCCTTCCACTTGGGGACTAGGATACCATCTCAACTGACACCTGGTGTCCATACGAGGAGCTGAGGAATCTCACGTGGCATAGAAATGCTCTCAACCTATCTGCCTTAATACTTGTGATCTGCGCCCATCCCATTGCCAGTACTGGAAGGCGTGATCTGACCTGGCATCGGGTTGATCATTGTAACTTAGATGCCAACCTCCATTGCTCATATTAACTATAGTTAGTTTATTAAACTGAAGTTATCATAGCGATGATGCGAAGTGGTTATAAGCCAGTGCACCCTTCACTTGCTTTGCTCAGGGGTTTCAATACGCTATGTCTAAGCCTTGGAGGCCATCCGCACGCTTGTTCCGCTGTCGAAATGGTATCAAAGAGGCTCATAAGTTATGAGCCCATGTTCTCCTTCTATAATTCTTATCTGACTCCAATACATAAGCACATGGCTGGTTGTATGGCCGAAGTGTGAGCGTTCCGAGTAGGTATTCTTTATCCTCACTTTCATTTGAGATGCCAGGGATCATTTTGGAAACACGATCAATTTTTTTGAGGAAAAGATATAGTCACTACACATTTACGGAGTCACCCTAGCCTATTACTCCTTCTTTGTCTGTTCCATATCTTCTGGTAGATATATCTCGTCAAGAAGTCGTACACCAACGATGCTCAATGCTATCACCACCACTCCGTAACAACAATACTATATATATTGAGACATCCCTTTTTCGTGTAAATAATCATGCCAGCCCACCCCTCTCAGTTATTTCAGGTCCCTATGAAAGGAACACGCCACATGTCTTCTATCGTCAAGACTGTTCAGCCTACCCTATGCCATAGCATTTGACCCCTTCCTTCTGTGACATTGCGCTTGAGCAGCCCACGTAGACGTCTGATGCCTCGATCCAATCATTGATACTATCACGCTTGTGACGCTAGGGTCTTTAGATGAAGTTTGGAGTGAATTACGCTGTGCGTAGGGTAGTTGTCACTGGGCATCAAGAGATCCAAAAGCGCTTTGAATAAAAGGCCGTAAAGGGGCACAAAGGAGAATTGTAACATGTTCACTATCATCAGTACTCAAATTTTGGACTTCTTCTGTAAGTTAATTCTATTGGCATAAGTTACATGTGCTAATTGGGGGCTCTATCTCCCATTACTCACGATTGTCAACATCGCGAGCTACGAAGACACCCGAAGTCGTACTGCACCCAGCTCACGATCAAATGTGAACTCTCCCATAGTAAGATCGAAACTTGTCGCTCATTTCTGCAGTCCCGATATCATACGGTAGCAGAGAAGTGCTTGCCATACAACTGATGCCCCGTGTCAAGCGACTACGGCTCCCTTACGGCAAAGTCGAGACGACTTCACAAGGTACATGCCTCGAAGCATCTCGCCGCATTCGTCTTTCACAAGATATCAAGTGACCTGAACTGCGGTATCGAAACAACAAATACATTCCAACAACTTGACCGTAACAGCACAGGTCTCACCGCCAAAGAGCCTCAACATAGCATCCCGATAGACGAATAAGCGACAGACAGATCTGTAACACTTGCATTGCATTCTACAGATGTCTTGCCTCAACCATTTCACACTGCTTCAGATCTTACGTTCGAGACTCATCATATATGAGCGGTGAAGATCCTGATAGTCTCATGAGCAACCACGTCTGTAAAGAAGATGCAATGTTCTCTGAAACTGGAAGGCTGGAGTAGCATCGCTTGTTCTAAAATATGGGAATATACATGTGCATGTCGACTCCTCCTCTTTTCATCCCTATTTAGTGATTGTGCGTATGCAAATTGGGGTAGCTAAGGTGAGGCCATATCAACGAACAGGATGCCCTCAATTGCGAGGCGGTGAGCAGTAGGATGCAGCATATGAAGAGCGATATCCAATCATGTACGCGAACGCGTTATGCCTCACAAGAGGTTAGATTTACGAAGATTAATTCTGGAGGCGAAAAAAGAGCCTCTGATGTACATGGTAGGGAACTGGGATCCAAAGTTGGGGACCTGATAAAGCAACGTCCATGGCCTAATTGAGAAGTGTAGACAAACCAACACCACTCCGGCAGGGAGGTAGACATGACGAGATGAGACGAAATGCAAGTCTTACGATGCAGCCTCATTTTTGCAGATCAGGGCAGATCGAGCATTGCATTCGAAGGGCCCATGCGTGCAGTAGTAATAATACAGACGATTCAGAGTTACAGTACATGATGGCCCAGGATAGGGATGCGATATTGGGCATATCATTATGGCAGTAAGAATGTGCTGTAAGCAGCACAGTTGGCAGTCAGACTTGGCCATTCACTAGTCTAGATCATTGCCAGTCTTGTTAATTAGAGCAAGGCAAGTCAAGTCAAGTCAAGTCAAGTCCTGGCCCGATCTCGACTTAACTTAGTAGAGAACGAGAACCCCGGTTGACACTCCCGTGTCTCACTTTGGGGGTAGATGCTGATGCTCACAAGGCAAGACAAAGTCCAGACAAAAGGGGAAACGGAGCATTAGCCTCTGCCAAGATCCCCTCGGCCTCATTTCCCTTGATCCCCGTGGACACTAGTTATATCCGTGACTTTCACCATTTTTTTCGATGCGCAGCATGGATGAGGGGATGGATATGCAGTCGGCTTAAAACAGAAATACCCCCAAAGGGGATCATCTTCCCGTCCACGGGATAGATCATAGACCCAGACCACATGGCTTAGTCTGGAAGAGAGAGGGAAAAAAGATGGCGCCTCACCTGAGCCCAGCCTTGTTCTGTGTCAAAGCGCGTAGCGTCCGGTGGGAGTTGACCACCCAATAAGAGCTAAAATGTGATATATTTTTGGGTAGCAATTGTTCGCTACTAAAACAAAAGAGACAACAGCAGGGCTTAAATCCCCTCCACTGCTTCAAAGGGAGAGAGATCGGCGTAGTCCTTCCCCCCACGCCCTTCATCCGGCAATATCCATGACTGTTCCTTGCAAGTACAGTATGCAGACCATAACTTTACCCAGATGAACGTCCATTGGTTGCATATTTGCTTTTTATTTCACAATGCCCAGAGAACCACCAACTTTGCTTTTTCGATGAGCGCGCTCAGGCCGCCCGCCTTTTGCAGTTGACCTTCAGTCCAGTTTCCGAAAATATATGGATTAAACTGTACGCATACAGGTGTTGACTCGTGTGTAATGTCGGTCTGGAGATGCCATGCCGGAACATGATTCATATTTCCAGTCTCTGATAGGACCGATGCCTATCTTTTCGAGCTTGGACTGTCCGTCTATCTGTAAGCACAGTATCCGTATCCGCGTTTGGTTGTCCAGTGCTATTGGATATTGGAGCCTTACACAGGTTCAAGGCTGAGAATCGACCGTGATCAACCGGACTAGACTGCTGAACTTGCAATCGTGGCCCAATCATCAGCTGCCCTTGTCTTTATAAACAGCTGAGTATTGCAGGAGACTGTAGATCTGGCGAGCAGCTAGCCCTACAGATTCTAGAATATCATCTGCGTACCATATCCCGTGGCAATGCATATCAACGACCCGATATACAGTCGCAACATTTTCTTTGAAAATATCAAGGCGGTGCAAACTGAAGATGTCATGGCGACTTGGTTAAACCTGCCCCTAGAGTATCTTC